CTTCTTCTTCTCTCTTGTTCTTCTTCTTCTTCCTTGTCGTCCTCCTCTTTCCCTTGCTCCGCGCTGGCGGGGTTTTCCTCCCCTCCATCGACTGCGGCAACCTTTCCAGCCGACTCATCATGATTTGGGACCTGCTCGTCGGCATCGTCGTGTTGAGATTCATCGTGCCCGTCACCACTAGCCGCCTTTGCTTCTGCTTGCTCCCCGTCATTCCCTTCTCCTTCATCCTCTTCTTCTCCACCGGCGTTGTCATCCTCGTCCTCCTTGTCGTCCTCTTCTTTTGCCACCTTTACAGCAGCCAAGACATCTTCGACGTCTGGAAACGAGCCCGAGGTGTCCTTGCAAAAGACGTCGCGCAGCCACGCTGCCGTGTCGGGGTCCGGGATGCCATGCTCGTCGCACAGCCCAAGGTGCACGAGCTCAGCGGGCAGAGTGCTCTTGATGTAATCGGCAAAGTCCTCGCCAACGGGATCCTCGGCGTAGCTGTAGGCGGTGAGGGGAAAGGAGCGCTTGAGGTAACAGTTTGCGCTGAGGACCTGCCACAGGGCCTCGACGCGATCGCAGCCCGTCGGGTAGATGGAGTCGACGGTGGCCATGGTTCGGAGCCACTCTAGGACATTAGCCGTGCCGCAGTAGCAACGCGCCGGATCGTGGCGCTGCTTCTCGACGTGAGCGACAGTGTCTACCATCAGGCCGTTGAGCTGCAAAGTATCCGACTCGAACGGGTGGATACGCGCGACGGTCGAGCCGGCGGCACGAAACTTTGTGCTGAAGAGTCGTCGCGTGGCGAGCGGCCAGTGGAAGGAAGGTACCCAGGACGGCAAGTCGTCAGGCCGGGGTAGCAGGTTGTGGGTGTCGGCGAATGGGCGCACCCAACACCAGCCCTCATGGTGCTCACTAATATCCTGAACAAAGGACAGCGCCTCGAGTGGCTCAAAGTCTTCAATCTCGCCGCTTCTCCAGTCTTGGTATCGATTGTCCCCCTTCGCTTGGATGTAAGCCTTGCCGACTTGTGTAAATACTTCAGTAATGGTCTTATGATAGTCTGGAACGATGGGTTCGTCGCCAGGAATGGGTTGCGCAATGCCCAAGAGCGCAAAGATTTTGTCGCGAGGATCTGTGGCGGCAAAGTTCCAAGTCAAGGCAATCAGCGTCGCAAGAGGGAGTTTTGAGCACCACCAATCGTGCGCCATAGCAACAAAATCGGGGTTGCTTTCCCGAAGGGCCTCGAGCTGCGTGGTCACAATGGTGTCCTCGAGTTTGGTGCGGCGCGAGTGCAGCCTTACATCAGCCAACGACCAGGCTAGAGTGCCCATATCACCGTAACGATATTTGACGAGAGTTGTGTTGTAATTCATGGCGACATATTCAAAGTCGATGGCAGACTGAAAGACTTGGAAGAGCGCAGCCCACGGGAGGTCGTCGCCCCCAAACATGATTCGGACGTCTCGCGCCAAGGCAACTTCCTGCAGAACCCATATTCGGTGGAAATAGGACCTGCGTACAAATTCCAGAACAATGTTTATGCTGTCAGAGGAGAGAATGGTTTCGTTCTGAACCTCTTGGTCATCCTCATCACTTTCGCCTCTTCTCCGCCGACGGTGCCAAGCTTCCCATGAGCGTTTGAAACACTCCACGGAGGAGGAAAGAATGGTAGGCAGAGAGTGGTATAACTCGGTGGAAGCCTCTGAATCAAAGCCGCCGAGCCAAATAATGACAGACTGGGCTTGTCCGTATATCTGTGTCATCATGGAGACTTGGATGTTTCTCTCGAGCAAATCGTGCTGATTCACGCAGATGGCGTCGATCCAAATGGGCTTGGATCTGTGGTGCTGTACTCCGGGACCCGAGACTGTTACAGAAGTATCCGATGTGTTTTCCAGTATGCGGGCTATATCGAGGTAGCGCCTACGCTTGCGCTGCAAGCAGCAATCCAGCGGTGTGCGGTCGGTGCTGTCAATCGCGGTACGATCCGCGCCCTGAGAGAGCAAGAGCTCGACAATGTCCAGATGGCCATTCTCTGCGGCATAATGAAGAGCAGTCTCGCCGAAGCAGTCCACATTGTGCACGTTGGCGCCGCGGCGAAGACAATCCTCCACGTCGTCGTATCGGCCATCCTCAGCAGCCTGTATTAGTCTGGTCTTGTCGTAGGGCTCAAAGCGCGAATCGACCTTGGCGTCATCAGACCACTCGTCTACCCTGAGCTGGGACAGAGCATCGTAGAGGTTCTTTGTTATGAAGAAGAGCCTGCCGTTGACAGAAATGGGCCACTGATTGTGCGGAGCATATGGGTCCTCGCTGCCGTCTTTGCTCTGGTCCAGGGGGTTCGGATTTCCCCATGTGTAAGAGAGGCAGTTAAAATCGGGCTTGTCCTTGAGATCGACGGTGAACAGCTTGCAGGAGAGCAGAGTGACGCCACAGACTGTGGGAGATGCTTTTGCGAGCGGATTTCGAACCGTCAAGAGGCGGACGCTGGTGGGCGTTGGGAGCGGGTCGTACTCGAAGGCAGAAAACTTGAACGACGACATGCTGGGCCTTGGGCGGCAAGCAATGCCTCTACCGGAATGAGCTTCATCGTGGAGAGGGAATGGTCAGGTAAGATGCTGGTAATAAATAGGCGGCGATTACCAGGTCCAGTAGGGCTAAAGCGGGCTAAGAAGGAGGTGAGTGAGGCCTGCGCGTCGCACCGCCACAGACAAGGCTGCGAATAAGGCGGCTGAGAGGTGGCTAGGCGTTTTGGCAGAGGATTTGTGCCTGACGTTGCTATTATTGGAATAACCTAACCTTGACAGGTACAAAAGTATGAGATTGCGAGAATGCGAACAAAGAAGTGATGAGCCAATTTCGTGGAAGAGAAGCCACGAGGTTGTAGTTAGAGGAATTTGGTGACGAGCCAACGGTTGGCGCCACAGTTATCATCGGCGGCCTCTTTCGGTAAGCAACGGCTCTATCGAAGCAATTATCAGGGATGAGAGCATTACTCTAGCTGGTATAAGCAAAAAAAAAATATACTCTGGTTGGAACTTGTGCGTAAGGTAATCGAATAGTGACAAAAGCTGCCTTCTGTAAGCACCCTCATAGACTTCTCCACAATCATTGCACACTGGCCGGACCGGCGAACCTTTGCCACATCGGCCAATAACCAATTCTCTTCCAACTCCAAGCCGGGATTCCATTCTCCATGAACCTCTCGTTTCGTGCGCCTCTATCTCGCGCTTCCGACCCGCGTCTTCTTTGTCCAGGGCCCGTCTCGTCATCGCGCCGCCTAGTGTCGACATTCTCCTCCCCCGCAATCGAGCAATCCCCGCGAAGCGTCCTTTTGCCCGCCGTCGCCCGACCCCGGCCCGCACCGTTCTCCCTCCCCGCCAATCGCCGCCGAACCTCCTCCTTCGCTCGACATTTCCATACCACACCTGCTGCTCGCACCATGTCTCCCACTTCGCAAGTCGTCCCCGCCTCCGCCGGCCAGCGCCTCGCCGGCAAGACCATCCTCATCACCGGCGCCTCCGCCGGCATCGGCCAGGCCTGCGCCCTTGAGTTTGCCCTCGCGCAGCCGCATGACCTGCGCCTGATCCTCGCTGCCCGCCGTCTCGACACCATCAAGAAGATTGCTGCCGACATCACCGGGCAGGTCGGCGACGGTGTTAAGATCCTGCCGCTGCAGCTCGACGTCAGCAAACCCGACGAGGTGCGCGCCTTTGTGGGCAAGCTGCCGGACGAGTACAAGAATATCGACATTCTCATCAACAATGCGTGAGTCTGCCTGTCCTCCCGTTTCAGCTTATGATCTTAAAGGGCAAAGATGAAATAACTTTTTTTTTCTTTTTGCAAAAATGAGAAATTACAAGCAAATGAAAGCTAACGAGACATCACACAAACACAGTGGCGGCGTCCGCGGCGTCGAGACGGTCGGCAACATTGCCGAAGCCGACATCAACGTCATGTTCGACACAAACGTCACGGGCCTTATCAACGTCACTCAGGCCGTTCTTCCCGTCTTCTTTGCTCGCCCGGACGGCGGCGCCGGCGATATAGTCAACATTGGCTCCATTGCCGGCCGCGAGCCCTACGCCGGCGGATCCATCTACTGCGCGACCAAGGCCGCCGTCCGCAGCTTCACCGACAGCCTGCGCCGCGAGACCATGCACACCAAGATTCGCGTCATGGAGGTTGACCCCGGCGCGACCGAGACGGTGAGTTAACGAGGCACGCCCCTGGCTGCAATGAGAAACCCCCCTGTGAGCTAAGCAGTCAATGCCAGGAATTTTCCGTCGTTCGCTTCCGCGGCGACAAGGCCAAGGCCGATGCTACTTATGCGTGAGTCAAATATTTGAGCTTCAAGTCCCACCTGCTTCGCTCTTCCATCTTTCAAGTGTTAACAACTTGCATTAAGTGGCATGGAGCCCCTCACACCTCAAGACATTGCCGAGGTTATCGTCTTCAACGTCACCCGCCGACAAAACGTTGTCATTGCCGATTCGCTCATCTTTCCCACGTCTCAGGTAAGAAATCTCCGCGTCCTTCTTCAATACGGCCTTCTGACAGGTATACCTAGGCCGGTGTTGGTCCAGCCAACATGTACCGCAAGACGGCATAAGTTACACGCAAGCCGGCCAGTTGTAACAAAGTAACACGAGGGAATTAGAGCACACGGCAACTTAGAGCATAGACATGGAAAAACAAAAACTGGTTCAACATGGTAGATTTGTATTGCAAGGTTCCATGGACAGATTCTGCCAAATACTGAACAAAATCTACAGCATACGTGCACGAGTCTAATGACATGTTCGAAAATTTCTCTTGCCCCTCACCCACGCGCCGGAAGGCGGCGGTCACAAAAGTGACCAGATTGAGGAGCCTTCTAAGAACGAGAGTTCAATCTACCGATGTTCCGTTAAGAGCCCATTCTGAGATGAATCGGGCCCTTGCTGCCGAAAGTGGCAGCACCACCGGGGTGTTGTGTGCGTGGGCACTTGTTGTGAGGATTCTGGGCTGTTGTCAGACCTCCCTTCAGAGGTCTACGCGAAAGGAGGCTGCAAAGCTCAGGAACCCCCTTCACGTACAGCAAAGGAAAAAGTCACGGCGCTAAGCGACGAAGAGAACTGGAAAACAGTGCGTGTTTGCCAACCTACATGCTGCTCGCCCGTAAAGATAATAAGCAAGAAAAAGAATCAGCAGCCACTGCAAAATACCTTCCAAAGACGCCACGCTAGCGTAAAAAAGCAGTAGATATGAAATCATGGCCTCGTCAGCTCGACATGAGCCATCATGATGCAAATGGGTCGTCGCACTCTGCTAGCGAGCAGGGTGACTCAGTCTGTGTGTTGGTACAGAGGCGAGATTGACTCTCCGTAGTGGTTGCGCCGGATAGCCTCCGAAAGCAGAATCGACAGGTCGAGAATGACGAGCTTGGTGATGCCCTTGACACGGTCCTCGCTAATGGGGAAACTGTTGGTCACGACAATCGAGTCAATGCATTCGCACGCCTGCAGTCGCTCCAGACAGTCTGCACCGAACACGCCATGCGTAGCAATGCAGTACACCTTTTTGGCTCGGCCTCGCTTGACGACCGTCTCCGCAGCGGCAATCCACGATCCGGGCTTATCAATCATGTCATCTACTAGAAAGACAGTCTTGTTCTTGACATCACCGACAAGGGTAATCATGTGTTCCGTCTTGGTGTCTTGATAGACATTGTCCTCCTCATCGGAGCTGGCAGTGGGGTCGCTGCTTCCACCAAGAGCCTGCTTTTCCGGAACGAAAAAGGAAGAGGCGCGTGACATGGCCATTGGGTCCTCCTCACCGTCGCTGTGTCCCTGTTCGGGAGAGGGAAAGTCGTCTTCGACAACGTGCCCGTGGACTAGTCTGCCGCGAGTGACCTCTTGAGGCCTATGGTCATCGTAGCCATCTTCATCCTGGGCAGCTGGGCCGGTCGAGTTTGTCGACGGTGTGGCACTACCATTGAGGGTTGGCGTCACGTTTCCACTTTGGCGTTTTTCCGTGGCTGCGTGCGACCGCTTGGGAGATCCTTGCGAGTCGGCCGAGATGATGGTTTTTCTGGCCTGAGCCTGTTGAGAGGCGAAGACCTCTTCAGCATCCCTATTAAGGCGAATGCTAGCAAAGGTGGTAGTCTCCAACGCGGGCGTACGATCCTCCGTATCAAAATGATTCATAATCATGCTATGAGACATGTTGGTAGTTCGCTTGCGGTCCGTCGTCACCATACCAAAGTTTAGCTTGAGAGCGTCGGCGAGAGATGTCACGCGCTTCGTGCCACCAGCATTCTTTGATACGACAACGGCCTCCTTCCACTGCGGCACGTTACGGCGGATCCATCGCGCAATAATGGGCTCGGCATGCAGGTTATCGACGGGACATCGGAAAAATCCTTGCATCTGCGACGCGTGCAGGTCCACCGTGATAACGTGCTTGACACCAGCGACGTTCAGCAAGTTGGCCAACATGCGAGCGGTAATGGCGCCTCGATGTGACTTTTTCTTGGACTGACGGCTGTAGGGAAAATATGGAAGCACAGCTGAAAACAAGCAAAAGCCGTCAGCAACACAGAACCCCACATGTTGTTTGCAGCAGCTGTGACTCAGCCCGTACCTGTGATCTTGTTGGCCGAGCCGCCTTTGCAGGCATTGATCATGATAAGCAACTCCATAATAGAGTCGTTGATCTTGGGACTGCCCGACTGGACGACGAATACATCCTTTTCTCGGACGCTCGTGAGGATCCGCACGCTGGTCTCGCCCTTTTGGAGCAAGAGGTTAGCCTCGCCGCAGGAGCTGTTGCTGGTGGAAGACGGGCAGGATAGCTCACATTAGAGAACTGAGTCAGCTCTGCGTCGGCCGGCTGCATGCCCAAATTCTCACAAATCTGTTTTGTGAGAACTGGGCACGAATTGCCCGCAAAGATGAGCGTATTGCGCATTGTCTTTGTAGAGCTCACGCCATAGGCATGGTCCGACACGAGAAAGCTGAGAGAGACGAAAGAAAAACCTGGGGGCAGTTTTTTCTCTGCCACCAATTCTATTCCCACCAGCAAGGATGGGGCACTGTGCCAAAATGAGGGACGGCACGGTATGATGGCTACTGTGTTCGGCCACTAAGCTCATCCTCGTCCCGCTGCACATGTTAACACAGCGCCTAAAATACAGTGATTTACAGTGCGATTCAATCCCCGCTATTGGTGGGACTGTGGCTCGCCAACCCTGCTAGACTGACAGCCATCATGACACCAGGATTCAGCTGATTCGTGATAGGATAACTGGACTGAGCATTCCGAAATAATCTTTTCTCGTGCCACCTCCGTTGAGACTCAAGGCATACACGAAATGGCCATGTGGCCATTTTAGCTGCTGGTCAACGCTGCTTACACTGCTGGTCCTCCCCGTTTGGTGACCGACAAACGCTTGGCTACCCAGCACCAGCGCAACGTTCGAGAGCACGGCGCAAGTCTTGCAGATAATCCGGTCATGGGTATTCCACATCTCATTTCGACGCTTGAGCCGTATGTACAGCACGTGGCGCTCAAGGATGTAGACGTGGTGGTGGATGGGCCTGGTCTTGCGCATCATATCCTGCATGTGTGCCGCATCAATGGCGTCGACCACCCTTCCTATAAGTTATTGGGTGCAACAGCTGCGGCGTGGCTTGATAATCTAGCTTCCCAGAACACAGTCATGTAAGACGTCACATTGGCCTCAGCGCCAAGGAAATCTTTAATCTCTTTACGCTTGTACTGACTGGTCCCACGTAGAAAGATGATCTACTTTGATGGATATTTGCCAAAGAGCAAACTACCAATTCGGATGCAAAGGGCTGTTAAAAGCACATCCCAACTATCTTCCTTTCGCGGCTACAATATCCGTGGCTGTCCAAGATGTCATGTCACCGAATCTGTCGCGACCGCCTCGATAGATGCATTCAAGAATGGCAGGCCCGAGACCAAGCCGCTCGAGGCCCCGAGCTTCCTAGTACCTGCAGTGATCGAGGCGCTGTTGCTCTTACAGAGATACAAGTCGATTGTCGAAATCGTTCCTGGCGAAGCGGATGGCTATTGCGCGAAGGCTGCAGCGGAAGTTGGAGGCATCGTGATAACGTCCGATTCTGACCTACTGGTCCACGATCTTGGCGCCGGCAGCGTTGCACTCCTGCGAGACATTTATCGAGGTGACGATGGTGTCGTACGAGCTGCGATCTATCAACCACGAGAAATCCTTCGCACCCTTGGCCTCTCTAACCCTTCGGACATTTACCGCTTTGCCTACGAGCGCTCATGCTCCGCGCATACCACTACTGCCATGCTGGTACGGGCTTGTTCAGAACCTGCCAAGGATGAGAAAGGCTACGAGGAGTTCTGTGCTCAGTATCGAGAAGGAGAGCGAGCCGTGATTCCAAAATTGAATTCGGGAGACAGCCTTGCACTGGAAGGGCTCGACCCGCGCTGGTCGGAGCTACTTCTGCAAATGTCACCAAGCGAAACAACGGACACCTTTCGAATGTTTCTACCGGTATTGATTGACAACCCCGAGAAGGGCACTGCATGGGAAAATAGCAGGTACATCAGACAGTTGGCTTACTCGCTTATGCGGAACATGCTATTACCCGGTATCAACGGCCCTGTTCATGAGTTTCGGAGGGTCCAGACACAGGAGCAGAGCGGCCGCCAAGTACTGCTACTCTCCCAACCCCCCATCCACTTCGAAGTCGCCGACCTGGCAGATACTTTCAAGAAACTTGCAACCCTGCTACCAGGAAAGCAAGACGCTCTCTACTGGCTGCTCGCCTATATCATTCTCGATGTTCGCGGGTCAGTGGCGGATGGCAGAACACCGCTCGCCGTGAACATGCTGCAGCAAGCGGACTGGCCCGATGAAAATGCACGTATAATTGACTGGAGCTTTGTTCATCTTGTAGCCCAATTACAAGCGGGATACTACTCGCTGCGGATGCTCAGGCAGCTGATATACGCAGGCATGGCGGATGCAAAAAGAGTCGCCGGCCCGTCTTTCGCAGAGCTGGCACTTGCACTGAATAAACTGCCACTGTTGGAGGACTCGCCAGACGTGCGCAGTGTGAGCAAACTGCTCAACGCTGCTCCGGCAGCTAGGAACCGTGAGATCTTGGCGCATTTTGTCGAACTACCGACACAGCAAACCGAGGACAAGCGGCCAAGTAAGCAGCACAAGAAACGAAAATCTGGCAGCGTCGTTTCAAAGAATTCGGCGAAGTCGGCAGCAGCGGCCAACATGTTTGGGCTGTTGCCGGTCGAATAAAGTGTTGTATTGTTCATATTGAGCCACGCCACCTAAAGCTACTATTTCCAACTCCACGGCAGGTGGTGGAAAATCCTAAATGAACCACAATACTTGAATGTTCAACAGCAGCCTAAGCCTATTGTGCAGAGCTATCCGTACTCGATCGTCCCTCAATAGCAGCCGGCGGTATTTCTCCTGCAGAGTTATAGAGGCATTACGGAGCCTGTCCCGGTGTGGTATTTAGGACGCAACCTCACAGTGTCGAAAATCGACCTTCAAGTTACGGGGCTCGTCCGAGGCTGCCAAGATTGCTCTCCAATCCAGTAGCGGCATGGTTGTTGCTCGGCGGTGAATCGCCCGAATGAGAGGATACTGTGATAACGGAAGCTAGACTGGGCCAAGGCGCGGGTATTTAAATTTGGGATTGCGAACCCAGAGGATAAACTCCCAAAAAAGTCCACAAGTTAGGATACTCTTAACAACACACTGCTTCGTAAACTATTATACATTGACACGCGTACACCCTTTGATACGTAAAAGACCAGAAGTCCCTAGTCACGGCTCGTAAAATAAAAGCCCTGCCTGCTCATTTGCGCCTTCATCTCAAGGCTCATCCATCGTGCGACCGTGTATTTCATAAAGACACTGTGAGGGTTTGTGGGCTGCGCGAGCCTGGTCTACAGCGAGTAAGAGGTCATCACGAGGAAGTCCTTGACCGGCTGCCTGAATAATTCTCCATGCTCTGCGAAACTCTTCTCGAATCGACACGATACCATTGTGTGTCACGGTGCGCGCAACGTTGTGCTCGGTTTCAAAGGGATCCTCAATCGCGAAAAGATAACGTAGGCGTATTTCTTTGACAGCTGTGCTCTTAGTAGCTGAATTTGTTTGATCGGCTCCTCCTGATGGACCATCTGGTAAGTACGCTGGAGGCTTCACCGATGGCTCGTTGGGATCTTGCGCTTGATAGACGGTTTTGGCGCCAGTCCAGCCCTTCACCTGTTTTGTCAAAAGGCCACCGGGGGTTCGCAAGCTCAGAACGTCGCGACCCCAGTCGAATCCTCGCCTGTTAGCAGTGCTCAAGTTGCCATTATGCGCAAAGTACTCGAAGAACCCGCGCAAGAGGTATCCAATAGATTGTGTGTTTTGGTTCATTTGGAGGGAGGCTGCCAGCTGCTGAATTGCCACCTCGTCGCGCCAAAAGCTCACATTATAGCCCTTGCACATCTGAGGGTCTCCTGAGCGACCGAGTTGTTGCAGGTTCGGGCAAACAAACGGCGATGCCACATTGACAAGGTAGTGAAGCACCATCAACACATAGCCGTAGCTTGATAAAGTGCCCCTGTATCCAGAGTTGATGCCGCGGAGCTTGGCCCAGTGTTTGATGAATAAAACCATTGGCCGAACTCGCGGATCTGTGAATGCATAACAACGAAGAAGAAGTGTGTTTTCCAATGCAAGGTGCGCAGAAAAATTGATATCGCACTGAACCCCTGCACCCATCTCGGGAAATTCGAGAGGATCGCGATACCTGTCACGAGGTTGGTTCAGTGCCAATTTGTCGAGGTGCAGTACCTCTTCTGCGATGCGAAGGAAATGCTCTGGGTTATCGTCGCGAAGCGGGATAATAAAGGTGCGTGTCCCAGATGGCTGTAGGTCTTCTTCGAGGGGCATCTGCAGAATGTCCATGTAATGCCTCGCAAAATCGGCTTCACGGTCGCCATACAGCTTTTGCGCTAGAGCCCTCTCAAGTTCTTTAGTCAACTGAATAATCCTGTGCTTGGAAGTTATGTGGTCCAGATCCCAAATGTCGGTGGTTGACTGCCACGACTTAACATCGTTCCGCACATCGTCGCGACGGATACCAGCAATGTATTTATGTATGGCCTCGGGATGAGCTCGATATGTATGGTCCACCTTTTCGATCCCAAGATGCTTGATGATGACCAAGGCTCGTTGGCAGTACTGTGTCACAGATTCTTCAGGGCCTTGCTCGAGGAGTAAAAGCTGAAACGGGGGTAGCTTTTTGAGCCGCTCCAGAGCGACTTGGAGCTCCTTTGTGTACGAGATGGGATTCTGACCAAAATTTTGTTGACTTTGTAACTTGTGCCAGAAAGAAATATATTGCTCAACAGAGGGGTCAAGTGCCGCGAGTGTTGCAGAGATAGGCCAGTCTTCCCACATCTGAATGAGCTGCTCCCCCTCAACTTGCACTGACACGCCAAGAAGTGATCGATTTTGTGGAAATTCAGAATTCGGCTCAAATGCAAGAGAGGGGTACTTGAGAAGACGTTGACGAAGAGACGTGTCTGCTAGGCCATGCACAAAGGATCGACAAACTAGATTGAGGATCGTCCAATGCCGAGATGAGAACTCCCGTACATTGGATAAATTGACCTCGCGTCCGCCCGCCTTGTGCAATACGCGTTTTGCCAAGGCAGAGTAGTTGGCGAGACTCTGCCTGGGAGTTTGCCGGAGATGAAAGTCTTGAAATTGACCCTGTTCATCCGGGACCTGGAATGTGGTGAGATCGAGGCACTTGCGGTCTTGTTCTAGTTGTTGCGTGGACTGCTCGTCTTTGGTCTCGACACCGGTTTGCTCATCCTCGCCGTGAAACTCGGGGTGGTCTTGGTCTAAACCCGCTTCCCACTTTTCTCGCTGGGCGACAAGATCTTTGAGCAAGCTCTCAGGAGGAGATTCACACAATTTGATGATAGGAACCCTGGTTCGGCTGAGCAGGCGAGCCCCGATACCGGCGTCCAGGAAAGCTTTCTCGATAAGTCTAGGAATTGGTGATCCAGGAGCATCTGGCTGATGCTTTGAGAGAGGAGATAGCAGGCCAAGATCCATGTCCGAAGCCTTAGTTGCGAACCCAGAGGATAAGCTCCCAAAGCACTTCAGCTCCACGGAAGACGGTGGGAAATCCGCGTTGCTACTTGTATTCCATTCGTGCTCAGTAATGACAAGCCGACAAATTTCTTGGATACGCAGACGAAAACGTTCTTTTTGCGCGATTTCCGCCCTATCAATTTCGGATGCTGATATTAGACGAAGGTCGTCGAGGAGCGCAGTCTGCCTCAGGACTTCCTCATTAGTGAAGGGCGTCCTGCCCAATCGATTTCCTTGGGACAAGCGAGAGTTATGTTGCAAGTGGTTCCCGAATTGAACAGGTCGATGAGCTTGTGCTTGATGGTCAAGGTAGCCGTGGTTGTTGTGTTGCACAAAGTTAGCACTGGGGCCGGCGCTGTGAGGCGCCCGTGAGTGTTGAGGTGGAGGTGATCTGAATTGATTTGGGTTGGAGTAAAGGTGTGGTGGAATCGGCGTATATTGACCACTTTGGTTTGAGCCATGGTCAAATTCTTGGCGATCGTATGATGAATGGATGGGGCGAACGTCGACAGGTATAGAGAGCTGGGAGCTCATCTGCCTTCTCTGCGCCTGGTTCGGTCGTTTTCTGTTGTGTATGGGAACTTGACCAGGGCTAGCAAAGCCAGGCATCTGGGGAGGCACTGGCGCGCTAGCATTTGCAGCAACAGGTTGGGTTATTGGCAAGATTTGTGATAGCTGAGTGGGCGCAACGGAAGAGTCATTCAACGCGACTCTGTCCTGGACTCTCCCTTGTTGCATCTTGTTGAGGTCCTCAGATTGCGCTGGCAGCTTTTGAGCATGATAACCTGTAAGTATGAGGAAGCTGTAGCTGCGAGTGGAGGAGGAGGTGGGCGGTCACTTTCAGGGTTCTTAGCCAATCACAACGTCACAAAAACTCCAGGTACTGGTTATTCGCATGGGTTTCTGGGTGGCTGAGTACCAACCTGTGGCGCAGGAAGTCAGTACGTACCTAGGTAGGTACCTAAGGAGTAGGTGCCCAGGTAGGCAGCTACCTATGTAGGTACCTTTTAGCACCTTGGCACCCTACCAACAGCCCCGCACAGGCTGTATTTTGGCGGGGGCTTGGCCAAACACAATAATGAATCCGGATTGCAGCGATACCTACGGATTAGCTAGGTAGGTCCTGACGTGCAGGTTTCTGACTAACTAACTAGTATCTTGGCCATTATCTGGTGAGATTGGTAGGTGCATAGCAGGTATTTCTACATCCCTTCGGCATTAGCCTTTTGTGCTATTTGCTATTTAGTTAAGCTGGCCCAATAATTAAATATTCATAGGTAGTTGCAGGCTACAGTTACTGAGACGAAAGTGACCCGGACCTTTTCCGGCAAGTCAGCGCCGGCCTAAAAACGTAAACTGGCAGCAAGCCAGCTCCAGCTAGGCTGAGCCAGCAGCCGCCCCCCCCCCCCCCCGTGCCCCAGTCGCCTCGCTGACCCAATAAACTTACCTACCTGCCTGTTCTCCATCGTCATTGTTTGCTACACCACAACTTCATGCAGCCGCTCCCCGATCCTTCATCCGCCACGAACCAACAAGTTGACCGGATTTCTATACAGCACGCGAAAAACACGCGGCCTATCTCGCACAGCTCAATTGCCGACGCACTTCCGCGACAGCGCACAGGCGGTGCGACGCGAGTAGGCGCCGCCGCAGGTTCACGCCTAAGCATTTGAATCTGCCTGCTGCACTACGCACCCGCGCAACGATACATCTCGCATCTCTCCCCATCAAATCGCGCATCTCGTACGCTTCACTGTCATCAAAATGAGCGCTCCTCCGCCCAAAAACACCAACGGCCCTCCCAAGAGGAAGCCGAACCCCCTGCGCCCAATGCGCCCGAAGCCTCGCCCAAAACCTCCCGTGTCCGCCAAACAAGCAGGTCAGAAGCCGGGTTCTGCTGGCGCATCGCAAATGACGGCGCAGAACGGTAGCCGGCAGAGTCTTGAAGAGCTGCGCAAACAGTATGGTGGTTGGTCCGAGCCACCTCCGCCATATCAATATAGCGACATTCCAATCATGACGACCAAAAAGGCCTTGCTTGAAGGAATACGCTATCACCTCATGAAACTATCATCTACCAAGGCTGACGGGAGGCCCATCGACCCGACCGACCAGGAAGACTTCTCGCGGCCTGTGACTTTACATCGGCGAGATGCCCGCTTGCCGCCTCCAGGGAGAGCAGTCAAGGAGGAAATGCCTCAGCGTGTTCCTATCGACGAGCAAGAAAGAGAGAGACTAGCGCAGATCAAGGCCGAAAAGGAGGCACAGCGCGCCATAAATCAAGCCAAGATTGCACCTGTTGCCAAGGATGTTGTGCCCAAGAAACCTAAGAAGCAAAAAGAGGAGCGCACAGTGTTCAACAGAGGGCCTCGTACTGCAGCAGCAAAGAAAGAATCCGATTTACGTTACGAAGAGGCACTACCGTGGCATCTTGAAGACGTGGATGGTAAAAACGTTTGGGTTGGTTCTTATGTCGCGGCTCTCTCAGAATCGAGTGTTGCATTCATGATAGATCAATCCGTTTTCCGCATGGTACCACTCGAGAAGTGGTATCGTTTTACCGCAAAGCCGCATTTCCAGGCCTTCACTCTTGACCAGGCTGAAGAGTACATGAACAGAAAAATCGACGTTGGTCGCTGGGTGATGAAGGACGAAGAAAAGAAAACTGGCCAGCAGGATTTGGAAGCTACTCGAAGAATGCTCTACGGCGCTGGCATGATCAAGACTGAGAGCGACACCTTTAAAGCGGCATCGCGGGCAGAAAAAATGGAGCATGATGAGATCGACATGTCTGGAGACGAATTCCAGGACGACGATGAAGCCCCCATGTTTGAGCGAAATGACGACGAGGATACCAAGGATTCCAAGGAGCGAATTCGTCGTGAACAGCTTGGTGCCAATCTCTTCGGCGATGGTGATGAGGGCCAGGTTGACCAAGAGCTTCAGCAGCAGTTGAGAGAAGAACTTGAACGCCAAAAGTTTGGTAAAGCAACTCGAAAGGCGCTGATCAAGAGAGATCGCGAAGAAATCTATGAAAGTGACGATTCAGAAGACAATCCTTGGAGCAGTTCTGTGAGTTTTGCCTGTTAACGCTGTATCTATGTAATTATACTAACGTGTCGTAGTCCGATGACGACTCTTCAGATGAAGAGAATGAAGAAAAGAAAGAAGACGGCAAGAAAGAGCGCGAAAACAAGGATGACAAGGACGACAAGGACGAAAAAGGCAAGAACAAGGTATCGGGCGCGCAAGGCGCTACTACACCTCAAGGCAAACAAAAGCACGGGGATAAGAAGAACAAGTCTTTGAAGCGTGCAGGATCCCCTGCGCTATCCGAATCAAGTGGAAACGAGTCATCGCGGAAAAAATTGAAGAAGACGGCCGCTACGGCACCTGGTAGTCGCTCCGGAACGCCAGTCCCCGGCGTCGTACGCAAGAAGAAGCTCGGTGCTGGATCTGCGAGCGACGGCGAAGCCACAGCTGGTGAAATGTCCGATGGCGCTGGTCCTAGAAAGAAGATGAAGCTGGTAAGCAGCGCCAATGGAACGCCCTCTGCGTCTCGCGCTGGAAGCCCTACCCCAGCTGGTAAGTCTCATATTCTATAAGAATCTGCCTTCCTCGACGCTAACCAGCACCATAGGTGCATCACCACCACCTTCATCTGCGGGTATCGAGCCCTGGGAGATTCTGGAAAAGATTCCTGACACCGGCATTAGCATTGTGGAGCTCATCAAACCCTTCCAGTCCCGTGTCGGCACCAAACCCGGCCAGATGAAGAGAGACGACTGGATTAAACTAGTCACCCGAATCTGCAGATATGGTGCAGGGAAAATGCTGTATAAGCGCAAGTAGCATGATTACGATTCAGGGTCGCGAGCCTGCGCAACCAAGTCCATGTCTATGGGGTACAGGCGTTGTACGTCCTCGTACAAACTAAAAGGAAACCTTTTCGTATCACAGGGTCCCGAGGCCACATCGGCACGGGACTTTGTCGTAGATTTAATACATTGCTTGTCTTGGATTTATATGACAACATTGTTTTGTATTTGGCCATGTGGAGTGAAGGGTCTGTCTTCATCCAATTGACCGCGGGTATCTAATATTCCTATAAATTTTACTCGTCCATCTGCCATGCGTAGTCGAGTCCCTCATTTCTCTTTGTCCTATTCAGAGCCTTGAAGCGCTCGGCCTCGAACCCTGTGCCTCTGTCTACACCGTCCCAGCGGTAGCCGGGCTTGATGCCGTACCGGTTCGGCGGCGCTGCGCCCGTGTACACCGGCCGTCGTTTCGACTTGCCCTTGCCTGCCGCCTCCTTGCTGCTCATGAACTGCATCATCGGGTCGTTCCACCGCTCCTTCTCCTTGAGCTCCCTGTTCATTTCCTCGTCGTCCGCTCTCCGGGCCAGCGGCATCAGCTTCGCGTCCTGCAGCTGCTCGCGGCGTCGACGCGCCTCCTCCTGCTGGACCTCGCCCTTGAGCGCCTCCTTGGCGAGCCTTTCCTTGTCTTCGGCCTCGGCGGCGGCACGGCGCGCCTCGGCACGCTTCATAGAAATGTCTATCCGCCGGCCGGTGGCGTCGCGGTAGACCGTCTCCTCCTCCTTGGCGTTTTTGCGATGTCGCTCAAACTCGGCGCGCTCCTGCTGCTGTCGCCGTCGCAACTGCGCCGAGACGGTGGCCGCGGACTGCAGGCCCGCGTGTGTGCCGTCGCTCATCTTGACGACGCTGGGGTCCTCCTCGACCAGGGGCATCTCTTCGTCTTCGGCTCTCGCGGCGGCAGACTCGGCGGCGACGGAAGCTAGGATGGCGTCTGCGGCGGCCGTTTCGTCCTTGTCCTTTGTCGCGTTGTCTCCGCCCAGGGTTTTCCAATTATTCTTTGTTGCGCGTCGAAATTCTGCGGATGCGCCTGTCACGGTGACGGGGCCATATTCGGCGTCGTCGTCGTCGCCATGTGTTGCTTGACCCCAACCACTATCATCGTCGTCGGTAATGAGCAAGCCGCTGGATGTGGCGGTTTGCTTGCGCTTCTTTTTCTTGGGCTTCGGATCGGCAACGAGATATTTAGAGGCTAAGTAACTTGACAAATCTGAAGGCATTATTAAAAAGTAGTAAACAGTGGCAATTTCTAGCTGCTGATGTCTCGCCACAAAAATTACTGATGTCGTTAACGCGATTGACAAGGCAGCGCTGATATGCAGCTATCAAGAAATGTAGGCCACGGCCACGGCCACGGCGTTGCCCCGCTAGAGTAATGTGGGATGGTGTCGGGCGACAGAGCTCACCTCACCCAGGAGCGTGTTCCCAAAGATCGCCGGGAAAAGGAGTCAACCCGATTGCGCACCACTCCACGACGTCTTGAACCTGATTTTCGACTCGGAAAAAACATGCGAACTCGGCTGCAGCCAAGGGATAGCGTGCAACCTTGCTTCTTGTTACGCCACATGAATTGCCCAGACACACTGCGAAGCTCGGCCCGGACGTAGCGCCGCCCAATTCGCCTTTCATGGCGCAACCTCGACGAAATGTGCCGCCTGCGGAACCGATCAAGGCACTCCCGGCAGCGGCCTCTGTGATTCAGGTGCCGAAGAGGGGCCAGATCTTGCCCGCGGGCGATCCTCTTTCCATGTCGCAAAGTGACATTTCGCTGCCTTTCCGTAGGAGCAACCCGTCAGCCGCCTCACTCTACGCTTCGACGCTCTCACCACCGGGCTCCCGATCCATGTCCCCCTCTGGCCGCGCCTCGCCCTCGAAATATCTCGCTAGCACCGTCTTCGACGTCAGCCAGGGGCGCGGTCTGCCCGAAGATGCCGGAGACAGCCCCGGAGAGCCCCTCAGTCTGGTTCTGAGGGCCTTTGTCCCGCATGTGGCTATATATCCCTCGGCAGATACTGAGGCTCTGATACGCGAAAAAGGATTCAAGAACGGCTTATGGGAGTTGCTCCGACCCTTTGGCGAGAAAATACAAGGCAAAGTCAATGTACGCGACAGCAATGGTGTGAGCCGCGTTGCAGAGGACTTCTCCATCCGCTTTACGAGATTTGGGGACAACATAGAACACCCAGACCCAGCCATTTCAGGCCAACGACCATCTTCTATAAATGAGAAGAATGTTTTACAATCTGCTTCGGCCAGGGACAGAACCATATTGGCTAATGTGGAGGCGGTAGTTGATAAGCACCTAGCCTTTGCAGAGCACGCCTTTCAAGCGTCACCCAACCACGAGCCTTTGCGGAGACAAGGGCTCGATGTGGAAACTGCTTCCCCTTATTACGCTTTATACCTAAGACGCCTGTTATCTGGCTTCCCAATAACCCCACACGAGACCTTTGCGCACCCGGTCGCTTGCGTGGTTGCGATTAGTTCACGCAGTGAAAGCCCCATCGAGGAGCTACGCCGTTTATACGCCGAAACGAGTCAGGGCGACCAGGGGATGCCTCCTTGGGTCGATGGAGAATACTTACGATATTATGTGCTGGTTCACGATGAGGAGAACGGAGACATCACGAGGTCTATGGCGTTGTTTGAGCAAATGAAACGACATCTTGGCCTACACTGCCATCTGTTACGACTGCGATCCAGTCAAAGTGCTGAGACAGATGATGACAGCATCCCACTACCTCGAAGTGATTGGATGACAGCATCCGAAGAACTCGATGACATTAAACGAAGTGAAGATGACGAGGATTTTGACGACCCATCCCAGTACATATTCGAATCTGATGCCACCGCAATTCGCACATTTGTCAAAGAAATGGTTACACAATCTATTGTTCCCACCATGGAGCGACACATGTCTGTGTGGAACGATCAAGTAGCATCTCGTCGAAGAGGTATTACCGGCAAGTTCATGAACTTGTCGCGTAAATGGACTGGATTTGGCAGTGGAAGTCGAAACTCCTCTGGCGGTGCTAATAACAAGGATACATATGATCCGGCTGGATTCTATCATGCGACTGCGGCGGAAGCAATCATGCGGAAACTGGCCGATTTCGCCTTTATGCTGCGTGATTGGAAACTGGCATATTCAACATACGATCTACTGCGACCAGATTTCAGCGAAGCAAAGGCATGGAAATATTATGCAGCAGCTAATGAAATGGCCGCCGTCAGTATGCTCATGATGCCCCAGCAGTTGACCTCGAAAACGCGGTCGGAAACAATCGATCAAATGCTCGAGTCAGCATTCTACTCATACCAGACCAGGTGCAGCAGTCCATATGGCGCCTTGCGAAGTCTCACACTGGGCCTCGAGCTTTTGCGCTTGAGAGGAGGCTCGAATGTTGACGACGCTGGCAGATGGGGGCTACGACTTCTCGAGTCAAGGATCCCGGGCGGAGTAGGCGACGCTCTCACCAAGGAACGTTTAGCCATATGCTATGCCTCCAAGACTGGCATTGGCAGCTGGAACTGGGGTAGCCGCCGCCGCAAGTCTGCCGCCTGGAGCGTCTTGGCCGCGGAGGCGTGGGCAGAGCAGTCCAAGTTTATCCCTGCACAGCGCTGCCTCACGGAAGCGCAAAAGACGTACCGCCCGAGCACGGCGCAGGATGGTGTGACGCAATTCGCCACTGCAATGGCTTACGTGGATGGGCTTCAGCGAGAACTCGCGGATAGGCTAGGCTATCCTGACGAGGCAGCGGATGAATCTGCGCTGGGCGAGTCGCGAAGCGAGATAGAAGAGGAGAGCGAGGCGCTTACAGACATGCGCACGCGGAGACTAAGCATAGTTGCCCGCGGTGGGCTAGAGACAGCACCTCTGCACACGGAGCAATTAGATGGTACGGTTCCTGATGCCCATGGTCAAGAAGGATTTGATTAAGCAGTATGTTGCGTTTCATCAGTGCTTCGTTGACGAGCATTTGGCGCCTTTGCTTAGAGATGGAATATTACTTCATCCGGTTACTGCATTTGCATAATCATTGAATATCATAGTGTATAGCAGTATTATTATGAAAGTATTATATGCAGCCTCCTGAGCAGGTTGCCGCCAAATGCGTAGCTGTAAATGGGCACTATGTCGCTGGCACATGTGAAGTAAGGTTGTGGTGGGCTGTACGTCTGGCACGCGGACGACCTTATTAGGCAGTCCTCCAGCCTGTTTCTCGGAGACACCACCATTCATCAGGTACCTAGGTAGGATAAACATGTCACTCCTGGTTCCCGAGTGGCCATGATTATATCCGCATCCAGCTATTTGGAGCTTTTGAATGATTGATACGTTTATTTGATCTCGCTCAATTTGTTTCCCCCCCCCCCCTTGCGCCTTAATTTTTCGCGACGGTCAGCTCGCCACCATGGGCGAGCTTGCCGAGTTTCTGGCTCAGAATGACGCCGCTTTTCGAAGGTATGTTTCCTGTGCACCGCATTATCCGCGCCTCGATACTGGTTCTGATGCTGACGTGTCCTGTGCTGTTAAAGAGCCAGATTACCCGCCCTATACGCCGACTTCCGACCGCAGCGAACGTTGAACCCCGATGGCTACAGCGCCAACGTGACGGCGTGGCGGCACGCCTTGTCGCTGCTGGCGAGACGCGGTCTCTTGTCGCAGGGCACCAACACAAATATATTAATACTCAACTTGGAGGAATCGCTACTTCGGAAGCTGGAGAGCCGGCAGTTTGGGCAGCCGCTGGCGCTCGGCACCGTGGTCCGTGAATCCATCGCCGCCAGCGTCATGTTCCCCGTGCAGACGTTCCTGCAGGCGCAGCAGAGCGTTTTCCAAAAGAGCTGGTCGGGCGTGCCGTGGGCCATCATGGGCTGGACGCTGCGACAGATGGGCCTCGTGGACCCGGCCAGGGGCGACGACAGGCTGCCCAAGGGCCAGTACGTGCTGCTGGAGAACGTGGAGGCGGCGACGAAGCAGTTCAGCGACATCATGGCCGAGCACACGTCCAAGTTTGATCGGGTCTTTACAAAGTCGCAGTTTTACAACACGTTTGCGTCGGATCTGATTGACAGTCAACGACTCTCCGAGGCAGACATGAATGTTTTGCTGTGCTATCTGTCCCGAGACAAGGGCCTCATTGAATACGACGGCAGAATTGTACGGGTCAAGGGTGTCGGGGACCAGTCCGGCATTACAGAAGACGACAAGGCCATTGCCTCGCTCAAGGAAGTCACACTCAAGGTCAAGCACCAGGCGGACCTGCTCAGCGCCCGCATCGACGAGTTGGAGCTGGACGCGAAGAAGGCGCTCGCGCGCAAGAACAAGGTGTCGGCGTTGGCCGCGCTGCGGCAGAAAAAGGCGGCCGAGCAGACGTTGTCGACGCGCTACGCGACGCTGAACCAGCTCGAGGAGACGGCCAACAAGATTGAGCAGGCCGCCGACAACGTTGCCGTCGTGCGGGCTCTTGAGGCATCGAGCGGCGTGCTGCGGAGCCTCAACGCACAGATTGGCACGCCGGACAAGGTCGACACCGTCATGGACGAGCTGCGCGAGCGCGTGGCCGACACGGAAGAGCTCGCCGCGCTGCTCGCCGAGTCGACGGGCGCGCCGGTTGACGACGGCGAAATCGACGACGAGCTCGCCGAGATGGAGCGCGAGGCCAGGGACAAGGAGGAGGAGAAGCAGGCAGAGAGCGCAAAGCACGAAATCGAGAGCCTCCCAGAGGTGCCGACGGCGGAAGTGTCGCCGCAGAAGCAGCCTGCAAGAGAGAAGTCGCCCACGTCGGAAACGGGAATCGGAAAGCTGTCGCTGGCAGACTAGACGGACGAGTAGAGTGTGGGAGTTAGTTATAGAAACAGATGCCGGCCCCCCAATGGAGAGGGAGGGCACAGGCTGTAATATTGACGCTATATAATGCAATCATTTATGTGCCGTTGCTGAGCATTCGCAGCTTTTCACCTCAACTCCTCATGGCCTGGATCCCGTCACCAATAACTCCGGCTCCCCAATTATGCAGAGTAAATTGCAAATGCCAACCCGTGATATAACTGCAGAACCATTCCTGTTGCGCTTCCAAGCAAAGCATAGTTCGCCCGGTTATAAATACTGCTCTTGCCTGATTCCGTCTGCCTGGCTTGATAACGGCGGCGCGGGCTCTTCAGCCTCTCCTTGTATTGATGCAACTGATGAAATCTGCTTTGGCGACGCCGGTATCACGCAGTGGCTCTGCGCGTCATCTGCGCTCCCGCCATCTTGCCTCGCCTTATTTTCCGCCTCCTCCGGCTCTGCCCCCTCCGCGGCCGCATCGTCGGCCCTTCTCTGCGCCGCGAGCCTGGTCCGGCGTGCATCCGCGATTAGGTCCTTGAACGAGCCCTCGTGCTTGCTCGCCCACGCCGCGCCGTCAAATTCCTTGTCCTTGACGGCGTGGGCCGCCTGCGCCGCGGCCCGGCTCGGCGGCGGCGCCTTCCCGCCCTGCGTGCGCTCCCACACGTCCAGGTCGCGCAGCAGCTCGGCGCGACGCCGCGGCGCCGCGGCGTCACAGTTGGCGTTCCATATAGTCAGCCACTCCTTGTGGCGCCGCTCCAGCAGCGGCCGCGGCCCCTGGTTGGAGATGCCAATCTCGGCCAGCTTCTTGCGCAGGGCCGCCTCTTTGAAGATGGAGTAGCTGAGGGACGGGAGCCGCTCGAGCGTCGTTTGCCGCTGCCGCTGCATCTGGCCGGTCGGTGGCGGAGGGGCGTCGTCGTGGTTGGCTGGTTTTCGCGGGCTGGCTTCGGCGACGGAGGCGTCGGGGCCGGGGCACGATTCGAGATGGGCAAAGACTTGCCATTCCTTCATGCGCCGTTGGCACATGGGACAGGGTACTAGTCCGTCGTCTGTATTGTTAGACCAGTGTTCACGTCTCTGGGTTTTCGACGCGACATACTATTATCTGGCTCAAAGTCCTCGTCTTCGGAGTCCTCCACGACGTCTACACTCGGCGTAGGTGGTGTGGTGTCGGCACGGCTACTCAGCCTGGCCGAAGACCGTAGACGTTTCGAGCGTGGTTCGGTCTGTGAGCTGCTGTCATCGCCGCCGCCGTCGGCTTTGCGCTTTGGCAGCTGCTTCTTGTCGACGCTGGCACTGAGCGCAAATTTAAGCGCTTCCTCTCTGGTTTTCGAAAAGGCAGCGACGGTCTGCTCCATGGACCAATTACTCCGCAGCTTCAGCTCCTGGTCCGTCGCGCGACACAACGGACACTTGCTGTCGTTGGAGAGGGCCCGCCGGATGCATATTGAGCAGAATGTGTGTGCGCACGACGTGATCATGGGCGTCTTGTAAAAGTCTTTGCACACTTCGCAACGCAGTGCCGATTCGACCGCCGACAGGCCCGACAACGGCGTCGACAGCCAGTCGGTCGAATCCGCAACATCGTCAACAGGCATTTCGCTGGCCAGCGCGAACGGTGATTCTCGAGAATGTCCCCGGCCGCAGACAATTCTTTCGCGACTCTTTACACACTGTATTCCGCTCTGAGCGTCGGAGAGCTATCGAAGGCGTTTAACCGCTGAATACAGTCAATCTGCTCTTGGAAAAAACTGAGGCGCAAGCAGAGCCGGATTAGCGACCAACGACATGGCAATCCGCGTCGTGTGAGTGGACTTTTGACTGCTAGATCGGCCCACTGGAGTGACGGATATTTAGTGGATGACGCTCACTACAACAACCTCTTTACAGTGGTTGAGTGGCGGACGAACGCGTCACGTGCAGACGCGTTCCACTTGACGCGTCTTTGAGATGCCTCGAATAGTCTTCATGTTCCATCACGACAGCTTCGAGTTCGTGCATTCTTTGGCTTCTGATTCTCATTGGACTTCAGGATGGACGAGCACAAGAAGTTTCTAGCGGATCGCATACTGAGCGAGGAACGGCCAGTAAGTCTCGTCGATGCACTCTACTACGAGAATCCGCATTGATTCGGGCATAGATTACCTATCGAATATTGAGCCGCGCCTTGGATGTCAATGTCAATACTGCAAAGGAGTATGTATCAATCTTGGAACCCGAGAGACTACTACTGACCGAAGATAGAATGCTCTTTGATTTTTACCAATATCAGAATGCGTTGCGTGCCGACTCCGTACACGCCACATACCTCGTCTATGGAGCCAAGGACGCCCTCCCACAACCAGACGTTGATGTTGAGATGGGCAGCTCTCAGCCGGAGCCCCTTACTGAAACGGTGCCAACCATGACCATGACCCTGGTCAATCATGACAAGCTTGAAGGTTCAGCTCTGGTAGATTAATGAAATTTACTTCACTTTGCTAACTTTCTTTTAAGATACCCTGCGCCAATATAGCAAAGTAACAGCTATACACATATACAGCTTGGCTCCGAACCCCCAAAAAGATTTGGTTTTGCTGGCCGATGTTGCCAAGTCCATTTCCGAGTACGCCACTAATGAGGATGCGGCCGCCTCATCTAAGAAGTATGGCACCATCTATAATCCTCACACGCGGCGGAGAAATCGAAAGAAGGGTGTCCCTGCGCCAACTCCTGCACCAGCTGCTGCGAAGAAACCAGAACCTGCCGTAAAAGCTGTTGCGCAACCTGCCACCACCACCCCAGCCCCTGCGAAAAAGGAACCAGCCCCAACCACAATCAAGCGAGAGGCCTCGTCGTCAAGTTCGACAAAGAGCACTCCAGCACCAAAAAAGGGTGGCGGCGGCGGAATTATGCAGTCCTTTGCAAAGGCTGCCTCTAAGCCACCGAAGCCTAAACCAGTGGTGAAGAAGGAGGAAGATACGACTATGGCTCTAAGTGACGACGGAGAGGCTGATGACGACGTGCCTGCCCCAAAGAAGACTGCTGCCGAGACAGAGTCTCTAAGGCAAGCGAAGAGAAAACGCGAAGAGGACCTGCGGCGTATGATGGAGGAGGACGATGAAGAGGAGGAAGAAGAGGAAAAGGAAGCAGATGATGCCGAGATGGAAGAGCCAGAGCCTGAACCCGAACCCGAACCCGAGCCGGTAAAGGAAGAGAAGAAAGAGCCGGAAGAGGTCGTCTCTACATCGTCGAATGGTCGTCGGCGCGGTAAACGTCGCGTAATGAAGAAGAAGCGGATGCTGGACGACCAAGGATATATGGGTGAGTTGATTACGTGTCATGGATGTACGTGCTCGATCTCTGACAGACAACTAGTTACAATTCAAGAAGCCGCTTGGGAGTCATTCTCAGAAGACGACACTCCCGCGCCGCCGAAAAAGGAAACACCAAGCTCTACACCTGCCTCGTCAGGCGGAAAACCCAAGAAAGCGCCAGCCGCCAAAGGCAGCCAAGGAAACATCATGTCATTTTTTGCAAAGAAGTAGTCAGCTCATGTGCCAGAATGAAGTATAAATTTGGCTTGAAGTTGATTTCGATCTTTCCTGCCCGTTTTCTCTTTCCCTCTCCTTTCGTTCCTGTGTTGACTTCTTGAGCGGGTACAATCTATACAAACTGCCTCGTGTCACCTTGACCGAGCATTTTCTGCTCGAGAGCTTTGTAGTGTTGTTCATTTTTTTCGATGCGGACCAAGACTTTCTCCAGCCTCTTGACGCCCTCTTCCAACTCCTCCTCGGGCAACCACGAGAAGCACAGCCGAAAATACTGATCGAAGCTCGTTTTTGTCTTTTCTCCCTGGACCGTAAACATGTTGCCGAAGCCAATTATGACATTTTCCTCCTCACTGGCCACTTTTGCAACCAAATCCGCCGAGAAGCCCGGCTTCAACTTGAGCCACAGGAAGTAGCCGCCAAAGGACTTGCCGCCTGTCAAACTGGCCTCTCGAAACATGACGCCGTGCGGCGCCAGGTGCTTGCGCACCGCGTCCAGCAGCAGACGGTGGCGCCGCTGCAGCGCCGGCCGCAGGATTTGATGAATGTTGCGCTCCAACTCGCCGCTGTCGACCAAGTCGGAGAGCATGCCGGCGCACAGCTGGCTCGGGGCGCCGCCGGACCGCGTCGACCCGGTGCTGGCGAGGCCGGCGACGAAGGCCGGCGACGCTTCGGCCCACCCAGTGCGCACGCCAGGGCCCGAGATCTTGCTAAAGGAGCCGTTGCTCACTGTGTGCCGGAAGCCGTCAGGGTCGCCGTCAGCGCGCGGCAGGGCCAGGTCAATGTCGCAGAGGCGCGGAAGCAGCGTCTCGGGCGCGGGCGCGGCGGTGACGGGGCCGTCGAGCGGCCACTGCAAAAAGTCGTAGACGTCGTCAGAGATGATCAGAGCGTCATGCTTGCGCGCGAGCCGGACCAGAGCCTCGCGGCGGGCGACGGGCATTGACTTCCCCGAGGGGTTGGCGCATGTCGGCACGAGGTAGACGAGGTGCCGGTAGAACTTGCGCTTTGGGTGCGGCAGCTTGGTGGGCTATGAAACGGGCATTGGGGTCAATTCAACACTTTAGGAGCTACGAATGACGAGGGCAAAAAGAGAGTGCCGCGAAGGGTAATGAAAAGAACCGACCTTGCCGAAATCCCGACCCTTTTCCTCCTGCTCCAGCGCCTCCATCCTCTCGCGCAGGGCGTCGACGTCGACGCCGTCTTCGTCCTCGGGCGTGGCCCGCACGCGGCCCCCGCCGAAGCCGGCGTCCTGGAAAATGGGCACGGCGAGGTGGTACACGGGCGCGACGGCCCAAACGGCGCGCGTGACGTGGGCGTCGCTGAAGCTCTGCAGGATGCGGGCGAGGTTCTGGCTGGCACCGCCAGTGACGCAGATGCGGTCCGGGTCCGGCGCGACGCCGTAGTGCCGGCCGAGCCACGTCGCCAGGCCGCGCCGCAGCGGCGCGTAGCCCTCGTCGGCGCCGTACTCGAGCAGCGGGGTATACACGTCCGGCCGGTCCGTTGCGAGCACGCGCTGGCACGCGGCCGCGAGCTGCCCGGCGGGGAGCAGCTCCGGCGCCGGCCAGCCGCGGATAAAGTTGATCTGCGTCTTTTGCATCGGGGTTTTGGGTTGGTCTGTTAGCTTGGCGGGGAGAAGGCGGGGAGAAGGCGGGGAGGTTCCCTTTCGGACTCTCGCTATGTCGTGCTTCTTCAACGCTCGGGCTAATCGAAAAAGTCCGTTCCAAAGGCGTCCGGGTTGAGTCAACTTGCCTAGCTTGATCAAGTCCAATAGCTCAGCCACCGACATTACGCGATATTTTTTAAACTCCTCTGTGTGTTGCCCGCTGTTCGCTAGTAAATCCGTTTTCTGATCCGCCCAGCCTGGCTGTGACGTCAGCTGCTTCACTACTATTAGGCGGCGGTTCTATTTCTATAAACAGCCTGCCAGCTTTGCGCCAACATTTCAGCAGCGCTGACTACTAAACTCTATTATTTTCTCATAGTCATATCAGACACGACCATAGTTGGCAGTGAAACGGACTTTCTATGACAAGTTGCCCGCAATCCGCTGGAATCCCTTGCTTTTGCCATCTTATCACACGCCTACAGCAGGATGCGCTACTAGCTCACCACCCCTTTCAATCTAGTATTAAAGCAAGTGCCATCCAGAACAGAGCAACTAGTTGCAAACATTCTTCCTTCTCAAAAATTTTTGAGACTTGGCCTCGTGGATTGAACTAAATCACCTTCGACTCGGCCACTGTAGCGGCGCCATGCCAGCAGATACGACTACAGCGCTACCCGATGAGGAGCCTGCAGACTTGTTGCATTCTCCAATCAGCTTTTATAGACAATGCTTTGTATCTTGATGAGCTCACGCTGTGACCGAGAATATCTGTGGACTCAGCATCGTCTACGACATAGGCTGCTAGCCTTTGCTGTCGCATATTAGACATGGGCGTAACTTATCATTGGTTCGTTGCAGCTAACCCGCTAGTAGCTGGCCATTGACGCTTGCAATCTGCGTCTTTGACACCCTCGAGCCAAGGAAACTGTCGGCATAATAAGAGTTTCCCGTGCAGTATAACATGGATCCAGCCGAGTAAATTCAACAAGAAACGTACGTAGCTTGATGCTCCTGAGGGGAGGGTGTTCTCTCGTGTACTCAAAAGTTGCGAAAGTCACCCTTAACCCTTGACCGTTGACCCTAGGTTCTTGCGGGCGGTTGACTTGGCCTTTCCAACGAAAAGACAAGACAGAGTCGTGCGACTAAAAGCCTATGCGAGTTTTGGCCAGGATTCAACCTGGTATATTTACATTTAAATTGATCATTATTCGCCATGTGCATCCCTTGTCTACGAAACTATGTAGGTGCCGGAGTTGGGCTATGCTCACGAGGTGTAAGATGGAGCGACAAGAACCTGCGAACGAGACTCCGGGGTAACTAACATATTGGCACAGTATCTCGGAACACACAAAAAACTAAATCGATAGTTACACCAACCGTCTAAAGATACAGTGCAGGACCAGATCAGCACACCGTGTGTAATGTAATCAAATAACTACCCCGCGGCCGCCAAGTCGTGTCCACCTCTCTCCGCAATTCCACCAGGGAGGATTACGGACCTTTGCAGAAGTCCGGTCGCATTGAGCTACAGGACGGTGTCTTTTTCTGCGAGATTGTAAAAACCCTTTTACGGCATAGTACATCTACCACAACTGGCAAGATGCTCTAATTAGCTCACGTTATGCAGGTCGGCTAGGCCACATTAGTGCATGAGCCGGCCATGGCTACCGACATGAATAGAACTATCATTTGTACGTGGGTAGCGGCATGTAAACTGGTGCCGAGGCGTTGATCATGTACTCCGTACAATCAATCCCGGATCCCCGGCCCCGGTCGAGCATGGTATCTAGTACATATACACAGCCACGCAGTCAAATGATTTCGGGACAGCTCATCCTCAATCCCTTTATATAAGTCATCCTCTTGGACGAGTACGGCAATTACAGCCGGTACGAGAAACAAAAAGAAAGATAATGGCACAAGTCCAAGGCACCTGCGACGAGCGCTTTGCGGCGCTCCGCACCATTTTCCAGCAGCGCCTGGACTCTGGCGACGACCTCGGCGCCTCCATCACCGTCGACCTCGACGGTCAAAACGTCGTGGACCTCTGGGGCGGCTACACGAGCAGCGAGCGCACGCAGCCCTGGGAAAAAGACACGATTGTCAACGTGTGGTCCTCGAGCAAGACCATCATCGCCCTTGCGGTGCTCATGCTCGTGGACCGGGGCCTCATCGACGTGCACGAAAATGTGGCCGCGTACTGGCCCGAGTTCGCGGCCAACGGCAAGGAGCACATCAAGGTGCGGCACCTGCTCTCGCACACGGCGGGCCTGAGCGGCTGGGAGGCGCCGCTCGCGCGCGAGGACCTATGCAACCGCGAGAAGGTCACGCGGCTGCTCGCCGAGCAGGCACCGTGGTGGGAAGCCGGCGCCGCCTCGGGCTACCACTCCCTCACCATGGGCTTTCTCCTCGGCGAGCTGGTGCTGCGCGTGACGGGCCGGACGATGAAGCAGTTCATTGCCGACGAGATTGCCGCGCCGCTCGGCGTCGACTTCCAGCTCGGCGCCGCCGAGGAGGACTGGCCGCGCGTGGCCACGCTCGATACGGGTGGCCACGGCGACATGACGCTGCCTCCCGGCGCGCCCGAGATCACTGTCAAGTCGCTCCTCAACCCGCAGCCCAACGGCAACAACGCCAATTCGGAAAGCTGGCGGCGGGCCGAGATTGGCGCGGCCAATGGCCACGGCAACGCCCGGGCCCTGGCCAAGATCATGTCGGCCATTTCGCTCGGCGGCGCCGTCGACGGCGTGCGGCTGCTGTCGCCCGCCACCATTGCGCTCATCTTTGAGGAGCAGGCGCACGGCGTCGACATGGTGCTGCACAGGAACGTGCAGTTTGGCATCGGCTTTGGCATCTGCACCGCCGGCGACTCCGCCGTCAACGAGACCCTACCCAAGGGCCGCATCTGCTACTGGAGCGGCTGGGGTGGCTCCCTGGTCGCCGCCGACACGGAGAGGCGCCTGACCTTTTCGTACACGATGAACAAGATGTGGATCAACGCGGGCACAATAGGCAACCCAAACACGCGCGCATACGGCCGCGCCGTCTACGCGGCGCTGGGCGTCGAGGTGGGCACGCAAGAGCCTTGAACCAGATGAGCCGATGCCAGGCGGCTGGTGCGTTGAAAAACGGCTATATATTGAAGATAGATTCTAAATCCACTTTCAAGCAAGATATTCATCTTGTGTGTGCATGGAGAGCAAGATGTACTGCCCTACTTAAGCCATTTCTGCTGTGCCGTGATGTCAACGCGTGGTTCAAATTGCATATGCTCCTTGCGCAGCTCGGGAGCGAATGCGGTTAAATTGTCAATGTGTTGCGTCATGATCGGTTGCTATATCCGTAGTCACGAAACTGTGTTGAAGGCTAACAATGTATAATCATAGGATACTTCATAAACGTCGTCTATTTGGAAAGGGTTATGCTTTTCCGCCAGCCGCGCCAATGTGATAGGGAGCCGCACCACTACCAAAGATGAGATGTGGCTTGCGCTTGGCCAAGTCGAGAATGGTCACGGCAAAGACACCGTTGGCCCAAGCAAACCAGCTGCGTGTGTATTGGGCGATATAGTTGACATCGACACTCTCATGAACGAGACCTTTGGGGGAGGCAGCGAGAACCATGTTGACGCACGCCATAATCTCATCGTCGTCGTCGGATGTCTGAGCTTGGACCAGCAAGCTCATGGGCCAGGCATTCTTCAAGCCAATATGGGGACCTATGAGCCCACGTTAGAGTGCGCTACACTGCAAAGGTCTGTAGCTTTACGAGAGTTGTTCTCACCTCCAATGCCCTTAAACTTCTTTCCAGTCAGGTAGTATGGGTTTCCTTTCTTGCTAAGAAGCATCTTGCGTGTATTTTGGTAAATGGGGTCCTTGACGTCGACAAACCCCATCAAAGGCAAAGCCAGCAGCGAAGGATAGTTTGCATCATCCATGATGATAGAGGAGCCAAAGCCATCCACTTCATAAGCAAAAATCTTGCCAAAGGTCTTGTGCTCAATGACGCCGTGCTCCATGACACCTTCACGTATCGTCTTGCTCCACTTGTCGAGCTCAGCGCCGGCCGCATCCTTGCCAATTTTGTTGAGCATGGCAGCAGCGCGGCCTAATTCGACAGACATCATAGCATTTGCCGGGATGAAGAAGCCGAGAATGGTGGCGTCGTCGCTGGGTCGAAAGGCCGATCGCACAAGTCCGGTGCCGTTGTTGAGAGGGTTGCCCACGCCGAGAAGGTTGAGCGTCTCGGTACCTGTATTGGTCTTGCGCTGAAAGGTGTACTCGTTCCTAACATAGTCACCATCGTCGTTGAACGTAGGTTTCGACTGTTCCTCAAGGACCGACAGGACAGCGTCCACAGCAGAAAGCCACCGTTTGTTGACGAAGTCGGAGGAGCCCGTGTGTTCGTAAAAGTCGTTGCCAATCTTAAGAAAGTGTGCGAGCGAGTCGAGCTCATACTTGCACTCAAACACGGCGCTGGGCTCATAGGCCGGATAGACGACATCGTCTTGGCCGTTGGCCGAGACGGGCAGGTCGCTAATCGGCGGCGGCTGAAAGGCGTTGCAGTATGGCGCCTCAATGATATACTCGGACTGAGTGTTGATGGCGCCGAGGATCAGTTCAAAAATGGCCGAATCCTTGGAGGCGAGCTCCTGGTAGGGGCGCAGCTGGTTTGTCGAATCGCGCAGCCACTCGGCAATAATGTCACCGGTGATGACAAAGCTCTGCGGTCCATTCCAAGCGTCGTCGTCCTCGGCCCATCGTGAACCGGTCATACGGACGAAGCCCTGATCCTTTTCCTTGCTGTGGAATTTGATCGTTGTATCCGTGGTCGATGGGAAGGCGTTTTCAAACAGGCGCGCCAAGTCTGCATCTTTCATGCGAGAGGTGACGTCGTGAATCACATTCTCAATGGCGTCGGACCGAAAAGTTCGACATTCGGGGGAGGGTCTTTGGAAGGGAAGCTTGAGCTTGCCCGTGCTCAGAGGGTGACTGCAAATCAGTTAGCTGTGCGCCAGGCCATCGTTGCCGCGGCTTGTCCTGGTTCCTCCCTTTGTTTTGTTTGGCACACAAAGCGTCCACCAGTATAGACTTACTGTGGATAGGTGGCGTAATTGGCGTAATTTGGACAGGCCTTCTTCAAGAGAGCTTGCTTGGGCTTGCTGGCGTCTGCATCAACAGCGACAGCGACAGCCATCAACCCAGCGAGCCATCGCGCAGCCATCGCGTTGGTCAAACCCGGGGCCTCGTTGCGAGTTTCGTGGTGTCAATTCTCGACTATTAGCCTGATTGGCAATGATTAGGACGTGATGTGATGTGATGCACAAAGGCATTCGAAAAAACACGAGTAGGCAGCTTATGTGGTTGTAGCTTCAAAGTTTCAAAGTGCCAATGGAAACGGACTTTGGTCGTTGATCGTCACAGCCCAGCGAGTTTATTTTTAGCGAGCCGTTCATAGCTTCATTAGCGCTACCAGGTACCTGCAGGCTGCCGTTACAATTGTCGACTGCCGACTATGGTAGCTGCACTGCATAACTCTTGTTGATCACTGGGCTCGATATCTAGCATTTGCTTTTCGGGATTTGGATTGATTGTTTCACCAAGAATGAAAAGGATGAAGAGATGGTCGGCGCGCAAACATACCTGAATATCTTGCGCCGCTCTGTCACACTGCAGGATCGAATTTCACTCTCACGGCTTCGAACCACTGGTACAACGGTTAATAAATTAAAATTAGTCGTACTTCAAGGATCATCCATTGTCGCCATCCTTTCGTCACAGACACTCAATCATCACTAGTTGGGAGCGACGCTACGATATTCATTGGTTCGCCTGCAGGGTACCCTTTTCCGTCAGGCTTGGTCAACCTCTAAAAAAAACCACTGTTTGTTGCGATTCTCGCTGCTCATAGTTTATTACTAAAATGGGTATCATGATATATTGAACCTATGCTGAAAACACCGCTGCCAACTCGGAATTAAAGAACCGCAAAGAACCGCACCGGTGTTTACCACCCCCACGTACGACTAGATGCTGTAAATACGGGCGGCTTCCACTGCACCTTGGCAGGATCCAGCGTCCGTCTTGGCTTTAGCAGTCGCTTTTCGCGCTGCTCTATCAGCTTCTCCGGTATCACAATCTTGTGATCACTCTTGTGGTACACCTGCATCTTCATCGCCTGCAACGTGTGCTCCACGTCCACCGTCGTCATCGCCAGCGCCGACGAAATCGCCTCAATCGTCACTTTTTCGCCGCGCTCGCAGGCGCCCACTAGCAAGTCTAGAATATTCTCCGCCCAGTACTGGCGATAACTCAGTAGTCCCAGGTCGGAGAGCGGCTTCTCGGGCGAGCCCAGCTTGCCTTCAATCTTGGACAGCTCGTACGAAAACTGGATAAGCAGTCGTCCGTAGCCTTTTCTCTGATATTGCGGTAACGTTAGGATACACGCAACATTGTATCCATCCGCGCTTTCCTTCTCCTTGGAAAAGTATCCGACAAAAGGGAAACCCTTGTCTGTGCGCGCAGCCATGACGTAAAACAGAAATGGATCGACGTCGTAGTACAACGTCTTATGATCCAGAAACATTTTGGAGACCAAGCACAGGTTTCGGCACCACGTGCGTTGACGTCTACCATCAATTTCAAAGAATGATACATAATCGTCTCTGTATATTTCGTTGCCAGGCGGATGTTGTAGCGTGCATTTGCGGCGATGGCGGTTGAAGGAGAACTCGTCTCCGTAGTAGCTGAGGCAAAACTCGCAAATGAAGATGATATCTTCACCACTAAACGCCTCTGGGTACGGCGAAAAGTACCAGGGAAACAAGTCAAACTTTCCAAACTGGACCTTGGATATATTTCGAATACGCGAGACTTCGGTCGGGTTCTGCGTCATGGAGCCCGATGTTCGGAGCTTCTCGATTTCCTGCTCGCGGCTGAACTCCTCCTTATCCTCGTCCTTTTCATCGAGATCCATTTCGTCGCCGCCCGCTGGTGTCGCCGTCGGGGTCGTGCCCGGCCCAGCGCTGTCAGGTGCCTGCGAATCTCCATCGGGGCCGACCGACGCAGACTTGCGCTGCGATTCGACAAAATCGCTCCATGGATGGGGTGTCGTCGTTTCTGATTTAATAGAATCTTCACGCTTACCAGGTCGCTTCTGGTTCTTCTTGGCAATAATGGATTTCCTGGCCGCGCCCGACGGCACTTTTTTCTTGGCCTCCTTTGGCTTGTCCTTTTCCGGGTTCGGCCACTCAACCTCCTGCGACAGGTCGATGCGCGCCAGAGGAACCCATTCGTCGAGACGTTTGTTGAAGTTGTCAAAGTTGCAGTAGAACTGCTTGCCGCTCTTGGTCTCTTTGATGCTCAGGATCTCGGCGCGGCGCGGCTGGCCGTCCTTTTTGACCCAGGCAATGACACCGGTCGCGAGGGTGTCAGGTGTCGCAAAGGACTTGAGGCGCGGCACGTCAGCGCCGACAGCTGGCTCGCCGTTGGATGGGCCCGCAGCCATTTTGTTACAAAGTGGTTGGTACGCGGGCACAACTGATGAAATAGGAATTGCTATGCGATGCGCGCGCGATGGAAAATGATGCAGATGGCGACTTTGGTCTAGGATGCGCAATGGCAGAAAGGCAGGTTAGTGGTGGGTGGCGACTAGTTGGGCAGGCGGTGGGAAGCCACCCCATGCCAGTAGGTGCCTAACTTACCAGTACAAGTAATAACAGCAAGCCATAGTTATTGCAACTCTTCTTCGTCCACGTTGGCGTTTAGATAGATGCGTCGAAGCAAGGTGTCACAAAATATGCAACAGCCAAGGCTCGCAAATTATTAGGCACCTGCGCCAGTAGAGTAGTTTTACTCGCTTTTACCGCAATCAAACGTCGTGTGCATCCACGGCTTCTTCTCATCATCGGAGGTAGAATAGAAACGCAGAACAATGTTTGACGGCTGCATTTTTCATGACAATATTTTAGATTTTACTTTCCTTTTTCCTAACTGTAGAAGCATTGTTTTATCCCATGGCTGGCGTATCGCTCGTCGATATCAAACTACTCTGTTGTCACTTACACCAACAGCGGCCCACACATTTCCGTGGCTGGTTCGACGCCGCCCAAAAACCGAGATTTTTGGTTCTACCATTGTCAATGCGGATTTGGCAAACCACCCTCGTCCGCAGACTACACTTTCCAAAACATCACTATGAATTAAAGATACGGTACTCTATAATGGCTACCCTATCTTCCAATTGGAAAAAGCTCCAGGCAAAGCTGAAGGCCGATTCAGAGGCCAAGCCCGGTGTGAAACGCAAGGCAGACGACGACATAACCTCCTCTTCCGCTCCCGACAAGGCCAAGAAGTTAAAAAGAAGTACTGCCACCAGCAGCAATTCAAACGTTACGGCGAACAAGGGCCCGCGGGAATCCAAACTCGGGAAATCAAAGGGCATTGGCAGCAAGATGGGCGCCGCTCAGAGCAAGATCGCCCAGGGTGACCACAAGCACGGCGTCAGCCCCTCGGCCGCTGTCTGGGCCGCCGGCAACGACATATCTCCAGAGGCGCTCGCTGAGGCGTACCAGCTGGGTTCGCGGGACAGCTCCATGGTGCTGTCAGCGCAGCATGATGAGATCAACCGGGGCCTGACGCCCGGGCTCGAGCTGGGCAAGTACGTTGCCATGGACTGCGAGATGGTCGGCGTCGGCCCCGGCGGATACGAGTCGGCGCTCGCGCGCGTCAGCATCGTTGATTTTCACGGGCGGCAGGTCTACGACTCGTACGTGCGGCCGCGCGAAAAGGTGACGGACTGGCGCACGCCCGTGAGCGGCGTCTCGCCGCGCGAGATGCGCAACGCGCGCGACTTTGCGACTGTGCAGCGCGACGTGGCCGGCCTCCTCGACGGCCGCGTGCTCGTCGGCCACGACGTCCGCCACGACCTGGACGCGCTCGAGCTGAGCCACCCGCTGCGCGACATTCGCGACACGGCCAAGCACCCCGGCTTCCGGCGGCACGCAAACGGGCGCAGGCCAGCGTTGCGCGTGCTGGCGCAGACGCTGCTGCGCGTCGAAATCCAGGGCAGCGCGCACTCGAGCTTGGAGGACGCGCGCGTGACGATGCTGCTGTTTCGCAGGAACAAGTCCGAGTTTGACGTAGATCACGCCAATCGGTTTGCGCCGAGGCCGACGGCGGCGATAGCAGGCAGTGCAAACACGAAAAAGGCGAAGAAGAAGAAGAAGCGGTAGGTAGGATAGTTGTCGTTATCTTGTCAGAGTCTATTGTAAAGCCAACGCAAATCGTGTATATAAGCTGCATCTAGATACCCCCGAGCACCTGAAAATATAGAGCCATGAATAGCATTAAAAATGCACCGAAAATGCAGTCGCTGCCAGTCGGCCGTTACAGGGGAATGCCCTCCATGAGTTCAAGCGTGCGCTCACGCCCTACCGTAATTATGACGTCGCCAAGAGTCTTTGTGATGAACCCTGCCTCGCAATAGGTAAAGTAATACTGTGATTAATTAGCAGTTGAGTTGCCGTGGCGTACATATCTTTTCAGGCATTGTGCTTACCTCCCACTTTCTTTTAAAGACGTTGACGGCTTCTTTTGTCATATCAGGATGCTGCTTGAGAAGAGCCGGACGAATCTTGCTCTCAAAAGTGCCCATGAATTGCTCGCGCCATAAACGCAACGTTCTGGCGTAGTGGCCGCCAATATTTTCAAGATTTTCGACAATGAGCGTGCCTTTGGACTGGGTAGTGATATGATTGAGGAGCTCCGTGATCGAGGGGAGGTAGCCTCCAGGGAAGATGTAATGCGAGATGAAGCTGGAAAGCGGTCAGCAACGAAGATGGCCACCAATAAAACAGAAAAGACCTACTCTTCCGATTTGGCGTATGCCTCGCATCGGCATTCTGGCATTGTGATGCACTGGAACATGGCCACTCCGCCGTCTTCCTTGAGAAGCCTATCAATGCAGTCAAAGTATGTGGCCAAGAATTCCTTTCCGACAGCCTCCAGCATCTCAATTGACACAATCTTATCGAACCGTTTCCCTTCGGGTAGCTCGAGCTCTCTGTAGTCGCACAGCAAAACGGTGATGCGTTCCTGCAGTCCGGCAGCCGCTATCCGATCCTCTGCCAAGGCTTTTTGTTCCTTGGACAGCGTCAGGCTAGTTACGCGGCAGCCTGACTTGGACACGGCCTCGATGGCAAAAGAGCCCCATCCAGTGCCAATCTCCAAGACGTGGTCGTCAGATTTGAGTTTGCAGCCGTCTATAAAGCGATGCAGTTTACGGAGCTGTGCAGTCTCGAGCGACTCTTTAGTGTCTGTGTTTGCAATGTCGTTCAGTCGATCCCATACGGCACATGAATATGTCATGTCCGGGGAGAGAAAGGCGGCAAACATGTCGTTGCTAATGTCGTAGTGAGCGGAGATGTTGAGAAGCGCGCTGCCCAAGGCATTATTGGCACGAGCTAGGGCGGAGATGGCGGCCGAGACGCTAGATATCCAGGTCGTGCCGTTTCCTAGGCAGTCTCTATTGACGATGAAGAGCTGCAGAGGAAGAATTAGCTATCTCTTCAGCACAAGAGTGAAAGTAAAGTAAATGCATAGATAACAGCGAGTGTGAGCGCAATCGTACTTGAAAGAAAGACGTCAGATCCTGGCATTCAAAGTCGCCAAGCATGTAGGCTTCGGCGAATCCCATGTCACCGAACAGAAACAGGCGCATCCAAAACGCATCATTCTTGACAATTAGCTCGACCCGAGGGAGTGTCGTGGCATGGCGCGTTGCGCTGGCCTCGACATTGGACAGATCTGTGGTGCCGTCGAGCTTCTGGCCAAAGATGTGGCGTGTGCCGGCGGGCTCGTCGACTAGCAGCAGCGTACCGGTTTCGATCCTGGAGAGGATGGAGAGGATGGCCGGACGCGCAACGGCCAGCGCAGGCTTCCAAGTGAAGCCACCAATGGCTCCTCGAGCGACCTCGACGGCGCGGGTGGCCGGGGCCGTGACGGCGGCGGGCAGCGAAGGGAACGAGACCATTGCTGCAGGCGGCACGGATATTAAAGATAGATAGAGAGACGAGGGCTACGTCTGGGTCGCTACCTACGGCCGCAAGCTGTTCAAACGTTGCTGCATCTAGAGGGGGAGGGGGAGGGACAGGCGACAGATAATAGTTATACCGGGTCTGTGGTTCCCGAAACTGTGGAATAAGAGTGAGGGGAGCTTGGACACAGACGCACAGGTTGGGCGGCCTTCTGACAATGCCGATTGCCGGAAACATTTGGCCATCCTACGAATTGGGTATCACATCGCCAAGAAGCGGAGCGCTGCCGCTGTGCAGTGGGCGCGCGATGACCAGATGGGGGTGATGATGGTGTGGGAAGGCTGGCAAACCGACGCTGCTGCAGGGCGATGGGGGTTTGTGTTGGCACGAGCTGCGATCGGGCTAGAGTACGGATACCTTGGCAAATTAGACAGGATGGATGCCAGAGAGGTAGGTAGAAAGAAGTGGGAAAAGTAAGCGTGTACTATTCTTCTAGTGGCCATGTTGGGCTTTCCACAGCGTCATTGATCAGAAAGAGGACCGTGGTTTTTTTCTGATTTGTCGACTGAGGCTGAGCTAAATATCGCCGCCCCCTCCGCACACTAGTTATCTCGCGCGACCAAGTTTCCAATGCCGATGCGTATCCATACCTGATGACATGATTCCAAACCATTTTAACAGGGCTTTATTAGACCAATTCCTCTTTGATGATTAGTTCGTGCTCGCACACGAGTCACAACCAGGCATAGCGGGGATCAAGCTCGGCGGTGACTTATTTCTACCATCACCAACTCCTCGATTAGCGGATCATGCCGTTCCCACGCAAAGGGCGTGACATATTGCGCAAACACGGCGAACCGTGCGTGTCAAGTTGGTGTAAGAAGACGGTGATTCCTGAAACTGTCCATGTTACCGTGTGACCATAACTAGGCTGTAAGGTCCTTGACACGGTCCCAGCGTTAGAATGGCAATTAAGACGGAACAAAAAAAAAAAAAAAAGCGACGCGACGCAGCTAAAGAAGCTAAAGACTGTTAAACTTTTTTTCGCCTTGTGTATTATCACAAGCCACCGAGTTGTTCTCAACTTCGACGTGCCTTAGATCTTCCGTCCTCATCATCCGCCTCATTGTACAGTGTACAGTTGTTGTTCATTGGCTATCCCGTTGGCTGCTCCAACGTCGCAAGCTTCCCTCGCCACAGTTCATCCTGAGACAGAGGCTGGATGCAATATACTCGGGGCGAATCCCGGTTGGTTCAAGTTCAGAGTTACTCCATCCGGGCGGCCCTTAGTGGTGCAACTCGGATCACAGAGCGATGGCATCGGATCCCACGTACGGAAATATCGGGTAATTAGTCAATGCCAACAACGGCATTTCTTGATAATCGACAGGGAATGAAACCCTTGTCCGGATGTCGGCTGCATAATCAATTTAGTCGTTGGAGGCACAGGTATCCGTAATTTAGTCGGTATTAATAGGAACGTGGCTTTATCAGTACAAGCCGTGGTGGGTCAACTATCAAGACGCGCTGGCCCAGCGCGTCACGACTGACAGACAAGTGACAGACTAGCACAACGACAAGCAGAAACCTGGTATACGACCAATTCTACGCCTTGAACCGCCAATTACTCTCAGTATGGCAAGTCCTCCGATGCTTTCCATCGAGAATGGCAGCGAACCAAAAAAAGTGACGGCCAATCTGCTGCCGTGCCGCATACATCACGATGGCTCCATCGACCCTGTCGGCGCATACTGGAGGCCCACGGACAATAAAGGTACCTTCTTGACCACTGCCAGCCGAAACTTACAAAAGAGCAAAGAAAGAAAAAGAGATCCGAAACAGCACATAATCTAATACACCATTCATTCTACAGACAACAGCAAAGAGGCGTACTTTCGCGGCCGAAGACTAAAGGGCAAAACGCTGCCTCTGCCTCAAGGCTATCGCGGCTTGGTCCTGGAGCGCAAGGCCGACGAGCTGAAAAAGGAAGCACAGCAGCCTTGCAACGGAGAAGCGGCCGACGATGACGATGTGGTTGCCATGGAGACTGTGGGCAAGATGCAGGCGACGGGCGAGTTTGACGAAATGGTGATTTGGTCACACGAGTCCATGGCCTCTGCCGCCGCAGATCCCTACGTGCGGAGCATTGAAGAGTGGCTACAAGTGTCTGAAAAGGCAAGGCCTGCGATTGAGGTTTCATCTGGATGTTTGAAGATGGACGACTAACGTGGTACAGATACACGGCTTCGAGGACGAGAATAGCGACAAGACGAAATGAAGACGGCTCTTCTGCTTTATATCGCCGCAATAATACCAATTGCTATCAGGGCTAGGCTCTATTTGACTTGGATGCCTGCTATATGATATAGTGGTGGTCTTCTCAGAGCTACGAAATGTTGACTGGCCAGCCTACCGGTGCAGACGTGACTGTAGCCACAGACGTACATGTCGTGGCAGTCTTTAAAAGTGTCATGTCAATCTCGAGAGTTGTCGCAACATTATTCGAATACGTCCAGGCCCATTGCAATACTCGGAAATGACCTTTCGGGCACAGCCAGCATTATACTGCCTCGCAGGCGAATTAACGCCGATTAGCTGCTCTCTCTGGGACAACACTTCCGAGGATCACAGAAAATCAAGTACAAATAACACAAGTAATAAAATACAATTTCGAGTCAACCTCCTTTTTTTCGCAAGACTGCTCTTTAATACGCGTGCTCCCTTAGCATGGAGCATGCGCTCTGCCTAACACCAAATCAATTAAAGTCGCGTCCAACGCTGCCCCTCGGACGCGTCACGGACGCGCTTTCGCGTAAAGTGTTTCTCAAGTGTCCCACCCTGCCCTCATACTTCCATCGCTTTTCACAAACTTGCATTGGGCTTCAGCCATCACCCCTCTCCAGAATATTCCACGAACTTTGATACGTCTCACCACACGCCTGCATCGTTGGTACCTGATTTCTGTGCACTTTCTGCGGAAAAAGCGACCTTACGCACCCACAGACGCAGCGCACACCGCTCACAACACCACGCATCATGGCTCCCTCGAGCGAAGCCGGGTTCATGATGTCGGACGCCCCGTCTATCGCGCCCGCGCATCGCCGGAACTTGGGTTTTCCATCGTCCTCGTCTACACGCCCTCGCGGTCCCCCGTCAGAGAACCCCGGCGCGCCCAGTGAAGATGGAACCGAGGGCTTCGCCGACGACCAGATGCCACGCACCGCCCGTGGCAACGGACAGGGCTTCGTCCCCCGCGTGCAGGACCGCATCGGCGTTCTTGTCCAAGAACATTTTGCCGCTTTTGTTGAAAGGTGCGAACTTTGTGCAGCTCGGCACGCGGAAGAGTGATGCTAATGAATACGGCAACAGCTTCACCGAGGAGCCTGTCCTTGCAGCCGCCCCGACCTCTAGTGCAGTCACAACCGACAAACTCTACATTGCCCAAATAAGAGCCATGCGCGCGTATTCGCTCTCGACATTCTACGTCGACTTCAAACACCTTGCATCATGGGAGAATGGCAGTTTGGCTGACGGCGTTATGCGCCAATACTACCGCTTCCTGCCCTTCATCACTGCCGCCCTCAATGAGCTTCTTGCCAAGTATGAGCCTCAGTATTACCGTGACCACAGACAGCCCACCTCCACGTCGAGCGCCGTGTCCACATCAGCGGCCAGCCAGGTGGGCTCCGGTACGCAGTCCGATTCTACGCATCGCATGAACGAGCGCCAGCAGACCGACAAGCTCTTCTCCGTCGCCTTTTACAACCTGCCGCTCGTCTCGCGCGTCCGCAGCCTTCGCGCCGCCAACATTGGCCAGCTGCTCTCCATCTCCGGCACTGTCACCAGAACCTCTGAAGTCCGACCCGAGCTGTCGCTAGCCACCTTTGTCTGCGAGGCTTGCCGCGCCGTCGTGCAAAATGTTGAGCAGACATTCCGCTACACCGAGCCTACACAGTGCCCCAACGCCAGCTGTCAAAATCGCTTGGCCTGGCAGCTGGACATCCGTCGCAGCACCTTTGTTGACTGGCAAAAGGTGCGCATCCAGGAAAACAGCTCCGAGATACCCACTGGTTCCATGCCCCGTACCATGGATGTCATTCTCCGTGGTGAAATCGTCGACCGCGCAAAGGCTGGCGAAAAGTGCATCTTTACCGGCGCTTTGATTGTCGTTCCCGACGTCAGCCAGCTGGGTCTTCCCGGTCTGAAACCTAGTGCGATTCGCGACGACCGCGGTGCGCCGCGTGGCAGCGAGGCAGGCGGTGCCGGCATTAGCGGTCTCAAAGCTCTCGGCGTCCGCGATCTCACCTACAGACTGGCCTTCCTCGCCTGCATGGTGAGCGCCGATACCACCTCCGCCGGCAGATCTGCCGCTGCCGGTGCTATGGACGCCATTGCTGCCCTAACCCGGAACACCGATCCCGACGACAAGCAAAGCGTCGAGCAGACTCAAGCCACTATTCTGTCATCCATGAACAACGCCGAAATCGAAGATCTCCGAGTCATGGTGCACGGCGACCACATTTACTCCCGCCTAGTGCAGTCCATTGCGCCGATGGTGTATGGACATGAAGTCGTCAAGAAAGGCCTTCTGCTGCAGCTGATGTCTGGTGTTAGCAAGACCACCCCCGAAGGCATGCAACTGCGTGGTGATATCAATATCTGCATTGTCGGCGACCCATCTACCTCGAAGTCGCAGTTCCTCAAGTACATTTGCTCGTTTGCGCCCCGCGCTGTTTACACCTCGGGCAAGGCATCTTCCGCCGCTGGTCTGACGGCCGCCGTCGTCAAGGACGAGGAGACGGGCGAGTTCACCATTGAAGCCGGAGCGCTCATGCTCGCCGACAACGGCATCTGCGCCATTGACGAGTTTGACAAGATGGACATTGTGGATCAGGTCGCCATCCACGAGGCCATGGAACAGCAGACCATTTCCATTGCCAAGGCCGGCATCCAGGCCACGTTGAATGCGCGCACCAGCATCCTCGCGGCCGCCAACCCCGTCGGCGGCCGCTACGACCGCAAGGCGACGCTGCGCTCCAACATCAACATGTCAGCGCCCATCATGTCGCGCTTCGATCTCTTCTTTGTCGTTCTCGACGAGTGCAATGAGCAAGTCGACCGCCACCTCGCCAAACACATTGTCGGCATCCACCAGCACCGTGACGAGGCCGTCGAGCCAGAATTCAGCACCGAGCAGCTGCAGCGCTACATTCGCTTCGCGCGTACGTTCCGCCCCGAGTTCACCGACGAAAGCAAAGAGGTGCTCGTCGAAAAGTACCGCGAGCTGCGCCAGGACGATGCCCAGGGCGGCATCGGCAGAAATTCGTACCGCATCACGGTGCGCCAGCTCGAGAGTTTGATTCGTCTGTCTGAGGCCATTGCCAAAGTCAACTGCGTCGAGACCATCAGCCCGGACATGGTCGTCGAGGCGTACAACCTGCTCCGCCAAAGCATCATCTCGGTCGAGCACGACGACATCGAGATGGACGCCGACGACGACGACGACGAGCCTGAGAGTGGCGACGTCCTCCGCCGCGCCGCCGCCGCCGCTTCCGGCATGGACGTTGAAACAGGCGACGACGACGCCCCCATGCAGGACAGCGCCGCCACGACCGTCACGGCTGACGCCAACGCCAACGCCGCACCATCCGCGGGCCGCGCCAAGCACAAAATTACCTACGAAAAATACATCAAGATGGTCAACCTCTTCGTGCACCGCATCAACTCGGACGAGAGCGGCAGCGGCGACGGCGTCGCCGGCGCGGCCCTCATCACCTGGTATCTCGAGCAGATCGAGGCCGAGCTTGCCGGCGAGGATGACTACCACGCAGAGCGGGCCCTCGCCGCCATGGTCCTCAAAAAGATGGTCCGCGAACACATTCTCATGGCTCTCCGCGGCGAGGGACTTGCCGAGGCCGACGCTGCGGTCCCGACGCCGTCGTCTTCGGCGGCTGCGGACGGCGACATTGTGTACGTGCTGCATCCCAATTGCGCTGTGGAGGACCTTTGAGGAAACAAAACGAAAAAAGGTATGGCTTGGGCAGGGCGAGAGGGGGAAGATGCTCGGGGGTGGCCTCGAGTGCATCAAGTATGAGGGTACATGGAGTATGAGTGATGGCTGGTCTTGTTTCTCATGATGATGGCGCTCGTTTCTGGTCTTTCATTTTGACATTGTTGATGAATATGTTGCTTCATTTGCTTATGGATAAGTTATGACATGTGGGTAAGGCGGCATGGGAAATTTTCTTCATGGCAGATGGCATGTAATTTCAAGGGTTGGTCCTTTGTTACTGTGATTCCAGAGGGAAACGATCAATGATTAGTTAAAGCTTGATGGCGTTGGGTGAAACTTCTTTACAATTGTAACAAGACAAAAACTATTCTTCCTCATTCTTCTTCTCTTGCAATGACGCGTTCGTGTCCATGTATCTGTCTACATGTCCCTGTCATGTGAACCAACGTCACAAAAGCGACCGGAAGGGGAGGTAGAGATGAGCTCGCAAGCAGCTGTCCCGTATTCTGCTCCCTCCTTATTATCCCTATTTTCCCTTCGCTCTCTCCCGTCGCCTTTTCTCATACTTCCAAAAGGAAACCTTCATAACGCATCCCTTCTGCAGCCCATGGGCACTTGCCGGCTTGCCTTGCCCTATCCGCCACTCCCAACTTCGAAACCCACAGCAAGATCAAGTTTCTTCAAGGACACGTCAATGGTGTCAAGAAGAAAAATACATGGTTCAATCGACCAAGAGAAGAACATAGTTTTGTCTCGTTCCAGCTCATATAGTGATCAAGGCGAAGAACACTTCAAAACTCTCAAAGAACATGGAAAAGAAAAGACATAGAAAGAGAGAACATGTTCTCATGCATAGAGCTTTGCTAGAACAAAATGCGCCGCGTCCGAAGGAAACTTTCAACAGTGAATAGAGGGGCGGCTATCGCACAGTGCAAAGCTAAAAACCAACACAATCGTTCCATTTCGAAGAAGCACATGTTCAGAGTACTGAAAGGTTATACATTTTAGCTGGCTACTCCGTCTGAGTAGCAGCATTGATCCGCACTTGGGTGCGATTCGTGATGGATTGGTATTAACGCCTGCGGCGCTTCTCGCGCAAACAACATTTCCCGTGATAGATGTTTGATGCCGATTAATCGTCAAGAGTCGGTTCCAAATGACTACCAGCTAGGAATAATACTAAGCCGAGAGCTGCGTTTGAGCCTGGGCTCGGCCCGTATTTCGGTTCCAGTTATCAGAAGGCTTCCCGCGGTAACCGCCACGGTTGCCACGACCGTAGCTTGTAGGCGAGTCGCCGTGTGAACTCGACGTGTCCCGTTTGCCGCCTCGTCCACCGCCGCGATGGCGAGGAGATGATCGGCTGTTGCCACAGCCGCCACGGAAAGAGCTTGCTGCTTGTGCAACAGTAATAGTCTTCTGCTCCTGCATGCCCGGGAGATGAACACGGATGATGCTAGAGTTGCCGGACTGCTCATCAGCGATCCGGAACGGCTCCATGATAGAGGCATGAACAAGGTACCGCTTAGGCAGAGACTTGAACTGAGCCACGGCGGGTTGCCAAGCTGTATCAGGAGTCTTAGTAGGCAGCCGAATGATGGGAAGAGATCCCATTTCTTGCTCCTCAAAGCATTCCTCAGCCATTGGCTTTGACTCGGGAGGCTTTGGGGCAAACACAATCCGCTGGCGTTGAAGTGGGCTGCCCGGAAGAACAACTGTTGCCGTAGTTCCTGGTGCGTTGTGCTCATAGCCAGACCGGCTAGCAACATTAACAACATACATTGGAATGGTTGGCTTCGGGGGGGAGGTCTTGTGCAGTAGGCTATTAAATCGATCTTGCCATTGTTCTTGAGAGCTCTCGGCGCTTCGTTGAGACTGATGCCCGTATGGCTGAGGTCCACGGCCGTTGGGCTGTCCTCTGTTACCCCAGACAGTTTGCTGTCGAGTGATTGCCGTCTGGTGTTGAATGGCAGACGGTGGAAGCTTCACAATAGGCTGCGGCTTCGGTAGCGACACATGGGGATGCCTGGCATCGCCTTCATATGCCGGATGGCCCTCCATGGTGGGTGGGGGAGCTGATGGAGACGAGGGTCTAATTGTATCCGGCGGCGAATCGAAGCGCTGCTCTCTCGCGGGGAAAAAGCGAGAAGTCCGTGCTTGTGATGACGTGTTGGTATTCTGTGATAGCAGATGAGCCGGCGCAGACCCGATGACTCCTGCAGGAGCGGTAGGGGGTGGCTGTTTCGAATGGCTCGAGTCTTCTCTGGTCGGCTTCCAGGTATTGGAAGTATGCATCTGCACCTCGGTGGCATTCACCACTTGGCGTGTGCCATCACCAGGTGTATGCACTTGCCGCCAAGTTTCTTTGATCACAGGTTGAGCATCATCCGCCGAGAGCCCTCTTTCTGCTAGCTGGCGTTCCATGTTGGTGTGCTCGGCTAACCTGGCAGCACTCAGCCTTTTGTCGTTATCGGCAACAGCCGCAACCCATTTACTAGCAAGATCTGTGCCAGAGGCATCATAACGTGGAGCACGGGATCCAATGGGTGCTGCCTGCATTGCTGCAGGCAATGACAATGGCTGCGGGCCATTGTTGGGCTGAATGTTAGTGCCGGCCGCGCCGGGAATACGTCCCAAGTCGGGATTGAATGTCCCGTTGCCAAGGCCACGGTCGTTATCTGGAGAGCCCCATACATTTCTCCCCAGGCCGTTTGCTCCAGCTGCCCAAGCAGATAATCGGTCTGGTCGAGGACTAGTGGCAGCCCATGTTTCGGCAGGCTGCTGTTCCTGATTCTGGGAAAGGCGTCTCGACAATGAGTCTTTGGTGCTCGCACCAGATTGATGCAAAGGCTCTCCATCAGTAGGGCCCTCACGACGATGAATTTGGGTCGGCTTAGATTCGTCGCGATTCACGCTTTCCTTCTTATCGTTCTTCTTTTCAGGTGCAGGGCCGAGCATTTCAAGCTTCTTCTGAATGCGTTCTTTGCGTGCCGCCTCCTCGCGAGCGACTTCTTCTTGTCGACGTTTTCGAGCAAGCTCAATACGTTCCTTCATAAGCTTCTTCTGATACTCGACATCGTCTTCATCAGGTACTTGAGATTCCACTTGCGTCAGGTCCGGCATTTCCATGTTTGTCCAGGCAGAATGCTGGCGACTAGGTCCATTCAAGTTTTGATGGTTGAAACGGCCTTCGTGTGAGCCAGAAAACGATGGCCGACGAGGGCCGCGATCGTCGGTGATGTACTGCTGCTGGCCTTCAGGAGCACGAGCGCTACGCTGGAGAAGACCGCTGCCGCCGCTTACAGTGGATGACGCCCTTCTTCGGTTGAAAGAGCCTTCTTGGTTAGTTCGGCTAGTCTGAAAAGCGCTGGAAGGCTCGGGCTGATCTAAGGCTTGTCTCTGGAGGACTGCAGGTTGTCTGCCTGAGTGATCCGAAAGCATAGATCCCCGACGGTCTGGGACAGGTTCAAGTCGTCCCGACTGAGAATTATAGAGTTCACGGCCACCACTACCACCGTGGCTATCTCTCCAAGAAGAACGATTGAAATCATCTGCGGCAATCTCCTTGGGCGGAAGTCCCGTCATCTTTAGCGGCGACGGCTCCTTATAAGAGCCCCGAGGTGATCCTGCCGATTCACTCCAAGGCTGCTGTGGCCTGTCGACAGGAGGCAGCTGGGCCCAGGGCGATTTGGCGGGAGCAGGCGGCTGTGGTGGCTTCGCAACGAGGGCAGGGCGGTCCTGACTAGCGCCTTTAAGAACAAGACCCTTACCGGAAGGTAGGCCAGCAGGTTTCGGCGCAGGGTAATCTGGTTGGGGAGTTCGTCCAGACGTTGCATACGTCGAGTGAAATCTATCTTGCGAGGCCTGGGGCTCGTCATGGGGCGGGTGTTCATCAGGATGTGGCAATTTTGTCTTAGTCCCGTCGCCCCATGTGATTGCTTCTGGCGCCCAGTCTTCATCATCATCGTCAATATCTGCCCATTTGTTCTGCCCTTGTGCATCGTCTTCATTAAGGCGACTAGCCATATGAATGCCGTGATTCTGGAGCTCTTCGTCGGTAAATTTCTTGGGCTCCGGCGCTTTTTAAATTAGTAAAGATAGAACAAGGCTTTCGAGACTAGATTTCAATGCGGGTACGTACGTCGGTTCTTGTTCCAAACTGCGTTTCCATCTGGTACAGATCCTGACTTGCCGCCGTTTGTGGTAGCGAAACGCGGCATGGAATCGCGCGCGCCGCCGCCAGCTTTGACGACAAGCCTGGGTCGAGATGCCGATAACGCTGATGACCCGGGAGGTGGTGTGCTAGAATCTCCTGATGGTCGTTCTGTCGCCCTTGAGGGAACACTCGAACTGCTGGCCTTGGCGGCTAAGAATGTCCTATTGACGGAGACGGCCTTAAACGTGGCAGGTTTTCTAGCGGCAGAGCCTGTTCGGCTGTGGCTCTTATCGCCATCCTTTGCTCGCGAGGCTTCCGTATCGGATCCGCCACTAACACTAACATCGGTGGAATGTAGTTGCTCTTCGACATTGGTGATGCGCTTGTTGGCTATGTCCTCGAGGTTGTGGAAACTGCCGTTTAAAGCAGAGTAATCGACGCCATGCTGGGCACCGTTGGGATGCTAGACAAAAGAAGGGGCGGGTCAGCTTTTTCATGTCGCTCGCCATGATGGTTCAGGGCGATGCCAGCTATTTGGTCACAAAATACGGCTGGCGCAAAACGCGAATGAAGTTGCGGCTTCGCAACGGGCAGCACTCACGTTGCTCGGTTGGTGCGGGACAGAAACTTCAGCTAGCTTGTTAAATGCAGGCTCTGTGGCCATCATCCGTCTTCGATTTAGGCGGGCGCCGGTCGTAAGGGGGAACAACGACTGCTGGGCCAAGTCGTTTGTGGGCAGAAGCTGCTCAGCTACGGACAGTTTGACGGCAGAAACTGAGACGTCGAGGCGGATACGAGGAAGCGGCCGGAGATGAGGGTCTGGCGGTCGGCAACAGATGCTTTGGTTTCTGATGATGCGAACCAAGGCCTTGGAGAAGATGGAATACGATCGCGGTTGTCAGGGCGGTGCCGAGCCTCGAATTGGTTTAGGTATGGGGGTGTGTCGCCAGGTGTGACTAAGGCAGGGTGAGATACCTACCTGCCTATGGCTGCAATGGAGGTTCCTGCTTTTCGCCTTTGCGGCTGGGGGTGCTCGATGAATCAGGGTTAGCGTTGAATTTTAGCTGCTTCTAGCACTGCCGCCCAAAGCATCGGCTTGCGGGCAGTCAGGTGACACTTTTGTAACGCCTCGTTGAACACTAGGTAAATTGAAAGCTCTTATGCTTAGATACACGCAATTTCTAGCCGTATCACATGGTCTTTCGAACTGTTATAGTCATTTGCTCGCCATTTTTAATCGAGGTCCACTGCATCATGGCGCAGCCAACGGCTTGCTATACGCATAATCACACCCCTATCGGCCACCCGCAGGATAATGCGACGGCTCGGGCAAACACTCCGCTGCGCCACTCACCTTGTTGTTTGTGTTTGGTGTCTGACTTTACATGAAAAGCACAAAATTCTCGTCAGAACGTTATAGTCAAGCGTTGAGAGAAGCATCGAACATCGTCGTTTGCCTGGTCTTCTTTTTTCCCCGACGCGGCGTTTGTGAACCTTTGCCGTGTTTCACACCGCGGCCCAGGTCATGCATCATTACTGCGTTGCGTCAGCCACCGACTTTTTCTCATGCCTCTTCTCCTTCAATGCATTGCTGCACTCTCGGCCTGCAGAGCTTCAAAAGAAATTCTGATTCATTGCTATACTTGCCAGTAGCGGTGAATTATGCGCGCATCATGGCCCATTTATTGTCAAGCTATTGCGGCCTAACAGTGGCGTCTCCTGACTGACCAGTGCCCAGCTCCACGCAGCATTGCAGCTCTAACTTAACCACGGTGAAATATATGGACAACTCTGTCCAGCCAACGTTTGCTTTATACGAAGTAGTCCTGAGAATAGCTTCCCCTCCACAGTGAACTTACAGTCACTGTGCGAAACCTTCTCAACCGTACGCAAAACGGCTTTCGTACTCCACACCACCTGATCCGAACATGCACAAGTCAATCCGCGACAGCGTCCAAACGTTTCTTCAAGGAATTTGAGTTGTTACAAAAGGAAGTACAAGGTGCGGCATGACAACACCCTCTAAGAGTCTATTTACACAGCCCTTCCGTTGTCACCGAATGTTCTTCGCTTTACCGAGGAGGTTCTTTTAATGAGCATTGTTCTTGTGGTGGCCTGCAAGTCATCAGTTAGCCAGAAGTTCCTCAATCAGCGACGCGACATAGCCAGTTCATCTTACGCAGGTGGAAGTAATAGTTCTGGGCGTAACCAATGCCGACGAGAAAGACAATGGCGTGGATGATGGCTAGCAGCACGTTAGCTAAGTCGTCCTTCATATGATGGGCGCTTCTCGCAAGAAGGCCGCATTCTTGAGCATGTATCCATACGGGTAGCTGAGGCCTTCTTGCCAAAGTAGCGAGCCTGGTAGCGGCCGAGAAGACCCTTGGCCTTGGCCTCAGGGGCGGCACCACGAGGAAGCTTCTCGTAGAAGCTGACGACACGCTGCATGCGCAGAGCGTCAGGAGCGCCACCAATAGCCTAATAATTTTGCAGTGTCAGCGTCGGTAATTTCCATCTTCGGCGATGTTGCGCTTGTCTCGCAAGCTGTGGCATGTTCGGCGCGTCTCGGCGATAGGTCAATCGGCCATTGGGATGCGTTTCGCATCGCCAGCGGCGCCAGAGTCGTCGGAAGTGGTGAAGTTGTGTGCGTACCTTGGGAGAAGCAACCTGATTCAATTCTGATTAGCAATTGACTGTTGAGACGAGCTCCGGGGCATCATGGAGCCCGGCGAAAAATAGTGCGGCTTACCTTGGGCGGGATGAGGGTGGAAAGACCACGGCGGGTGACGAAGCTCATGATGGCGGTGGTTATTTAAAACCCGTATACAATGCAGTAGAAAGGAAATTTCTGCCACTCCGTTCCGTCAATCGTCGTGCGAACTGCTCAATTTCAGATTGCCTTGCAAGTTGAGGGTGGTGGTGCAGCTGCTACAGGCTAGAGTTGCCGTTCCGAAAAGCACTCGTCCGGCAAAACATCGCTCCGTTGCAACCTAGCCAATCAGCGTCCACCCTAAGTTGCTTTGCATGTCGCCGACACCGAGACTGTGCTCCATTGTCTATCAACGCCGCACTGCTCATCTCACAAAAAATCGGCCTTCGTCGACGTCAATCGAGTCGCCACCACAGTCACCATGGCCACCCTCCGATCTCAGGGCGTCGCCCGCATCTTGCGAACTGCTGCCGCGCCTCGTGTGGCCGTACCTATGACTGCACAGCGCTTCCAGAGCTCGATCGCGAAGCACAGCGAAAAGGAAGTTACTGGGACGCCCAGCGACGCCAACCAGCCTGACTTCGACACTCCCCACGACAAGGCCACTTCGTGAGCGCCGCTGATCCGCTATAAATATCAAGTCTTCAATGGCGCTGACCATGTCATAGGACCTTTACTCCCGTGCCCAGACACGCTCAGGACGGCACCGACGATGTTCGCTCGGCCGCCGTCACCTCCGGCGCCCCCATTGAGCTCCAGGCTCGTACCGTCAGGTAGGTCTCTCAAAAATTACGATTCACTTAGAAATTTCTAATTTGCAGAAGGATATACAAGGAGTCAAAGGCCGCCACACAATCTGGGACCTGGAGGGGCCACGATTGGCGAATGGACTGGGACATTCTTCCCAAGGGTCATCGGTGGGAGAACCCTCTGATGGGATGGCAATCGTCTGGAGACTTCATGCAAGGCACAAATCTCAACTTCGAGACCAAGGAGGACGCCATTCACTTCGCCGAGAAGCAGGGCTACGAATATTTCGTGCAGGAGCCCAACGCCCGCAAGTTCACCCCAAAGGCTTACGCCAACAACTTCCTCTACAGCGCTCGTAAGCTGAAGCACATCCGCACAAAATAGGTCTGGTGCCATTGTCCCCGAAAGACTGTGTAAATATATATCTTGTTTCCATTTGACAGGTCTTTTCATACTTGTTTCACCAATGCTGCCGTCAGCTATGGACGTTCAACCTTGCAATTTGTGTATTAAACAAGTGATAAGCGGAATACAACGTACAAATGTGGTGGTTCAACAGAAAGGTATCAAATTTCAGAAAAAAAAAAAACAGGCTACGCCTATAGAGCCCGCGCATTACCTTATAACCACCCCAAAACTCCCAAAGAGAATGAAAAGTGCCACGCAGGAACACTACAAATACATGGTCGAATCGCAGATCCAATAACGGAAAACGCCTGCCCCATTCATAATCATGTCAATCATACCGTCAACATAGGTTCATGCCCATTTTCAGGGTTTGCTTGGCGTCGGTCAGTGTCATCAGAATTCAAACCAACGTCAAGCCGATCAGGCAAGCTGATGCCGCGATCTCGGGCGGCGGACTCTGCCCAGGCCCGCATTTTGACAAGCTGACGAATTGCTGCCTCGCGTCTCGTAGATTGTCTTTCCAAGATCGCACGATTGACCTTGTCGGCAGCATCTCGGCGAAGGTCAGGCTTCAGCAAAGCAGCAAGCTGCGGCTCTAGAGTCTCAGGAGGAAAAAGCAGGAGAGCCATGGTCTTTTCGAGCTCTTCAAGGAAGTGGGGGTTGGTAGGAGCACGGGGGCCAAGCTGCTCCGTGGCAAACTTGAGTGCTGGGCTGATATCACCTCCAGTGGCATTGCAGCCCCGGATTAGCTCGACGAGCTGTAAACGCAACAGAGAGAAGTGCAACGCCTTATCCGCATCCAATATCTATCATCGCTGATTAGCGTGTACTCGGTAAAAGAGTGGAGATGAGAATTTAGAGGCAGAAAGTGTAATCATAAAAGAAGTGGTTGTTTATCATCACGGACCGATGCCGGTCCATATGCGTGGTGCATGTATAACTCTTGGTTTAATCATGTGATGGGGTTGATTCCAAAAACAATTTTGCTCACCTCGGGGTCCAGCTCATTGAGCATTTCTATGGCCGACTGGATATTTCCACTGTGGATGCAGTTTTGTATTTCCTGTCGGGCACGAATAGAGGCGATGTCTTGCTGAGGCTGCAGGTTCGCCTCCTTGGAGAATTTCGCTGCAGCGTTGGGGTAGCCTTCCATCGTGAGGTAGTCGAGAATTAAGGCATTGATATCACTGATGATTCAAATGTTAGTTTTGCGGCAAGGCAAGAGATGAGAATGATGGATGGTGTGACAATTTTGCCAGTCAGACAGAAGAATAGATATCAGTTTCTCCGCATTAATATCTAGGAGAGATTCCCATTTGATACAATCATCATGTAGGCAATTATGTGGTGAAATTCTTGCCAGGTGCTAAGCGAAGGTGGCTTACCTCTTTGGCGACTTGATTTCGTCCACGCGCTTTTCAAAAGAATGTTTCGCCGAGAAGGCGGCGGACATAGAAGAAGTCTAAAGGAAGAGCCATGTTAGAGTTTGTCTGATATGGGTTTTGGAAAAGCCTCGTACCATGCTGACGAATGCTGCTGGCAGTCGGGAAAAATGGACAAGACAGGCGGCAGTTCCTCACGAGGCCAGCTGGCGAGGTCGAAAGCTCTATCGTCTTTGCATGTGTCAAAGCTGAAGAGGAGAGTTCTGCACCACGCAGTCGTCCTCTCAGGTCATAGGGCTGCTTTGGAGCCTTGAACCGGATGGTTCGTGGAAGTGAAAAGCTGGAAGTGAAGAAGATTGAGCTGCCAGCGCGAAGTGGATTGAAGCAATAGAAAATCCGGAAGCTAGGTTAAAGCGCTCCGTGGTGGAAAGGACAAGACCCATAAATTACTGAGCCCCTGGCCCCTTGCCAGCAGCCGAACGGGGAGCACTGTGCGAGAAATATTTCAATTTGAACGTTGGGCAACGCCGCGACTTCCTAGTACAGAAGTCATCACATAAACGGCTTTGAACGAATTTGGTTTGCTAAATGATCCTGAAAGATTCAAATTGAGCGCAAGAGAGGACTACATAAGCGAATTGGCTATGCTTGTTCTGATCGATGATAACGCTTAACAGAATGCTCTAGCGTGTGAAAATCTTCCTTTCAAGGGCAGCGGAAACACCGGAGGCAACCATCAACATCTAGGATGGAATAGCATTTAATACGCATATCGCATGGAAGCTGTGTACGGCATTAAGCAGCCTGTTGGGGCAAAGCAAATTGAAAGACATGCGCGATCTTCCTGGGGTAAACTATGCGCGCCGCGAATAGAATCAATGACTTGTAAACGAGCAACAGCTCAGCGCCTGCGATGTGACGGCACGACCATGTCGGCACGTTGTTGTTAGACAACAAGATGGTGCGCGTCCTAGCATCAGTATAATTAAGCAAGTGGTTAAGCTGGCCTTGTAAGGAGTACAATGAGGCGAATTGATAGTGGTGATGCAAGAGGATGCAAGTATGTAGGGCTAGTCAACGGCTGGGCAGTGGGTAAAGATGCTGACGCGGCCTCAGCCTTAACTACGGATAGCCAGAGGCCTTGTAGGGCTGATGCCACATCATCCACTGAAAAAACTGAAAAGATCTACTGGCATTCTTGCACGGTGGCACCATAACTCGAGATTAGGAATCCCAGATGGCGCGACTAGCCGAAGACCCCTCGTTGAGCGGACCTCGGCATGTTAACAACGCGTGGTGAGACTACTTTGCCGTGTTTGCGCAATATGCGGCACGTCATTATCCTGACTCTCGGTCAGGTTTCGGGGCTGGCCAGATACAGCTCTGTGCGGGCTGTTCCCTGCCAGTAACAACGACATACGATTCACTAGCCATATACACAGCTTGCATACCTTGTTGCAAATGAAACAATTGGTCTTACAGGCTGAATTCTGCTGTCAAGCTATTACTCACTGTGAAACTTCTACATATACAATATTGACCATGATTAAATGCTTAGAGAACATGAGTCTAACAAGAGGAGTTGAGTAGATCGGGGTGTCAAAGATGAAATGGCGAAGACTAGGGTAGCGTGCACCGCAAGATGCTGAACTTTCCAGATCAATGTAGAGCAAATGAGACCACTTGCCAGAACTTTATTGAGCCTTGTATTAACAGATCTTACCTCAATATTTAGACAAGTGCCTGCCATACTGATTGTAGTTGTTGTGCTGATACCCGCCGATACTCGTGCCGAGGCACTACATGTGAGGTGTGTCGACACCCGAGCAAATGCGACTCTTACGCGCGGCGACACGTATGCCTCGGGGATCAAAGAAAAGCATGTAGAGATGGAGAAAATTATGTGGCGAGAATCTAGCATCAAAATATATGATTGCGTAATTTGCTTATGGATATAAGGTCTCGTGGCCATTCAAAGTCCCCAGTACTGGACAACTGTCTTCACAAAGGCAACTCCTCTTTCCATCACGCTCGCACTAAGAGAACAAGTGAAAGATAGTCTATTCCCCCAGAATTCGATACAAGATACAGCCCTACACAATGAATGTGCAGCGAAACCCCAAGGACTCCATAGCGTCCACCTGGCGCCAGAAAGACCGATCTGAATGGAACATGTTCCATTGGTTTTACGAGATATTACAACTACACCCCGTCAATCTCGACAAGCAGATACCAGTACACCCAAAATCCGACAAGGTTCCGTACCTGAATGACTGGTATCAGCATCGCTGGATTCTTGCACACGCCTTTGCGCCGATTTTGCTGCACCATCTGTATACCACCTATACAGGATACAACTTGAGCACCTGGCAGGCAATTGTGTTTTACAGTCTCGCCTTCAAGCTCAACGCCATCCGCGAATTACACCTCCTGCGCAGAATTGGCGAGCAGATTGGCTTTCTTGACGGCGACGTCCATGAGCGCGATGGTGTACCAGACAATAGCGTCATCAAAGTGTTTCGGTCGCTCGTGTCAACTTCCACTTTCCGGCCAGTTTTCACCGTTTTCTTAGCCTATCAGATTGACAAAACCCCCGCATCGATGAGCCTATACCTCCTACCTCTCGAGACTGGTCTTTACGCGATCACTCTCGACTTTTGGTTTTACTGGTATCATCGGTTGATGCACACCGTGGAAGGCCTCTGGCAGTACCACCGCACCCATCACTTGACCAAGCACCCGAACCCACTTCTCACATTATATGCTGATACCGAGCAAGAAATATTTGACATTGCTGGTATTCCATTATTAGCCTACTTCACTATGAAGTTGTTTGGCTTGCCGATGGGCTTCTACGAGTGGTGGGTGTGTCACCAATACGTTGTCTGGGCCGAACTGGCTGGCCATAGTGGTCTTCGCATGGCTGCTACACCTCCAAACCCAGTCAATTGGCTGCTGCGTATGTTCTCGGCGGAGCTCATCATCGAAGATCATGATCTGCATCACCGCCAAGGATGGAAGACGAGTGCCAACTATGGCAAGCAAACCAGGCTGTGGGACCGAATATTTGGCACTTGTCGCGAACGTGTCGAGTGCTACAACGAAAATGTCGAATGGGATACACTAGTAAAACTGCCCACTTTTTAAAGGATACTTGTGGTGGAGGGGGATGCTAGGACGCAATGCGAACTCTCGAGCGTTGGGTATGGGCGAGGGTTGGACAGACATCGGAGGGGGGACTCAAAGTTGCTCAGGGCCACAGGCGGAAACACAATCGGAAACCAAAGTAGAATTCAATTAAACAAGTGATTACGAGATGAAAGAAAATAAAGCAAGTGAATAGTTCAATAAGCGGGCCTTCATTGTGAATGGATGCAAGGCTGTGTCAGACCAACGGGATAGCATATGGGGTTGTGACGATGCATACTATCGCGCCTAGGAGCCCACAACTTATCTCCTCTGGATTTGTCTCGTCGATACAAATGATCAGAAAAAATAAAACTTGAAAGAATTGCCAATCAAGAACGTGGGCAATTGGCTGCGGTGGTCGCAGACATGTGACAGCCTGGCATGACTCATCAACATCGCATTGATACCAGGGTATGCAACGAAAACGCAGACATGTGAAATCACCCCATCAAAATTGTATATGGCATTGATCAAGTGACGCAACCCGATGCCTGATTCCGAAAAGGCAGGAAGCGAATAAGTAGGGCAACGCGCACGCGCCGGTTCACCTCAACAGTTTCAGAGGTCCGTGTTGGGGGACAGCTCGAACTATCGATCATGTCATCTGAATGTAACAGGTATATATATTATCATCATCACTTTTGCGTATTTCTCCCAGTAGGACAAACTAGTTTTATACAAATAGCATCGATTCGACACCGTCTTTTAATACTGCAAGCTTTTCGCACCATCCTGACTTCAACCACCTCTTTAAGAATTGGCCATCTACGCTGCAGAATTTTGTCAAGATGAACGCAATTACTCAATCGATCCTAAACAACAGCAAACTGGAGATTGACTTTATCAAAATCACCAATGCTACCGAGAGGTGGGTTGCCAACACTTCTCCAGGCGCGCATGGGCTAACCTTTGGCAACAGTTCATTCTTGATTTCCCTCAAAGGCAAAACGACCAAGATTGGTGTAGCGAAAGCTACAGTTTCAGCAATGACAGTTGATATGGTAGGGCCGCGCGGCGCGTTTGGTCGCTTGAATGTGCCCGAGATAAAGATGGGCTCGTTTGGCGCGGCCGACATTACTATTGTCGAGCAAGAGATAGCCATTATCGACATGGAGGCTTTCAAAGCATTCGTTGCATCTATTATGCAAGACGATCAGTTGGTCATGCGATTGGAAAATGGCCAGGTTACGGTGAAATCTATGGGCATGACGTCTAACATTGTTTACAACAAGGTTCTCAACCTGAGGGGGCTCAAATCCCTGGAAACTACCCTGCTGGAAGTGGAAGCGGACGACGGTGGCGTGAAAAGTACCTTCTCCGTGGTGAATCCATCTCAATTTGAAGTTGATCTTGGCACCGTGATTTACGAGGTGCAGGATAAAGATGGGAACCGGATTGGAGAGCAAAAGGGAGCAACATATGTCTCGCGTGGAGAGTCAAGTCTGGCTTTGCATGGTTCTGTTGAAGGAGACGTGTCAAGCGGCGAAACAAGATTTGTCGGGGTGGATGTTGAAGAAGAAAACTGGTTGAAGCAGATCATGGGGAGTATTGAGGTAGTAGTCACTGCTTAGAAACAATTGAGATGATGTTGTAGATGCAGTTTCGATAACTGCAACTATATTTGGAACCTATATATTCGAAAGTATTACATACATTGTGATCCATGCCCCCTCACAACAGGAATCTCTCTTGTCTGCGCAAGCTAAACGGCCAAGTCTTCACCAGGCCGAGTTGCTACAGTTTTTCCTTACCACGGCAGCTTGGATCCGGTCGGGCAAGCCTTTTTGGTGGTTGTGACAGTGACAGGGGGAGTCTTGGTGCAAGTAGGAGTGGGAGTGCAGTCCTTGGTGTCGGTCGCAGTGACGGTGACGGTGGAAGCAGCAGGGCAAGTCTCGTTGCCAGGGCCGGGGGTGGTGATGGGAATGGTGGCAGTCGGCGTAGTGGCAGGAACAGTCGGGGCTGAAGTGGTCGCAGGCGGCTCCGTCGTTGTGGTTGCAGGCGCTTCTGTCGTGGTAGTCGCAGGCGCTTCCGTCGAAGTGGTTGCAGGCGGCTCAGTCGAAGTGGGAGCAGAAGTCGGCTGGCTGGACGAGCCGCCGCCGCCGCCACCGCTGTTCTGGCAGTTGGCGGAGCTGAAAAGATCCTTGGCTTCGGCAAGAGCCTGCTGAAGAGGAGCGACGAGACCCTGAGCAATGGACTGTGCAGCCGCGGGGACTTTGGAGACGACAGACTTGATGAGGGCGTCAGAGGCAGTCTTGAGGTCGCTGACCTGAAGCAAGGTGACTTCGCACAGGTCGGCCTTGGCAATGGCATCCTTGCTTCCCTTGATGGAAGCAAGAAGAGCGTCACCCTTGGTCTGCAGCTCTTTGGCAGGGCCGGTGAGACCGAGGGCATCGTTCAGGCTCAGCTCGGGTAGAGGCTGGATCTTGGCATCGCCATCTTTGAGACCCTGAACGGCCTTGTTGGATGCATCAAGAAGCTCATCGGGGTTTCCGTTGAAGTTTTTGGCAGCAGTGTTCAAGCCATCAAGGTCGGTGCCAACATCGGTGAGGACACTGGTGATGGTGGCCAGGTCACGGCGGACAACGCTGGCAGTAATGCCGCTCGCCAGGCATACCAGAGACAGAAACTTCATTGTAAGTGAGAAATGTTTCTGTGTGAGAAGATGAGGTTGTGTGAAGAGAATGTGCGAAGCTGCCAGAGAGATGCTGATGATTTGGAAACGAACATGGCTGATTTGTGCCTTTTTATACACCCAGTCCAATCACTGTAGGCTTCATCATGGACACATGCGCGCTCAATTATGAGCCGAGAAATGAACTCAATTACGCCAAGCTGAAATAAAAAATCAGGTCCAAGTGTCGGCAGCTGCTGCATGTCATTGTTCGCGACCAAGGCCTGCTTCACCCACGTGTAGTCGACAATACTTGGTGGCTTAACTGCGGCTGGCCGACACTGCATCATACAACTGCAGCTCTAAAAATCTAGATTCATATAGAATAGGAAATTTTCTCCTAGAATGCGGGGAAGTGGGAAAACCTTCAGGGCGGAGACTGGGGAAATGACCACATATGATCAGCCACGCTGCAGGAGCGGCCCGCACGTCCGCTTAAAGTTCCTGAGCGCCTGAAACTGCATGATAGTTCTTTTCTGATATATTCAATGGGGCTATGTAATTAGCTAGAAAATCGATAGCTGTCCCAATTAGGCATTGATGTGACGTGGCGTCAATGGCCTTGCCGATTTGTTTTCAAGTACATATGTATGTGTGCGCACACACCATGCCTTTGTTCGCTAATTACACCGGACTACTTGGCACATATGTGGTGGCATGGAGCGTCGGATGGCCGAGGTACGGTTAGTGAATGCAACTGAAGATCTACACTCCCCAGGAATCTCTACAAGCTGATGAACCTATCATTTCTATAACTCCCGGAACAGGGCGACCGTGGTTAAAGGGAAGCCTCAGCGGATGCAGCCATCGCTCAAACTAACACAGAATGACACCAACAGAACCTCATATTATACATCTCACGCTCAATTGCGCCAAGCTTGTCTATAAATACTCTTGATGCTCTTTGTTTATCTTGATTTAGAAGCTAATCATCCGTCTGACTCCCCATTCAGCTCAGATCTTACTTGGCCAAAATGCTTCTTTCAAAACTTGTTGCACCAGTCGCCCTGGCCGCCACAGTCCTGGCTGATGGCGCCGCCGTCAACACCGCACTCAAGACTGTTGACAAAAGCATCAATGCCCTCACCGCCACCCTAACCGGCTTCTCCGGCAACATCTTTGGCTCTTTACCCGTCCTCGGCGCCAGCCTAAAGCTCAAGTCTGACATTCAAAAGGCCACCAAGGCCGCCAGCAGCTCGCAAGATCTCACCTCTGATGAAACCCTCAGTCTGGCGGAGACAGTGGGCACAATCATTACAGATGCAACCAAGTCAATCGACGCCTTCATCGCCGTCAAGCCCAAGTTTGATAAGCTCTTGATTCTTACTCCCATTGCTGCTGGCCAAATCAAGGACCTCAAGACGGCGACTGTTGCGCTTGGCGACGCCATCGTTTCCAAGGTCCCCGCTGAATTGAAGGACATTTCTTCGCAACTGATCGGCCAGATCAATGCCCAGTTCGACCGAGGTAGTGCAGCGTATGGTGGCAGCTCCAGGGGTTCCCTCTTGTTCGGGTTGCCCGGCACACGCCGCTCCAGTCGTTTGGAACGACATATTTGAGCGCAAATGGTAGTCTGAATATTATTATGAGGATTCAGCTCATGATTCCTTCTAGTGTACTCGAATTGCCAATTTAGATAGCGTCTAATTTAATGAGCACAGTGCGAATGATGTTTGATCCCGCACGACTACACGTAAATTCTGCGTCGTTTTACAGACTTTTCGCGCTTCGTTGAATCGTGCCTAGGAATAAATTCGCAAACGAAATACATCTTCATGCACCTGTGTTCTGCGCCACCCGATACAATTTTTTTTTTAATTTTTTTTTGCTTGGTGCTCTCTAGATTGGTATGAAGCTAGCGAACAAGGCCGCCAATATGGCTGTTTCAATCTCCAAACTAGTTACTTGCCTAGACCTGGATGGTCTCGTAGGAATAATATTGGGATTTAAGAAGCAGCGGTGCGGTATCCTTCACATTTTGGACAAATTTGTCCGTTTAACTTTGATGAGGGTTAGTAGACGTCTGCAAGTATTAAGAAAAGTCAAAAAATGAGAGCAAAACGTAAAAGGCTTCCAACTAATACAGCAATAGCTGCGTACCCTGATTTCCCTCCACAAAAAAGCAAGGATCTGGCGGACATGGTCATGAGTGAGCTTTGGCCTCGGCTCCGAATTGCATCATGGATCGTGTGTCGAAAGGACAGTAGCCAATGAGCAAATGCATGGCCAGGAAGCTCTCACATGGAGCGTAGATTGAATTAATGTGGATGACAATCAGATAAACTTATCATGATGATAAAATGTGGTGTCTGCGCCGGCCTGTGTGAATGTTGCAGTACATGGCAGATAGATGTATCTACAGTACATGTGAGTATCTCTCAGCATCGCCTGTGCCGATCCCTCCACCGCATCAACAAAGGCAACTGGTCGGACACATGTCTTTGGCAATAAAGATGCCATGGGATGCCGTTCAAGCTGTCAAATTTAACCAGAAAAATGTCATCATCGCGCAACAGAGCGTCAAACGTAGAATTCGCATCAGCAGCTAAAAATACGAAAATTGTCTGAGAGTTCCAAGGCATTCATTATGTAATGTATTGCGAAGCATTGTCATTGCCGGCGCCGCCGCAGGATCAGCAGCAGCCTCCAAAATAGCAGAAAATTTCATTACAACCGTATTGCTCTTCCAACCACCTATATGAGTATCAGTTCCCAAGCGGCATGCATAATGGCTACACTTACCCTACCTTTACCCGTAAGAGGACGCTTTCTGGCCCCTTCGAGGCGTCACAGTTGATCTCAGAGGCAATCTTTACAACTGCCGCCGCCAGCACCGCCACAGGCACCAAGCAGCCAGAATCCGTGCCCTGGCAGCCTCCGAAAAAGCAGGTCTATTGAAATGTTCAATATTTTCCCCGCTCAAAGTCCTGAGCAATGTTTTGAAGTACTTCTGCTGCTCCTGCCATTTCTAAATCGTAATCATCGATTACCTCATTGTGCCATCCGCTCTCGCCACGTGGGATGCTCGATCTCGTGGTTCCTGCTCCAACTGCAGCTCCGAGCTGGCCATGCCGCGCAGAATTTTGCTGGCTCGCCCAATCTTGCGAGTTACTCCCTCCTACTTGTGAGGCTAAAGGCGAGCCAACATGAAGGGGGTTGAACTCATCCGTCGGGGACTTTTCAATAAGATACTCAAGTTTGTGGCCCTCTTGCAACTGGTCGTCTCGTCTGATAACTGACGTGGACGGTCTTTCAAACTCTTCGCATCGTTGAGTAATCCTTGAACATGATGACGAATGCGACTCGGGGGGCGGTCCTTCTGATCTGATGAAATGGGGCGAGGTAGTCGCTTTCAAAGATACTGGCTGGTTCACTGTGCTGATAGCTCGTGTCTTTGCCCGGCTCGTAGTGCCCTCGCCTCCCCTTGGTTCGCCACACTGGCCGGCTACTCCTGTCGACCGAGTCTCGTCGTCGCCGTCCTGTGGGGCGTACCTGAACGTCGCTTGGTCCTCTTCGTTGTTAAAGTATGAAACTGGAGTCACACCAGGAAAAGGAACCTCCACAGCTTCAACTGTGACCAGCAGTTCACAGCATGAAGCAGCATCACGCCGGTCTTCCGGCGATATGACAACCATGCAATTCGCCAGCATCGTTCCCAGTGCAGCTGGTCGTCTCTTCACATTGGTTCGGAGCTCATCTGTAAGTTTTTCACACCAGGCCGCCCCATCGTCCTTGTACCGGCGTGTGAAGCTTGGCAGACCGTATAGCAGCTCGTACGCCACCACGCCAAGAGACCAGATATCAACAGCCACGGTATAGCCTGATGTCTCTTCTCTTCTGGCACGGAGTTGCTTGTCAGAGTGGATCTCCGGCGCGAGATACTTGTATGTGCCGCAGAGAGTCGACAACTCGAAACCCTTTCGCGCTAGTCCAAAGTCGCCCAGCTTGACGAAGATGCCGTTCTCAGAGCGTCTTTCAACAAGGATATTAGCAGGCTTGATGTCTCGGTGCGCAATTGGCGGGTTTCGTTCATGTAGGTATGCAAGAGCCGATAAACATTGAGAGATGATTGTAAAGGTCTCATTATATGTTATATTTTTCTGCGCTTCAAGAGATCCACAGCGCATGTATTCCAGGTGTATTTCGGGTTGCGGACTGGAGAGTGACTCGATGAGTTTCACGATATGCTGCTGTTAGATCGTTAGATGGAAGTGGCAGATAGATGGTTTGTGTACAAACATGCGACACTAGCTTCATTATGGAAGCTTCCTCCTCCCATGCGTCATAGTCAACCTGCCTCTTTCGAATTGCCTTAGGGTGAGGCGCTTTTACCACGCGGATCTCTCCAGTACTGACGTTCCATAGGCGGGTTACAACCCCAAAAGACCCTTCACCGAGGTATTTTCTTAGGTGAATCGCGCCTTCGCCGGGTGTCTTAGTATCTCTGGTCGGCGGCTGTGAGAGGCCCAATTCGGCGAGGAGCGCCTCGCTAGTAGTCATGCCGCGCTTGAACGATTTGACCGCGCTAATATATGCCGGGGACATGATGTCGTGGGCTTGAATCACAATCTGGAGAGCAATTACGCCATCAATTGTAACAACAATGGATATCCCTCTCCCAATCATATCGTGGCCGCCGATGATCCAACGGAAAGACCTCCGGTAGCCATGGCCCTGCTGGTCGTAGGTGACTTGAGTTCCTCCGAGAGACTCCAAGTCTTTGATGATAGGGCAGTTGAATTCGTCAAAGGTCAGGCTGAAGTGAATATTAGAGACGCCAGGGTAGTTCATAACGACGTCACAGTTTGGGTTCGAACCGAAAAGCAGACCTTTGTCCGTTCGTGGAATGTCGCTCAATCTGACCACGAGGCTTGGAAGATAGTCAAGAGATGAAGCATCTGAGTCCTCTGGTGGCTCGGTCGACTGTCTCTCACGGTCATCGCCGCGGCGGCAGTGGCTGTGTCGCACTTCAATGAGCCGTGGGGGAACGCAGTGCCGATTCGCCTTGATCACGTCTTTTGCCCTGTTGATATGGGCACCATTGGGATATATATAGGCAATGATGTCGCTTTCCATTTTTGATAATGAAGCAGGGAGGAGAAGGCGGCCTCTCTTCGACAATGGCGAAGAGGGGTATCCATCTATAAATACAAATCGGTGTAGCAGAGACGGTACAGGCGTTATTCATCGCGACCTCAAACAACACATACAGCCTAAAAAATGTCCAATGAGGCCTCTACCCCCGCACATCTCACCAAGCCTCGGCGGCTAAAATACCACGTGTGATTGGACTAGGTGATGTCAGTAGGCAACACTCACTTGTGGTACAAATCAATATTGCCACAGTCCGTGGTAGTTTGATGTATTATTGTGCAATATTGCCACGGTCCGTGGGAGTTTGATGTATCATTGTACCACATTTACCCGCAGCCTTGTCCCGCTTTATTAAGGCGCCTTGGCTCGGGCCGTACCCTTGCCCCGCTTCAAGGCGCTCTCCTTCGCTGCCTAATGTTGCAATTGTAATCGACGCGTCAACAAGCGATCAGTCATTAAAAGACCCTATCTCTATTTTCGACAAGTTAACATCAAAATAGATGGCAGTATGGCTTCCGCGGCACTAGGAAGTTCAACTGTACCGGTGGAAGAAGTGGTCGCTATGGATGATGACCAACTCGCCCAGTTCATGCAGAGACATCTTCTCCCCAACGGGGATTACCATCTTCCCGTTAGTGGATGGGACAAATTGTCCGAGGATGAACGAAGCCATCTCGCTGATAGACTAGAGTAAGTCCTTTCCAACTTGCCTGGCGGATACCATCAGCGGCCTCCACTGACAACACGTAGAGCCCAGAAGCGCAGCCGAGCCCAGGCTTGTTCCCATCCACTCGATCTCGTTGACCTCGATGCTCGCCTACGTCAAGTGGCTCCTAACGAAAGCTTTACGCTACGACCTGAATGTGAAGTTATACATTATTCGAGGTCCCCCACACCACCAATCGATGTGACGAGAGACGAAAAGTTCGCTTATCACGACCTTGTCAATGATGGCGGGCGCCCTGCATACCCCATCGGCCTTATCCAGGAGGTATACAGAGATGCAACGAGATACGTTGAGATATTGCGGCCTTGGCAGAAGTATGATGATTCCCCTGAAGGCATTTTTCAAGCACAATTGCAAAGGTGGCAAAACTTCCGCAAGTGGCAAAACGACCACCGAGACCTTGATGATGATGATGGGGGGTTTCCAGCGTTTGTCGAGTGGACTAAGGACGTTGTACTGCGGGACTTTTTACCCAGAACACGTGAGAAGCGATTGGCCGAGATCGAGGCTGACCCATCATGCCTTAAGTCGAGGTGGGATGAAAGGCAATTTATACGCGAGAGGCAGCGACGTCTCTGCAGGGAAAAGGGCAGCCGAGGGTTTCGCGAATATACCGAAGCGGTGAAGCGCCGACTTGCGCGCCACAACATTGCACAAACGGTCGAGCTCGACGAGGATCCCAAAAAACAGGACGAGCTGACGACATGGATCGAGTACCTCAACTACGAGTACTGGTGGCTTGACAAGTACGCCAGCGACATCGAACGATTGGAGCCTGAACACGATAAGTTGTGGCAAGAGCTCGTTGAGAAGAATATTCTAAAACCTCACGAAACGACAGAGTTCGTGCGGACCGTTGCATCAGCAATGGAGGCCGAAATGGAAAAGGATATGGGCCGCAAAGCTGTGCAGAGGGCGAAGTCCAAAGCCAAACGAATCTACATATTAACTCAAAAAGATCCAAAGCGTTTAGATATTCCCAGGGCAGAGCGAATATTGATGTTAAAAAGGGCAAGCGAGGACATACTTGCAGCAGGTCGACAATTAGAAGAGGCGGTAAACCGATCACGTCTAATTACACAGTTTGTTCGGGCCACATTCAGCTACCATGGCGCGAAGACAAATGCTGCTCGCCACCGCTTCCTTATACAATGGATTTTGGACCAGCTGCGTCTGATTGAGTCTGAGGTCAATCTATCAAGCGAAAACAGATCTGGGTCTGATGGTAAGAGGAGAACGAAGAGGAGGCGGACTAACGATCAAGAGCAAGCGGAGAGACAAGAACCGAAAAGGGCGAGGATCGACCTTCGGGAATCTCGCATGGCCAACATAAGGACTCTGTCAAGAGTCACAGAGACGCGGGCAGAAAAACAATCCGTCGCTAGCAATTTGCCTCGGAAGGACGTTCCGACAGTCTTGGGAGGTTCTCGTCGCAGTGCACGTATTGCAGCGCGTCGAGACGCTTCCAGAAGTTATTGAACCTACCATCCCCAAGTCAAGATCACTTTTCATTTTCAAAGTAACGTCAGCACAACCTCGGACGTTTCATTCACTGAGAAAGAGCACGGAGACTTCCAAAGCGTAAGACAGCTGCCAAGTAGCAGTCAAGTGGCACAGCCAGACCTACGTGGAGTCGCAGAGCTGTCGAGCGCGAAGGCGGGACTGAAAAGACATGTTACCTGTACTTTGTTATTAGTTTATCGCCTTCCAGAAAACTCTTCAAGAGTACAAAATAACTTGGGAGCTTCAAGGACCTCACTCTACGTGTCGTGTTAGGTATTTTTGGGTGTTGTTGCTGATGTTTGACTGATACTGATTACCATCTCGAGGAGCGAGACAACTGTAGAAGAGAAGATATCAAAGTATGTTTGTCCATGCTGCTCCCCAAGGCGTCGAGCCTGCTGCTTCTATTTCAAAATCTCAACGAAAAGAAGGAAAGAACAAACTTGCCAAATGTATACTTCCGATTGCAAATGGTCGCAAATGCGAGATTCACATGCTGTGCTGGAGAAGCTCAACTTCAGTGGTCAGTGGGGTTCGGCAGTGCACAGGTTCAAAAGCAAGCCCAGCGAGAACCCAAAGCCTCCACGCAGTGCGTAATCGTCATACCACATCTTCTCCTCATCAACAACGTGTACATTTAATTCAAATCTCTCAAACACGTAACAGCACTCCTTTTATACGGACATCCCTCATACAATTCAAGCCTTCTCTACACCAATCACGTTCCAAGCCTGTTGCTCGCACGACTCAAGTCTGCTCTGCACTAAACCGCAGCTGCAACGTCAACACCCCCCACCATGTCGAAATTCGGGGATTTTGTCAAGAATGGCTGGCATCCCGAGAAGCAGGGCACTACATTCAAAGGCCAAGTAGTACGCCGCCGATCCTCTCTCTCCCCCTTCGTCTCTCTCTCTGCTCCTTTTCCACGCTTCCGCTGACGCTTTTTCCCCCTCCGCCCGTAGAAAGGTCTCGTCGGCCGCGGCGAATCCAAGGACGACCGCAACAAAGACCATGTTTCCCGGCCGCTACACACCCTCACCGACCCGTCATCGCTACCGCCTCCGCCGCAGCGCCGCGGCACCGGTCTCGCCCCCGGGCCGGCACCCACGTCCTCGGGCGGTGAGAAGCGCAAAGTCGTCGCTGCGCCGTCAAAGTATCAGGATCCGCACGGGCCGCGCGTCGCACCGCCCCCGCGCACCGCCCGTGTCGACCAGCAGGACCCGGAACAGGAACAGCAGCAGCAGCAAGTGATGGAGGAGCCGCCGCGCCCGTACCGGACCAACACGACGGGGCTGCGGACTGATCACCTACCGCTGCCGCCGAGCCGCAGGGATGGCGCGGACGGGAGGAGCCCGCCGTCGTACAGCGCTGCGACTACGGGCAGGGCGGTGCCGGCGCCACCTGGACGTGGTGCGGCAGCGGCAGCGCCGAGCTTGCCGCCGAGGCTGCCTCCGCGCGGAGCCGCAACACCGCCCGCGGCGAGCCCGCAATCGACAGGGAGTGGCGGTGGCGGCGGTCTACTGAACCAAGGCGCCGTGAACCGACTCGGCGCCGCGGGCGTATCAGTACCAGGCCTCGGCATTGGGAAAAGTAACACCGGCAGCAGCACCGACAGCCAACAACTACAACATCAGCAGCAGCAGCAGCAGCAGCAGCCAGGCGGAGGAAACCACATGAATGAGTTGCAAAACCGCTTCGCGCGCTTCAACACTTCCTCTTCCACAAACACGCAGGAGCAATCATCACCAGCACCGCCGAGCCAAGGCACGACGTGGGCACAGAAGCAGGCCGCGCTCAAAACGGCGGCGCAGGCGCACAAGGACCCATCGCAGGTGTCGCTGGCCGACGCCCGGGCCGCGGCCGGCACGGCCAACAACTTTCGGCAGCGCCACGGGGAGCAAATCGCCGCGGGGTACGGCAAGGCGCAGGGATGGAACCAAAAGTACGGCGTGGCGGACAAGGTGGGCGGGTTTGCGAGCAAGTTTCAAGGAGGGACAGCGGCGGCGGCGGCGCCGCCGCAGCAGACGGGTACGACTACACTTGCGGCGACGGATGGGAAGAAGAAGCCGCCTCCGCCTCCGCCGCCCAAGAAGAAGCCGGGTCTGGTGTCCGCGGCGGAACCGGCTGCAGCGGAGGAGGATGCGCCGCCTCCGATCCCCATGTCGACGCGGCCCAACTTTTAGTGACTTGGCTCAAGTTGTTTTGGGGGTTTGTTTTCCCGCGGCCTGGCTGGCTCGTAGCATCCTGGTTTAAGTGTAGGCTTAGCGGCTTCGCGGATTACAGTCACACTGGCGTTGTAGCATGCATAGGCACATGAGCATTTTGGGTCATCAATTCATCCTCGTTTTCGTCTTGCTTGGAAAAAAAAGGCTAGATCCAGTGATACATCCACCATGTGATAAAAGAGAAAACACCGGCTTTTGGGGGGTTTGACTGTTTTATATATATATGCACCTCGACGGCAAATCTTATCCCAGATCAGCAAGAGGGAGAAGAGCCAAAGGGCCTCACAAGGTCAGACCTTAAACCTTGATAGCCTTGAGGCCGTGCTTCCATACAATGATGTAGGGGGTGACACCATCCTCACGGTAGTTGAGAAGGACAATGCTGGAAGGTATCAGTAAACTGTCTTGGGATTTACGGGATTCCGAATAGAGACATACAGGCCATCGGGGTTCATAGACTCGCCGGTATAGAACTCAAAGTCCTTGAAGTTGGGGAGGAGCTTCTCCTTGACGTAGGCGGAGGCACCCTTTTCGAAAGCGCTGATCTCCTCGGCGGGGGCGCCGCTCTCCTGGAGGGCGGCCTTGACGGCCTTCATGTAGCCCTTGAGGTACACGAGGAAGCCCTTCTTGTCGAAGCTGGTGGACTGGAGACGGAAGGAGTTGATAATGTTGTTGACCTTGACGTCGGTATCCTCGAGGGCCTCGTCGGCCTCTTCGGCAGAGGCGTTGGCACCAGTGTCTGTGAGGGGAGGGTGTCAGCGGGGTGTCTAAGCTGGACGAAGGTGTGAAGGTTATTCGCGCCAGTCCGAACGTAGACTTCAGCTCATTTCAATCCCTTCCATTTTTTTCAAGTAGGGTTGGATGGACGTACTGACGACAACGGCACCCTCAGTGATCATGGCGCAGTCAGCCTCGTAGACGATGTCGTCGACGAGCTTGAGGTCGTACGAGTCAGAGATGATCTCGTCATCGGTGAGGATGTCCTATTGCAGTATCATGTTAGCCAAATTTCTCTTAGTGAATGATAACTACAGCAACACGGTTCGGCGGGGGACTGAGGTCCCTGGTGGTCAAGGAGAGAGGGGTGACAATGGCGGGGTGCAGGAGGGGGAGGCGCAAAAAAAGATTCTCGACAATGGCGTGGGGTCGTTGCCGCAGACGGACAGGGGATAGTGAGACCTGGACAAGGCACTCGAGTGGTGACGATCATACCTTGTAGATAAGCATGATGGCGGTGTTTGTCGTGAAAAAAAAACGAGGATGCCTTGAATGAAAGTGGTCGAGGTGGAGGAGAAAATGGGACAAGAGAAAAAAAGAATAGGCAGAGGCAAAAAGAAGGATGGGCGAAAAAGTGGAGGGCTGCGCTTTGTAGGTATGGGCGGTTCGCTGTGGCCCTGACTATTTACTGTTTTTTTGCTGGCGGCCGAAGAGGGGCACTTTCTCTCAGGTGGGGACAAGACTTTTTTTCCCCCTCTTTTCCTATTGACTTTGAATTTGCAACTAGTCGCTCACAGATTTTGTCCAGTAGCATTACTAGGTACTAGCTCAAGGGGAAGGAAGGCGCCTCTTTGCTACTGGCTTGATTCTCGTTGGGAGAGCATCTCATCTGCGGGCGGCAATAGCACAGCTCAGGTTGACCTCTTTACTATAAGGGACGTCAAGCGAGATCTCGCAGCGGACAGTGCCTCAATGTCTACACACGGCTCAGAAAGTGTTGACCTTTGATGTATACAGTTCACACGAAATCTACTAGAAACATGCGGATCATCGAGCTGTCGAATGCTGTAACTATAACGTACTGCCAACATAGTGTCGCGCGCACATGATGACCTCGGTCGACCTATCTAGCACTGGAAACCAGCAATAGTGAGACAGATGGCAATCTAGAAATACATGTGATATCATAGCTCGTCTTATGGTAGACAGCTTTTGAGAACGATGCGCGCACCAACCACTCGCTTGAGTCACCATCAAAGTGTACCATATACACTACATCGCCGGTTTCATAACATTCGCTACGAGATCCGCTAGGTATGCAAGCTAGAACGATAGAGGCTCCGCTTATAACTCACTGAACATTTAAGCCTAAAAGTGTCTTTAAAGACATAGAGATGTTTACGAGGAAGGCTCAGCTCGTGCCTCGATTCGTTATTCACGTTGGCGCGACGCCACTGCGCTTGGCTCGTTACGCTCGCTCACTGTCGCGTCGGTGCCTAAAAATGTCTATTGTGACTTTTGTATAACCATTTCCCGAAAGCTTCTGAAAATCTACATCTAGGCGAAGCTCTTGACCTCACCGTCCTTGAGCTTGCCGGCATCCACCAGACGCTTGACCTCGGCGCTCCAGACAGCCTTGATCTTGTCGGCGACCGTCAGGCCGTTGAGCTGACCAGCAAGGGCGGCAATCTCGTCAGGATCAATCTTGGCCTGCACAGCCTCGACATCGCCGAGAACGGCGTCAATCTGGGCGGCGCTGGCATCGCCACCAGCGGCAAAGTAGTTGGCATCCTTGACGGAGCCCTTGAGTACGCGCTTGTTCTTCTTGACGGCATTCTTAGCAGCCTCTTTAGCCTTTTTAGAAGCTTCGCGGTCCATCTTGGCAGCAGCCTCGGCCTCAGCGGCGGCCTTAGCCTCGGCGGCCTTTTTAGCCTCGGCCTCCTCCTTAGCAGCAGCCTCGGCGGCCTCGCGCTCGAAACGCTTCTTGTTCTTGGCGGCGCTGGCCTCTTGTCGGAAGCGCTTAATGCGTTCGTCGCCGGCCTGGGCATCGTCGACAAGCTTGCGGAGGCGCGAGTTGTCCTCAGCCTTCTTCTTCTTGCGGGCGTTTGTGTTTTTGCGCTCCACGTGGCGCTTCTGGTCGCGGCTCTCGCCGTCATCGGGCACGTCCTCGTCGAGATACTCAAAGGAGCGCCAGCTGTCAAAGTTGTACCAGAAATTGTAAAACTCCTCGACCTGCTCCTTGGTAGCATCGACGCTACCAAATGAGGGGACAGGGTGCGTCTTGGAGAAGCGGCCCTCGGACTTGAAGACCTTGCTCCACAGCTTGTAGTAGTCGCCCTTGGCGAGCTGCTTCTTGCTGGGAGGCTCGACCTCGGCCTCCTCATCGACAGAGTCATACTGGCGACGCTTGATAGGGTCGAGCAGGATGTCAGTGGCCTTTTGGATGCACTTGAAAAACTGGTCGTCCTCGGTTTTGCCCATGGCGGCCTTCTTGTCGGGGTGGTGCTTGAGGACCTTCTTGCGGTGAGCCTTCTTGATCTGCTCCTCGGTAGCCTTCCAGCGATACTTGGAGAGGCCTAGAATCTTGTAGTGATCCTGGGTCTGTGGAGGTCGTTAGCATTTTAACCAATGCATCCAAAAAGGTGTAGATGCCTCACCTTCCAGTCCTTGGCCTCGCGCTGGAGCAGCATTGCATCCTCCTCCTCTTCCTCCTCGCTCTCATCAGCATCCTCGGTCTTCTTGGCGCTTTCCTGGGCCTGGATGCGATCATCCTCTGAAAAGGTGCGCTTATGGCGGGCGCGACGGGCATGGGCGAGGAAGTGAGGGCCGACAGGCTCGATGCTGCGCTGGGTGGCACCAGACAGCTTGCCAATGGCCTTGAAGTCCTTATCGGCGCTCCAGCCCTCAGGGAGGACCGGTAGCGGCAGCTCAAATGGGGCAATGGAAGCCATGATAACTGCGAAGTTGCAAGTGTTGGAGAAGAATGGATATATTTTCTCTCACGGTCGGCACAAAAGCTTTTTGGTGGGGCGCTCTTTTTTTTGTCCGTACGTAACTGCGCCATCTCAACTGGCTACGGCGGAACCCGGCTCAACTGGGCCTCCGGCATTACAACTTCTTGGTCGCATCGTTGTCTCTCTGCGCCGCGCATGAATTCGGCCATTAGAGCACAATGGCAGCTGCTGTAGCATATCGAAATATTATGCGCGCGGCTCGCGTGGCCTTTGAAGGTATGACTGGACTTAAGACCTGCGAAGCAGGACAGTCTACTGACCATAGTACAGGCGACGCTCCCACACTCCTTGCTGCGCAGAGCCGGATCCGAGACGAATTTCGAAGCAAGCAGGCTCTTGATCCCAAAGACAGCACCGTTAGCGAGGGCATCGAGCATGCCACGCAAGTCGCCCAGTTTCTGCGCCAGAACGTGGTGCAAGGCAAAAAGATGGAGGGTGAGGAGAAGTATAGTAAGTTGAAAAGCCCACGCATACACACAAGGCCGCTGGAGGGCTTTTTTAGGCTAATTTCTCATTTCCAGAGCTCCGAATTCATAAAGACACCGAGCGAGGCGACAACGAAAGCATAAAATCATCCGGCAGCGGAGTCGCTGGGGGCGGCTGTTGCGGCGGTTCCAGTAAAAGAGACAAAGTCGCTCTTGTGTAAAAGTTTAAGAAACATGTAAAATAAGTCAATCAAACGTATATGAATTTTGAGGTAATCGATTTCACTATTTAATAAGCGAGCTATGATAGAAGTCCCAGCAGCCCGCATTAGTACAGATTGCTACATCGCATGTACTGCAGCCACGGCGTGTTTTGGCGGGCTTCTTTCTGCTTAGGTTGCGATGAGGCAGAGGCTTCTTTTGACTTCGGGTGCGTACTTCGCCGGCTCTGAAGCCCTGACAGGCTAGGCAATTAGATGATTTCTTTCGGTTGACAAATTTATGCCCTGCCTTGGGCGTAGAGTTGTCGCCGCTTCGAAATAGCTGCCGTGAGGCGCCGTCCATCGCGCAGGCTTTGAGAAGGTATTGAACGACGCGCTGTCGTCACTGCCTCTGCCGACGGATCGAGCCCCGGGCAGGCTCAGAAACTCGCTGTAATAAGAAGCTGTTGACAATTGATACTTCAAGGAGAAGCTTCCACGCCAACGCACGCGATTGGGCTGACCTGTGAGAGGGTCAGAACTTGTTAGTGTGACTGTGTCAAGGACCACGGTTCGTCCATCGGCTGACCTGGCCCTCACTATGTGAGAGTGATCGAACGTTGTTTTTTGCCCCCAATTTGACGCCGTTGACGTCGTTCTTCGCCTTCCCCGATGGCTCGCTGATACAGTCACCTAGTGCAACACACGTCTCAGGGCAAAGCAGAGAATTGAGAGCCCCCTCAATGACTTCAGACCATGCAGTAACTTGATTTAAAGGCGTCGAAACGGTGGTTTGAGAGTTCTGTTCGTGATCGCAGAGGCAGAGGCGTAGATAGAGCAGTACAAAACGATCGTATGTCATGTGTCGTACAATCGGATGCATTGGGCAGCTGCCTTCAATAGAGGAAGTCGCCCAATAATCGGAGATTTGTGGCTCTCAATGGATTCCCATGTTAATAAAATAGCGACAAACAAGTAGACTTCAGAAGGTTTAGTTTTAGTCCATGTATGCTGGCGAGAGTGTTCTTGGTGTGGCCCAGCAAACGTGAGCTCCTCGCGTTCAATCATGTACTTTACCCAAGAATCTACAAGAGAAACAGGCATAAATTGCTAATTGCTGAAAAGTAACAACGGGGTCTGCGGGAAAATTCTGGCGTGTGACATATCGGAAGGCATGATGCAAGGCTTTCATGTCGTCAGAGATGATAGTGTTGATAGAAGGTTAAGACTCTCGAGAAGCCGGCGCGAATACTCGGCCCCAGAAGCTCCAGAAAGGGCTTCAAACGCTCTGTAGGCAAACGCCAACCCTCTCTGCCACAGATGACCCAGGCTCTGCAACGATATGGGTAAACGTGTTTTCAAGTAATGATGACTCGTCGGCGAATCCACTCATAAGTTTTCTTTCTGGACCAACTCCCCCGCGAATGCCTTCACAAGTATTCAGTTTGCCAGACGCGTCGCAGTCCTTCTACCGTTTTCAATCCACGCTAAATATGGAGGAGTGGGGCAAAGGACGGCCAAAAGGATAATCTAGATGCTACTTATGCATAAAGATATACCAAGGATGCAGTTTCCAGACGTGCCATCAATCGGCTACGAATTGTACATGTTGTAAAGAATGCCACCTAAACGCCGAGCTGCTTGTAATATCAATTTCCGGGCCGTGTCTTCATTCACCAGCCAAACTGGCATAGTTGGGCGCATCCTCACCACCAGACGGCGCCGCCACAGGTTCGGTCGACAATGCTGACGGCGCTTGCCCGGCCTCGATGGCTCCTTGTTGCCGCGCCCGGGAGGCTTGTCGGATGCGCGCATCGCGCAGCATCTCGGAACGCTGTTCCTTGTCCATGGTGCCAATAGCCTTGGGCTGTCCCCAGCGAATGCGCAAAGGGCACCCTGCAATGACCGCGCGGCCCTGGCAGGCAGCCGCCGCCTTTTCCGCCGCTTCTCTTGTCTCGTAGTTGACAAAGGCGCAATGCGACATGTGCGAGCAGACAAGGCTCTTGATTTTGCCGTGTGCCTTAAAGAAATCGCGCAGCTTGAACTCAGGCAGGTCATCCTCCACGCCCGTCACAAAAAGCGACATGATGTTCTTATCGTCCGGTGGCAGCCAGTCGCGTGGGCTTGGCGGTAATTGCGCGGTGCTCGGAAACGCAGCGCGACCCTTACCGCCGCCAATCTTTGCTCCAGCAGCTCGAGCAGCTCTCGAGTCCTTGGTACGAATGGGCCCAGGTCCCCCAACACCAGCACCAACAGCGGCGTCGCCAGTGTTGCTTGCGCTAATCAACTCAGACTCGTCGACAGTTCTGCCTTTTCGAAAATATGGTTTGCTCGCGGCAAGCCGTCGCAGCAGTTCGCGCGCCTTTTCGTCCGTCTTTTCGTACTCTTCGGTGCCTTTGCCCTCTTCGATGAGCTTCTCGTTGTTTTGCGCAAAGTACTCTCGATTGATATCGGACTGCGGGCCGGGGGCGACCATCTTCAGTGCTGCGTCGCGAACGGCGATGGGGAGTCCAAAGGACAGGTCGAGCATGCAGCTCTGGCAACAGTTTTTGAGTCGGGCGCATGTCAGGCAGATCATAGTCGTCTTGCGTCGGCCTTGCGCACGGGTCGCGCTCCAGCTGAAGATCGTGAACGGTCTTGTGCACTGTGTATTGACGTTAGTACTTTGGCAATTTCCTGCTGGTGTTGGCTTTGCGCTTACTAATTTGCATTCTGCACCATAGTCTTCCTTGACCATCTTGACATATGGATTTTCGGGCAAGCAGTTTTCGCAGACGGAGGGAAAGTCCGTAGACTCCCAGCCGGAGCGGTTAAGATCCTGCTTGATTTGCGGAGGCATGGCGAGAGTGGTGACGACTGCTATGATGGTGACGACTGCTAAGGTAAGTGGCTAATGGCAAAATGATATCGCAGACGCCTGGAGGTGAACTGTGAAAGACTTGCTTACATAAAGTGATACGCCACTCAAGCCACAGACTTATCGATAATAAATCGTCGAATTCGTGTTCGTACGTTAGCCTCACCGCCCTCCGAATCGAGCACTAGCGCCCTGATAGTCCGATTCTCAACCAGAAGTCGACTAGCCTTGCATCACAAGCCAATGAATTTTGATTGCCAACCCACCAGTTGGCAGTCAGGGGCGCGCAAAGTGGGCAGTGTCCAAAAACTCGAAGCGAAAGTCGAGAGCCCCAGAACCGCGGATGGCATTCTTTAAGAGCGCCTACGTCCCCCCCAATTGACTCCTGTCACAATTCTGTCCTGTCCTTCTCCTTTTCTTCTGAGCTTTCAACCCGTCTCATCATCTAATCATACTGATTCGAAAGGCTGCTGATTTTCTCCTGTCAATACACATAGTTCTTCAGACCCGCTTCACCGGGCATTCAACATGGCGCCGTCTGTCACCCAGAACCTCGAGGGCGAGGATCACGCTCGCGATGCTGCCTTCAACAAGGCTATGCACGGCAAGTCTGCCCAGGCCAAGGGTGGTATTGCTGCCATGTTCAGCAAGGGCAGCGACGCCAAGAAGGCTGCTGTTGACGAGTACTTCAAGCACTGGGATAACAAACCCGCTGAGAACGAGACTGCTGAGGAGCGCGCTGTAAGTCGAATTCGGGGAGCTATCATGGTTCTCAATTGCTGACCTGTCCGACATAGGCCCGCACCGCCGAGTATGCCACTCTAACCAGACAGTGAGTTTTGGACGCGACCCAGCGGCAGCAAGCACAACTCAAGCTAACCCTTTGCTAGCTACTACAACCTCGCGACCGATCTCTACGAATATGGCTGGGGCCAGTCTTTCCATTTCTGCCGTTTCTCTACCGGCGAGCCTTTCCACCAGGCTATTGCCCGTCATGAGCACTACCTCGCCCACAGCATAGGCATTAAGGAGGGCATGAAGGTACTCGACGTTGGATGTGGTGTTGGCGGTCCTGCTCGTGAGATTGCCAAGTTCACTGGCTGCCACGTCACCGGCTTGAACAACAATGATTACCAGATCGATCGCGCCACTCACTACGCCGCCAAGGAAGGCCTCGCCAACCAGCTCAGCTTCGTCAAGGGTGACTTCATGCAGATGTCTTTCCCCGACAACAGCTTCGACGCCGTTTACGCCATTGAGGCCACGGTCCACGCGCCCAGCCTCAAGGGCATCTATAGCGAAATCTTTCGCGTGCTCAAGCCCGGTGGTGTATTCGGCGTTTACGAGTGGCTCATGACTGACGACTATGACAACAACAACCTTCACCACCGCGAGATTCGACTCGGTATCGAGCAGGGTGATGGCATTTCCAACATGTGCAAGGTCCAGGAGGCTCTTGACGCCATCAAGGACTCTGGTTTCGAGATGCTGCACCACGAGGATCTGGCTGACCGTCCTGACCCCTCGCCGTGGTACTGGCCTCTCTCTGGCGAGCTGAGGTACATACAGTCTGTCGGTGACATTTTCACCATTGTTCGAATGACCAAGTGGGGTCGCTTTATTGCTCACAACCTCGCCGGCGCGCTCGAGACAATCCGTCTGGCGCCTGCTGGTACCAAAAAGACAGCTGACAGCTTGGCTCTGGCCGCTGACTGCTTGGTGGCTGGTGGCAAGGAGCACTTGTTTACGCCAATGTACCTGATGGTTGCGCGCAAGCCCGAGTAAGAGAATAACATTAAGCTTGGCGATTTGATTCGGGTTGAAGGAATGATGTTATCAAAACTATACTGGAAACTAAAGAGGTATTGGCGAAGGGGCAGTGGATTAGATGAGCGGGGTAAAATAATTCTTACCGCATGTATATATAGATTTACGTAATAATTTCCGAGTTGACAATTACGGCGGGCATCGTGTCGGGCGCGATTTGTGTATGTATGTGCGTGAGTATAGTCGTAAATGCAGTTGCGGGCGACTTGGGTTATCTTGAATCCAGTTTGCTATGAGTAGACATGAGCCGTGGTAGGGGCAGTGAAGGATGGATAAAAGACGACTGCTGTTAGAAATGATTGCAAAGAATGAGAAGTAAAAAGTGTACTCTAGCACTTGTTCCTTATTAGCACTTTTCCTACATACTTCCCTCTCCTTGGAGCTAAAACCTCACCATGCATCGTTCACCGCTAATAAGGCGGAGATAGGCACTATAGCATCAGCAGCATAATAGTAGAGGCTTTGACAGAAGAAGAGTTCCATCGGCAATGCCGCCAGAAATACGAGACACTAGAGAAAATGTGACCAAAGTGCTGCAAAACTTCTTGTCATCTCTGCCTGATGACATTTTCTCCGTTGGTCACTCCCCTAACCCAACATCTTGATCCATCTGTAATGCCGGGTAACTAGCATCCCGCCCACGCTACCACCGGAGCTGCACGTGACTGTAGCTGACCAATGAGAGAGCTCCATCAGCTATCTTCGTCCCAACATTTACAGCATAAAAATTCGTCAAATAACAGGCAGAGCCCCTAAAAGCCTCTGAAATAGCCTCAGACAGGCCTAATTAACGCGCACAGATAGCGGGTCTCAACGGGCCCTGAGGAAGGAAAAAAACGCGCCATGGGCCCTGACAAGTGGCTGCAAGTGGCTGCAAGTGGCTGGCCAAAGCTGCGTTCGCCGCGCTCCGTAAATTCCCTCTCAACCTCCTTCTGCAACCTTTCTCACCAACACCCGACTCTTCTCCTGTTCTCCACGCGCGGCTTCTGATTGCATTCTTTTTTGCGACCATCAATTGAGCTGGTGGCTAGCTGTAGCTGTTGTTGCGAGTTCAATATCTCTTCGTTTTACCTGCTCAACTTCGAAACGAATTTGCCGTCCTCGGAGATCGCCCGTCCCCAACGCAAAAAACATCAACTCACACACAGCGTCAGCAACGACAGGAATAGGCATCATGTCACGCCTCCTCCGACCTGCCGCCCGTCTGGCGACCCAGGCTGCTCGTGCCCCCGTCGTTCCCAGCGGCTCCGCCAGCGCCGCCCTCGCCCAGTACACCCGCGCCGTCCACCGCCCTGTCTACTTTGGTGCAAACCACACTACTCGATCCTACGCCGACGGCAACGGCGTCAAAGAGTACACTGTTCGCGACGCCCTGAACGAGGCTCTGGCCGAAGAGCTAGAGTCCAACCCCAAGACCTTTATCCTCGGTGAGGAGGTTGCCCAGTACAACGGTGCCTATAAGGTCACCAAGGGTCTTCTCGACCGCTTCGGCGACAAGCGTGTCATTGACACCCCCATCACCGAGAGCGGCTTCTGCGGTCTGGCTGTTGGTGCTGCCCTCAGTGGTCTGCACCCTATTGTGAGTCATTGCCTTTACCTTGCCCAATTGACATCCTCCGAAGCTACCGGAGAGCTGTAGACCTCGACCAGCCGCTAACACGCCCCCCCCATCAAGTGCGAGTTCATGACCTTCAACTTTGCTATGCAAGCCATCGATCAAATTGTCAACTCAGCCGCCAAGACCCTCTACATGTCCGGTGGTATTCAGCCCTGCAATATTACCTTCCGCGGTCCCAATGGCTTCGCTGCTGGTGTCGGGGCCCAGCACTCTCAGGACTACTCTGCCTGGTACGGTTCCATCCCTGGTCTAAAGGTCGTCACACCTTGGAGCGCCGAAGACGCCAAGGGTCTCCTCAAAGCTGCTATTCGCGACCCCAACCCTGTCGTCTTTCTCGAGAACGAGCTCATGTATGGCCAAACCTTCCCCATGTCCGAGGCGGCCCAAAAGGACGACTTTGTCATTCCCTTTGGCAAGGCCAAGATTGAGCGCTCCGGCAAGGATCTGACTATTGTCACCCTTTCCCGCTGCGTCGGCCAGTCCCTCGTCGCAGCCGAGAACCTCAAGAAGAACTATGGCGTCGAGGCTGAGGTCATCAACCTGCGTTCCGTCAAGCCCCTCGACGTCGAGACCATCATCAACTCGGTTAAGAAGACCCGCCGTCTCTTGTCTGTCGAGTCTGGCTTCCCTGCTTTTGGTGTTGGCGCTGAGATTCTGGCGCTGACCATGGAGTACGCCTTCGACTACCTTGACGGCCCTGCCCAGCGTGTCACTGGCGCCGAGGTACCCACACCCTATGCCCAGAAGCTTGAGGAGATGAGCTTCCCCAACGAGAAGCTGATTGAGGACTGGGCTGCCAAGATGCTCAAGGTCTAAGCGGCGCCTGGGCTCTCGAATAGGGGAAAATAAAAAACGACTGGCCGCGGCTGCCGACGTCGTGCTCGGCAGAGCCACGGCGCGGCCGGAAACAATTTACGTGTTGGCGAGCCAGCACATATTACCTGATAGATGGACAAAACGGCTGGGACCTGTACTTGTATTCCTCATTGTCTGTATATCCCGACCATTGTGTCTTAATGATTCATTTGCCTGCCACTGGCGCTTTGTCAACGATTATTGTAAGGTTGTGATCTGGTCTACACGGTGCCATTGAAACTCGCAAGGTGACTGACTGCTGTCTCGATTTGTTCGCATTTTTAATCTTTACATATCTCATCTCCATGCAAATTCCAAGGTGACTACAGTCTCGGTCCGCTTGCATTTTCAACCTTGACACACTGAATTGCCGTCGAGGCTAACAAAGTAACTGCACCAGGGCTTCGTTTACAGACTTCATCTTCTATACAACAGCTTCCTTCGCTGCAATACGCTTATCCAGCTGCCGCAGCGCCTGATCTATCCCCGCTTCCATATTCCACGTCAGCAGCATTCGCGCGCGCCCCGTCAAGTCCTGCCCATGTCGGCGCGGATGTCTGGCCCCATGTACTTTATCAGCTGGCCCTGTATGCGACTTCTCCAGATCAGCCACTGCGACCAGTCCTCCTTGCTCCGCTATACAACTCCACCGCCGTCCTCACCATTTCCGCCGTGTTCGCCGAGGTAGCCGCCATTCGAGTCGCTGCTGTCTGTCGTACGTTGAGCGATTCGGGGAAGTGTTATTGGAAGCAAGTCTGGCCTATGTGTAGCACTCAGCTGTGTGTTGATGCTGTTGATGCTGTTGGCCTTACACAGTTAGATAATGTCTTACACGCTGCACGGCTTAGAAACCTTTTAAGCAATTATGACTTTCTTCTCTCTGGACACTCGAGCTTGAACAGACCAGAGAGGCTACTAGACGGTGAACACTTCATTCGCGCTAGGATGTGTCTACCGAAGAAGAGAGAGGTGGCTGCTCTGGACCGTTTCGTTGACTTGAAAGAAAAAGAACTGAAAGTAGAGTATCAATTCAGGTGGAAGAGCCAGAGAATGCCGCAGTAGCCATGTTATCCGAGGCGTTGTTTTAATTTTAGCATCGCAAAATTGCAACCCGCATAGCACAGAAATTGACCAAGAAACGTTTGGGCACCAGGATCGAAGATGGAGATGTGGTGCCGGAGTTATCGTCTTACACAACGGCCGCGATGCGAGTCAGTCTCAAGTCCAATCTTCGTCTCTACTCAGGTACATTTAATATAATCAAAATCACTAGTATAACACGCAAAGTTTTGAGTCGTCGCTTGACAATAATGCGTGCATACCCGATTCTGGATCAATTAGTACGACGTAGGCAGCTCCACATCTAAAGCATCACTGATTCTTGGTGGGGTAGTTAATGCAAACACCACACACACCTTCAACCTTCAACCCGCGCTTGTCAACGCCGTCATCATCATACACGGCGAGCGGTAATAGAATGACCAGCATTGATGATCTTCTGCTGGTGCAGGGCGCTGATGAAGCTGCCGTCAAACACCTGCCAAAAGATATTCAGGATCCGTCCCGTATCAAGGCGCAACTCGAGCAGCTCTATCTGTCACCATCCGCCCAATTCTCAGATGACTGGCTGAACCGCCTGCAACAGCGCTGGGACTTTGAAGCCGACTACTCATCGCTATTTCGAATTGCACCGACACAGACCAGGACAGTCACTCGTTTCCAGCGCCAGGGTCTCGAAGGCCGCGTCACAGGCTACAAGAATGTCACAGTTCCGCGCAACAGCGCCAACGCTAAAAACTCGACCAGTCTGCTCCGCAAGCCCGCTAACCGCGCAGAATTTGTCCGAGGCGCGGCTGGATTTTTCCCATTTGCGCCAGGTGGTCTGGAAGGCATCGCGGCCACTGCTGCCTTGGAAGATCAGGCCCTCGCTGATACCCGCGGAGATGGGAAGGTCGGTGGCAACAAGCTCGACAGAGTCATCCAATTCACCGACGGAGGCCTGCTTCAGGTAGCACCCGGCCTGGAAAGAGGAATTGACTTTGGAAAGAAAAAGTCACAGCAGGACAAGGAAGCCGAGGATGCTGTTCAGCAAGTTTTGGAGGAGGCACCAGAACAAGCGACTGGAGGCGAGGGCAAGGAGGATGGAGACGAGCCAGAGGATGCAGAAGAGGACGAGGAAGGAGATGGAGATGATGACATTGATGATATTCTGCCTGTCGAATTCCCTTCCCTTGAGCCACACAGCGTACTTGCCACGTCTCGTGCTAAGAAGGCGGGCAAGGAATGGGCGCACATGGTGGATATTCGCGGGGAAATGACCAACTTCAGAGAGCTGGTACCAGATATGGCGCGAGAATGGCCATTTGAACTGGACACCTTTCAAAAAGAAGCTGTCTACCATCTCGAGAATGGCGATTCTGTTTTTGTCGCCGCACATACATCTGCAGGCAAGACTGTAGTTGCAGAATACGCCATTGCTCTAGCGGCCAAGCACATGACCAAGGCCATCTACACATCACCCATCAAAGCGCTAAGCAACCAAAAGTTTCGCGACTTTCGACAGACGTTTGACGAGGTCGGCATTCTCACTGGTGACGTGCAAATCAATCCCGAGGCTAGTTGTCTCATCATGACGACCGAGATCTTGCGCTCCATGTTGTACCGCGGTGCTGACTTGATTCGTGATGTTGAGTTTGTCATATTCGACGAGGTCCACTACGTCAACGATTACGAGCGAGGTGTAGTCTGGGAAGAAGTCATTATTATGCTGCCAGAGCACATTTCGCTGATCCTCCTCTCTGCCACGGTGCCCAATACGCATGAATTTGCCTCGTGGGTTGGACGGACCAAGCAGAAAGACATCTATGTGATATCGACCCCCAAGAGACCAGTTCCTCTGGAGCACTACCTCTGGGCAGGCAAAGATATTCACAAGATTGTCGACTCTGACAAAAGGTTTCTTGAGAAGGGCTGGAAAGACGCACACGCTACACTTGAAAGCAAGGACAAAGTCAAAGGCGCGGAGACCACTGTCGCAACTCGTGGAGGCAACCCCCGAGGTGGTCAGCGTGGCGGCCAACAACAGCGTGGTGGCCGCGGTGGCGCCCAGCAACGCGGTGGCGGAGGACAGCGAGGCGGAAATCAGAGAGGAGGTCGTGGAGGCGGAGGTCCTCCTCGAGCGAGTCACACACCCGGCCATATGGGCCGCTCTGGTAGACCCGGCTTTGCTTCTGCAGCACAAGACAAGAACTTGTGGGTTCATCTGGTCCAGTATCTGAAGCGCAACACGCTTCTGCCGGCATGCATATTTGTCTTCTCCAAGAAGCGATGCGAGGAGAATGCCGACGCACTGAGCAACCAGGACTTTTGCACGGCGTCTGAGAAGAGTCACATTCACATGATTATCGAAAAGTCAATTGCACGACTCAAGCCAGAAGATCGTGTTCTACCACAGATTATCCGCCTGCGCGAGCTTCTTGGCCGAGGTATCGCAGTACATCACGGTGGCTTGCTGCCCATCGTCAAGGAGCTGGTTGAGATGCTGTTTGCCGAGACGCTTGTCAAGGTTCTTTTTGCGACCGAAACATTCGCCATGGGTCTCAACTTGCCGACAAGAACAGTTGTATTCTCTGGCTACCGCAAACACGACGGACATTCGTTCCGTAATCTTTTGCCAGGTGAATACACACAGATGGCTGGTCGTGCTGGACGCCGTGGCTTGGACAAGGTTGGGTCCGTCATTATTGTACCGCCTGGCGGTGATGATGTACCCCCCGTCACAGACTTGCGCAACATGCTCCTGGGTGAGCCGTCCAAGCTTCGATCCCAATTCAGACTGACATACAACATGATTCTCAACTTGTTGCGCGTTGAAGCTCTCAAGATTGAAGAAATGATTAAGCGCAGTTTCTCAGAGCATGCCACGCAACAGCTTTTGCCCGAGCACGAAAAGGATGTCAGGCTTGCCCAGGCAGATTTGGACAAGGTGAAGCGTGAGCCGTGCAAGATATGCGACACTGTCGTGGACGAATGCCATCAAGCTGCTCAGGATTACAAGCAGCTTACCGCCGAACTCTACAAGGGATTGCTCAAGATTACAATTGGTCGCAGAATGTTTTCACAGCAACGGCTGATTGTATTCAACTGGGACGGTATCCGCACTGTAGGTATCCTGCTCTCCGAGGGCGTGAGCCCCAGGAGCACGATTGAAAATCCTACACTGCACGTATGCGCACTTAAGCCGCTCCGGGATCGTCGCGACGGTACTGATTTACTGCCATTCCTGCCAGTATATCGCAAGTACCTACATAAGCTGCCACAGGGTCGCAAGCGCATGCAGACTAAGACGCTACATGTTCCGCTGAGCGACGTGGAGTGCCTGACACGATGGGTACTTAAGGGCACCGTGCCCGAAATCATGAAGCGCGGCGACGTGGCTCTGCAAGCGATTGACAAGCTCCAGGAAATCTGCGCCTCGTGGGATGATAAGTGGGATGAGGCGGACATGGGCAGGATCAAAAGCCTGCAGTTGCAGGAAATAATGGAGCAACGAGTGCAGCTTGCCAAGAAGATGAGCACGTCGCCCGCCATGTCGTGTCCGACGTTCCTCAAGCACTTTGCCATGTGCCATGACGAGTGGCTAATCAAAGAGCATATCCAACAGCTCAAGTCTTCGCTGTCCGACCAGAACCTCCAGCTTCTTCCCGACTATGAACAACGTGTGCAGGTTCTGAAGGAGCTTGGCTTCATTGACGAGGCCACGCGGATCCAGCTCAAGGGTAAGGTAGCATGTGAGGTGCACAGTGGTGACGAGCTGGTCCTCACCGAGCTCATTCTCGACAATGTACTTGCAGAGTTTGACCCTGCCGAGATTGCCGCTCTCCTGTCCGCGTTTGTCTTTCAGGAAAAGACGACCATCGAGCCGGTGCTCACTGGCAACCTGGAGCGCGGTCGGGAGCGCATCGTGGCCATTTCAGAAAAGGTCAATGATGTGCAGACGCGGCTGCAGGTGATTTTGTCGTCGGAGGACTCGAACGACTTTGTGTCGCGGCCGCGGTTCGGCCTGATGGAGGTGGTGTACGAGTGGGCGCGGGGCATGAGCTTCAAGAACATTACGGGCCTGACGGACGTGCTCGAGGGCACGATTGTGCGCACCATGACGAGGCTGGACGAGACGTGCCGCGAGGTGAAGAATGCGGCGCGCATTATTGGCGACCCGGACCTGTACCAGAAGATGCAGCAGGCGCAGGAGATGATTAAGCGCGACATTACGGCCGTGGCGAGTCTGTACATGTAGGCTGGCGAGCTGGAAAGAAAAAAGTAACGCATTTGTTTTTGCTGAAAAAAGACACATGTGGGAAAAGGGCCCTTTAAAAGAGAGGACATGGGAGTTTTCAATTCACAATAGCATGGCATAGACGGGCTTGGGGCATAATGTGGAAGAAAAAGGACACAGATATGATTGAATGTCTGATTTTACATGCGGAAGAAATAAGGATATTGATGTGACCGAGTGTCTGGTTTAAATGTCTTTCAAAAAATCAATAAACATAAATAGCAATGCTAAAGACCAAAACTGATTCCAACCCAAAATAACGCCGAACACATGTAAAGCCGAGCGTGGCAGCGCTGCTGTCGTCAATTTTGCATGCTGCGCTGCCTTCTATCCCAAAACGCAGCACGACCACATCTTTTCGCCCCTTTCCATCCACTACTGCTATGTGTAGTTAGGCCCGCAGCGCACGCAGCCGCTGCTGAAGCGCATCCTCCTCCTCGGCCGTCGGGTCGTTTGTCTGGGCAGTGGCGGGTTCGGCGGTGGCGGGCGTCGCCTTGTTGAGTTCCTGGGAGAGCTCGATGCCGGCGTCGTCGGCGAGCTTGCCCAGGAGTTCGTGGACGGCGTCCTCGCCGACCTGTGTCGATGTGGACTGGGTGATGGCGTCTTGGTAGATGCCGTTGGACATGGCGTATTCTTCATTCTGCTGCTTAAATTGCTCGAGGGTGTGAAGGGTCTGTTTTTTATTTGATTTTCGTCAGCATATCGATTTCGCCTTGTTCATTTGCAATAAAAAAAGCAATTACCTTTTCTGGATTTGTATTCTTTTGCGCGACATTCATCACTTTGGACGACGACGCCATCATGTGCGTCATGCGGTTCATGGAATTGTTGGCCTGGATCTGGGCGGCCGACAGCTCGGCCATGTCGGCCATCTGGTCCATCTGCTGGGCGAGCGCCTGCTTTGAGAGGAGCACCTTGGCCTTTTGGTAGGCTTTCTGCGTCTCGCCCTTTTTCAGCAGCTCCTGGATCTGCTTCTTGAGCACGGGGTCCTGCTTGGCGGCCTTGACGGCCTCGCGCCGGGCCTGCTTGGCCTGGAAGCGCGCCTGGAACTCGACTTGCATGTCGCGGGCGAGCTGGCGGTTCGACATGATGAAGGGTATGGCGTGTGGGCTGAGGTAGAGTGGTCGGCGAGGTTTGAGGAATGTCGGGAGGAGAGTATGGGAAGAGTTGGCGATGGATGCTGATGCGGAATTCGACAAGTCGCATCACGAGAGACGGAACGAGGAAACAAAGTGGGGTGTGGGCGCTGTGGCGGGGAGGCCGCACGCTAAAGTGGTGGCAGTGACGCAAAGCCTCTGTAGTGTGTATCTAGGTACCTACCACGCGGGTGACAAAATGAAATGGCCTATAATGAGAGTACTAAAGTTTAGCGGCCTATTTTAAATAATTCTTAAGAAGCTCTAGAAAATGTATATCTAGCTAAAATGAATATAAGATTATATTTTAGTACTTAAATTATCTCTTATATCTTTTATTAATTTTAAATATTTCCTATTATTTTCTATTCTATGTACCTCTCGTTAAGTATTATGCGGACGCCTTGCGAAGATGGGTCAGCTTTTTTGTCAGCCCCTTGCCTACCTAGGTAGTGGTAGGTACACCTACTGTAGGTACTGGCCAGACGCCAAACGAACGTGCGACACACATCCACCTTCTGACGTTGTTGGTTGGGTGCTGGATGCTGTGGCGGCCAGCATATACCCGAGCCCTGTAACACAAAGGTTAGATTTTTGGCCATCCGAGGATGCGTTCTTAGGCGTGACGATCTTACGGGGCGCCCTTCTTCCCATGGGAAACACGAATCAGGACTTGGTTAGATCTGTCAGTCGCGCCTCCCAAAACCTGACAGAGCCTTGTTGCTCTCTCCCCTCACCCAAGAGTGCTACAACAGTCTCCTCCTGCTCACCAGTGAGAAAAATTAAGAAACGGCTCCTGATACATGGACGAGAAACACAGCGTCACTGTAAACCAGCATGGCTTCTCAGATGGTGATGGGCGATGGCTACACTACATCAGCTTGCCCTCCCCATTCCCCCCGCGATGAGGACAATGTTAGACCTGAACGAACGAGACGGGTAGGATCCGGCGGCATCGATTCGCGCGTGACGCCAAGCGAGTCTACTGCCGTATTTGACGTGATCGAACCCGTCTTGAAGACAGGTGTAAGTGATGGTATGAGGGCCATCATCATCACCCTGCTAGTTATTGCAAACCTAGTTCAGGTGGCTGTCTTCCCACAACAAAGAAAAGTTTGCATCCCGTACCATGACTGCGAATAAATCGAAATGATGCTGTTTTATTTCCAATCTACTTACTCTCAGCGGCGGTATCACACTTGGACGTGCTCTCGGCCGGGCAACTGGACCTGGGAAAGCTAACTGGATGGCCGCCTCGTATTCCTGGGTTGCTTTTCCCTTTGTTTAAGGCTGCCCTGTCCTTAAGCGCCGCTTTGGTTACTGTGGGATTAATTCTGGACTTTGCCTTTGTCAGGGTCCCCAAGGTAAACCGCCATGGCTGGGGAGATGAATTTGGGGGGCTTATGGCTTTGGGTGCGAACGAGGTGGCGGTGACGCATACGAGCTCGCCGGCAGATTTAGCCATGTCAAGTTAAATTGAGGTGACCACAACATTGGCTCCTTCCCGTTGGTGGTTCGCTGCCTGATGCACGATTACTGCTACGTCTAGAATGCTGTGTAGCTCTGTGCACCTAAAATTGGATAATTGTAGCTGCACACTACTGTAGGCAGGCGCAGATGCATGCGAAGCCAGTCGTACCGTCCGGGCAGCGCATCAGCACCGTCTTATTATCGATCTCTTTAGCGGGATGCAAGCTGCCTGTAGAAAACATAGCATCGCCGATGAAAACTATCTGCTAAAGCGAAATCTTGTGGATTGACCTTTGGAAAAGATGTCGGCAAAGAACGGCTCTGAAGCGCCATGTCACTTGTCGTCTTGAGCTACATCCTGGGTAAGTCGACACGCTCTCGGCTCGCCCATAAGGTCGAAATCTTATCACAGTACTGAATTCCATTTGTGTCGTGATTCTTTCACATGCATGACCCTCAGGGGCCTTCACCCTCAGATCGCCATCCCAACATATGATGCCCACCTAGGAGGTGCCTCTCCCGCCGCGGCAGCCTTCTTCGCAGCTTCGTCGGCAAGCGTATTCCACTCGCGTGGAATCTTCCAGAACTGGATGGCCGTATCACAGAGGTTGGCTCTCTCGCACTCCCCCAAGAGCACCTCCCACAAATCCTTGTTCTTGACATCGGAGCCGTCAGTTCCCCTCTTACCTTTTGTCCTCCAACTGTTCTGCACCCAAGTCTTCGCCCATTGTGTTGAACCCTCCACGACGTAGTCCGAGTCAGTGGCGATGACAACTGTTTTGAATCCCTCGCCTGGCCAGTGTCGGAAACGCAGGGCGGCGAAGACGGCCCGCAGCTCGGCCCGGTTGCTGCTCTGGATGCCATCTTCACCCCACGGGCCCTGCTTTTCCAGACGGGCCGAGACCAACAGCGGTTTGCCCTCAAGATTCAGCCCTTGGCAAAATGCCCAACCGGCCTTTGGATTGGCTTGGCCGTTGTTAAGACACGCCCCGTCAGTCATGAGAAGGAGTACGGAATTATCATTATGGTAGGTGTACCTGAGACCACGAACCAGGAGGTTAGCCGAGCACGAGGAAAAAAAGGCGACGAAGGAGCGAAAGCGCTTTACCTGATTATATCCATGAAGCGAGACCTGCCGCGAAACAGCTCCATCGGTGTCGTGGAGCTAAGGGGAGGGCTGAACTTGGAGGGGAAGATCAGACCAGTGCCTTTGACCAAATCGGACCCTGAGGAAGGGACTATGATGGCCTCATCATCGTCCTCTTCATCGACCAAGTCTCCGCAGTCTTCACCAAGGATGTCATCCTTGAAGCTGTAGTCACTGCAACATTTGCCGCATTGCACCAATCCGTGAGGTCCACAGACGAGTCGACCGTTTGGCAGCTCACAGGGGCCTTCATCGTCATCGCTGCTGCTATATCCCAGTGGGAACATGCCCTGGGCGAGATACCAGCCGCGAGGCATTACGGAAGTCTGTTTGCTGCCTGTTTGTGGTTATGTGTTTATGTGCTGGGGCACAAGTGGTGATTTTAAATTAGATGCGGCTAGAGGTGCATGGCAAGCAAGGGTATTAGCCAATGATGCTCCATAACAATTCCACCTTTTCCCCTCATCCTGTAGCCGATCAAAGGGCGGAAAACTTCCATCATCGAGGTCGAGGTATATCTATCCTATCGGCGCCTTGGAAGCTATCTTCCCACCATAAGCTGCCATGTCCCCGCAATAAACACGGCCGTTTCGCAAACCAGTCTCTTGTATCCCCAAAAAGATAATGTCCATCTCGCACTTCTTTCGGCTGTTCAAAAGGCGAAGACAGTGACATCCCCCCGGCAGCCTTTTCCGAGAGCGCTTTACGGATACGGAAGCAGTAAGAATATTCATTATTGAACTTACGTTAATTAACACCTATCCCAAAACACTTGGCCAATCTACCTTGGAAGCTCGCCATATGTGGCCGCCTCCAGCTTCTGCCACAGCAATCCCGATGGCGGTACGCCCGCATCGTTATTTGCCGGATCGTACTCCATGACGTTGAGCATCATGACGCCAGCAATACCTGTTTCGCGATCAAGCCACTATTCCATCACATGAACTATCAGCGACCATCACATATGCCAAGGAAGAAAACATCCATCTTCGAAATCGAGAGAACCACTTACCCATCGCGGACCTGACGCGCCGCTCCACGAAATAGATCCCTTGCGGCGCTTGCCCGGCACGTCGTCCACGTTGACCATGCCGCCAAACGCCTGCTGCATGCGCGCATGCTTCGGAAACTCGGGCGCCACGATGCCGTGCACGCCCATGTCGTACGTAAAGGCCTCGATGCCCTTGACCTGCTTGGGACTGAGCTGGTGCGCGCACAGCAAATCGAGCGACTCGCCCGACAGCAGCTTTCCCGCGAGCAGTCCCTGCAAAAATGTGGCAAAGTCGCGCGCCGTGGAAAAGAGCCCACCGCCGCCGCTCTCAATGGTCCAGTCCTCGACGACCGGCGCCGTCCCGGCTCCCTCTGACACGAGCTTGCCGCCGCGGCGCACAAAGTCGGCGACGGTGCGGTCCGTGCCGACGTGCGGCAGCCGCGACGGGTAGAAGCCCGTGTCGCGCAGGCCGAGCGGCGCGAACACGTGTGTCTGCATGTATGCGCCCAGTGGCTGGTCCACGACGAGCGCGAGCAGCTCGCCGGCCCAGTCCGGTCCCGTGCCGTAGTTCCAGTACTCGCCTGGGGCGTACACGAGTGGCGTGTCCATGGCGGCGCGGCTGCGTGCGGGGAACTGGCCCTTGACACGGTCAGGGCGCTGTGACCACTGCAGCGCCCGCGGGTTGGAAAAGTCGTACGAGTAGCCGGACGTGTGCGAGAGGAGCATACTGTGCAGAGTAACGCGTCAGCTGAGGGTTAAAGAGTAGTTTGGGTGTGTGTGTGTGTGTGTGTTGAAGGCTGAAAGAAGCTCACCGGAGCGTTATAGGCTCCGTGTTGGCTTCGAGGATCGGCGTGCCGTCGTCCTGGAAGCCGCGCAGGATCTGGACCTTTTCCATCTCGGCGAATCGAGGACGTACGTCGTCGTCGAGGTTGATGAGGCCGCGCTCCACGAGCTGCAAGAGGCACGTCGCCGTGACGACTTTGCTCATCGAGGCGATCCATGTAAAGGAATTGGCCGTAAAGGCCGGCGACGCTGCATCAAGTCCGATGCGTCCGGCAGCACCAGAATACAAAAACTCTTGAGAAGATAAGATCGTTCAAGGTTAGCAAGTCTGTTTTCCAGGGATATGTATTATTTTTTCTCCGTGATTCCTTTCTTTTTCTTGCCTCGGCACGTCGGCCGTCAGCACCAACGTCATAACGTACCATCTTTATTAGTCACTATAAAGGCCGCGCCCAACACTTTGTCCGTAGCATCCTCGCCCGAGGGCACGGCGTCTTGCAAAAGAGCGTCGAGCTTTTGCATGATTGTTTCTTTGTCTATGTTCTTTGAATAGGATGTAAAGATGAAAATGGGACATGAGATCTCAAGCTGACATTGGTTACCATGCGTTAGGTGTCTCCCCCGAGCTTGTTGCATCCAGTCTGCTTATTTCGGCTTGGTGACCCCGCAGACAGCTCGCTTATCTCATGCAAGTGCTTTGCCGTCCGTCCGAATTCTCTTTGTTGCGGCCGTAGCCGTGGATGATTTGGGCGAATCAGCAGTCCATTTACTGGTGTTCCTTTCATCTTCTGACCAGGGTGTTGCAGCCCTCTTTGTCTTGTTAGTCCCTGCCCAACCAAAAAGTTGTCAAGCCAAGGCTTCAAGGGTGTTTTCTTTTGGCCAACTGTTCTGGATGCCCAGAGCCAGTCAATTACCGCCCGCGAGACCAAGATGCAGCCAAGATCTCATTAAACCTATATGCAAGGCTCACCGTGCATCAAGTCAGTTTATTGAGTCCAAGCGGGCCATGTTGTGCAACCGCCTAGCCGTCGCACCTCCAGCAGCTTCAGTGTAAGCGCCAGTACTGAGGTTTGACAGCACGCCGTTTTTTTTTTCTTTTTTTTTAAAAAAAAAACCCCCACTCACCGCATACCATGAAATCACGAACTCACTACTTGCTATCCGTGAATATTGGCTACAAGCTGTCACACGGGCTCACTTGCTGTACAAAGCCCATCCTCAACCACTGCCGCAAGTACGAATGCCACCCCTACCTACCTTACCATATGCATCCGATGTCGCCCTTTTTCGTTGCACGTTGAATCTCTCCGCAGCCGGGCTCCTGCATTTTATGCCACGTCGTCATGGTGCGATTCTTTCTTTCCCCGTGTGCGAGACAGGAGATTGTTTTTTTTTTTTGCGCCTGCGAGTGCTCGCATCTGATAACTCTTTGGAAAAAGAGATGCCCCATATCTAGTCACTTTCACAGTGGAGAAATGAGACATCATGATGTACTTCAGGCTATGCGTACCTATGGATATTGCTGCCGCCGAAATGCTGCAAGCACTCCTGCTGTTCTCTCCTAGAATCAGCATTATTAGAAAAATGGTTATTATTCTATACCTAGACTTTTCAAAGCAACATTATTCGGCAACACCAATTTTGAGCTTCGACTATTAGGAACTGCAATTCAAGGCCCGGCGATGTGCCAAGTCAAGCCACAGTTTCTAGGGGGGGGAATCCACGTGTGAGTTATAACCCTGTGGCCATCGTTATGATTAGTCTTAGAAATTAGACAGCTGTGCACGTTTGCACGACGTCGCGGTTTGGTCCTGGTCAAAGCCAGGCAGAGATTTCAGATGGTCTCTTTATGCGAATAATTCGTGTTTGTGTGAACTCGGGGTTGACGAGTGAAGATAATTCAGATGTCACGATGCTTTTTATAGTACCACTAGTTGAATGCAGGATCAGCCTATTGACGCACTGTAAGTCATTGACTCACTGCCTCGGCAAAAATGCCAGCCTATCACGGTGGGCTACCCATTCGGCAGGATCAAACAATGAGATGTCGATTGGCTCACTGTCTCGCTTGCCGCTGGGTCAATATAATAATCGCGCCCGTCGGCCCCTCTGGTTTCTGTGGCTGGTACCTGGTGTTTGCTCTGGTTGAAGTGCTGCTGCCTCACCACGTCAAGAAGGCTGTCACACTGTTTCCTGTCGCCCTTTTGTAAAACAGTGGGTGGGCAATCAATTAATTACCTTCGTACCCTCGCATATCTTCTCCCACACTCCGCACTTTCTTCTTGTTCTCCCGTTTTGAATTCCGTTTATTTCGGCCGGCAGGCCCATCGGCTAGTAAGTAAACTGGCAAGCGTGCTTTCATCCAGACATGGCACCGCCTTCTTTTGTCCGCATCAACGAGATTGTCTCCGTGCAGCACCCCAATGGAAAAAATGATACGACGTCTTCCGATGGAATCTCGGAATCCCAGACCAGCAGAGACCCAAAGACGGCTTCACCCGGGATGATTCTGTTCTTGTCGTGGGCCAATGCCAATGATCGGCACATTGAAAGGTACACGAAGCTGTACAATGAAATTTATCCCGGCTCTAGCATTGTTCTTGTGGAAAGCGACATGGTAGCATTTTTCTGCCGGTCGGTTCAGACGCAGCAAAAGCTGGTCGGGCCGGTGGTGAAGATGCTTCGCGAGGCGGCCGACGACACCCTATACGTACATATCATGTCCAACGCCGGCGCCAAACAATGGGTCGCCATTAACGAGATGCTCTTTCAATCAGAAGGGCGCTCCCTATCTGAATTGTCCACCATCATTGATAGTGCCCCAGGGCGATCAGGATTTAGGAAAACCTGGGAGGCAATCTCCCCGGCCTTGCCGCGAGCTGTCCTGCCCAAGACCATACTCAGCTTCGTGCTCGGTATCGCTTTGCGCGTTGTGTACAGTACGAAATTTTTTGGGCCCGGGTTTGATCCACTAGAGACAATAAGGAAGCAGCTCAACGAGCACGTCCCAGTAGTCGCTGGGCCTCGCCGATGCTACATATACTCCGAGACAGATCTGCTCGTTGGCGAGGACGACGTGGTAGATCACGCAGAAGAGGCAAAGCAGAAAGGCTGGTCAGTCGAGCTTGTCAGATTCGAAGGAAGCCCACACGTCGGACACCTGAAGCAGGACCCGAAAAAGTATAGAGACGCAATCGAGAGAACGTGGCTAGGGAGGTCAAAGTTGTAATGGTCGCTGAGGCATGAAATTCACGATGATACGTCTGAAGAATAGTAAACCGCAATTGATATCAGTTCATAGGAGAAGGTGCTACCGTCAAGAACCAGCGCTTGATTTTCCAATGAATCCTTAACCCTGCATCGTCAGACAAAGAATGGCTGCCGTAGCTACCTCATGCCCCAACACCCCGCAGAAGACGCCGCGGACAAAGTAGGGAGTTCCCCGCGACTCCACTGTTGAGAAACCCGCTTGCCCACAAGGCGCCCTAGCCTCCGGGAGATCGATGCGACTGGGGAGACATGTTGGACTCTTGAAAGGATCGGCATGCTGTGTTGAACATTCATCATTCTCAGATATTGGCTTCATACTCCGTACATCGGCAGATGTCAGCCCCTGCAGTAAACAGTTCACCGGCACCCCCGCCAACATGCTCTGTGCTGCATGTGCCGTAGTGCAGCAAAAGGTGGAACCACCAACCACTGGTGATGCTGTATTTATATTAATCGCAGGTTCGTGACCGTTGCGGGATGACGACACAACCCAAATACTAGTAGAATATTAGAAGGATCAACTATAGAAAGTCATCAGTTCTATAGTTGGTCTGATAAGCTACCAAGGCATAGGACTATCAAAAAGTAATACAGAATACTTTATGTATGATTTGTTTAATTAATTCATTTCATCGGGTTGGGCCATGCTTCGGGCAGCCCTCATCCGAGGTGGGCAGGAGCGTTTTTGACACCCTACACCACGAGCCATGCTGGGCATAGAAATGCTCGGGCATTTGGACATTTCGGGATCATTGCGCCCTATATTATTGATTTCTTCGCAAATACGCGACCACCCCTCTTATTGAGTTGAAGCACCATCAGACGCGGGGAAACAACCGAATCTCGCGGCAGACCACCTAGTCGCGACCGCAGTAACTCGCGACAGAAGAAGCTACCTAAGATGAAGCACTTGGTACATGGCGTATTTTGTTGGAGTAAAGGCCCTTGTAAATGACCTAACTAAAGGCCTTGCATCTAATGAGATACTTCAATGACCACTTAGTTAAGTAATATGCCCCAGCACAAACACACCGCCGCAAACGGGCAGCAAACAGACACTCTCAATCTGGGATCCAGCAGCCACGCCGTCTAAAGATACAACCATGGCTTTGTACGACCATTTGGTAAGCTGGATCCGACGAAGCTCGGCATGTCCACATGCAAGAGTTCACGTGGAAGGCGCCATCCATGCACATTATATACACCCTCCGCCCAGTCAACGAGAGCATGCAAACAATTATCAAACGACTTGTGTTTCGCAATGGACTCCGTCATATGGATGCAAAGCATGGTCCAGGGCCACGCGGTGCTCGCCGTCACTGGCCTGGCGGCTCTATCGCTGATAACAGTGGTACTGTATCGCCTCACACTCCATCCCCTTGCACGAGTCCCTGGTCCTATTCTCGCTGCCGCTACAGGTGCATACGAAGCCTACTTTCAGCTGATAAAAGACGGAGGCGGTCGATATTGGGTCGAGATAGATCGACTCCATGATCTATACGGTGCGTGCATTCAACATTGCTCAAGAGAGCCTCATCTAACGCGTCCTTGTTGTGGCTGCAGGGCCGATTGTGCGAATCAGTCCATGGGAAGTCCACATTAAAGATTCAAACTGGAATGACGTCTACAAACTATCGTCGAAAGCGGCCAAGCCTAGCTGGTATTACCGAAGCTTCGGCAGTACCACAAGCACTGCGACTACGGAACCGGATCACCTCCATCGAATGCATCGCCAGGCTGTGCAGCCGTGGTTCTCATCCCAAAATGTTACTCGAAGTCTACCAAAAATACAAGAGACAATTGAAAAGCTTCACGATCGCTTGGCCTCCTCCGTCGGCCAGGTCATAAATTTGAGCGATGCATACCGGTCCCTCGCCCTCGACGTCGCAACCGCCTTTGTTTTTCGAAAACCATTCGGTGCCTTGGATCATCCAGATTTCAACCAAGACTTCAACGAGGCTATCAAGAGCTATAGCCGCATTGGAATATTCAACAGGCATCTTTTCGGACTCCCACACTGGCTGCTCCAATCGCTTCCGGCATCCATCACAAACAAAATCAGCTCTAGAGCTGGCCAATCTTTCGTAGCGGTATGTCCAAATCTTGCCGAAACCTCATCCTGCGGTTCCTACGGTGCTGATATAAATACATCCCGTTACAGACAGTCAATCGCTTTGCTCGATACGCTTTCGACAATCCAGTTGTGCCGGAAGAGGGCCCGCAAGATGCAGTACAGACGATGCTCGCAGCAAACCTCCCAAAACAGCAAAAAACTTTCGACCGCGTATTTGGTGAATGCCGAAGTTTTATTCTTGCTGGAACTGAGACTACCGCCACCGTTCTAACCTCAATCACCTACCATGCTCTAGCAAATCCGGACATACTCACCAGGCTACGGACCGAAATCAGAAGCGCCTTCGAAGCAAAGGGGACTGCTCTGGAGTATCAAGAAGTCAAAGCCTTGCCATATCTGACTGGCGTCATCAACGAAGCTCTACGAACGAGCAACTCCATTTCCGCACGACTTGTCCGCTACTCTGATGTAGCCGACTTGCAGTACCAGCAATTCTTCCTGCCTCGTGGAGTTTGTGCCCACCCCAAGTTCCATACACAGAATCGGATACTGACTGAATAATGATGATTAGACTTATATTTCTGTTAGCATGGATGACCTGCACATGAATTCTGTCATTTTTCCTGAGCCCGAAAAGTTCAACCCCGACCGCTGGCTGAACCAAGCCGACTACAAGCGACTTGTGAAGCATTTACAGCCATGGGGCCGTGGATCTCGACTTTGTCTCGGCCTGGATCTTGCCTATACTGACGTCTACTTGACGGTGTCACGACTGTTTGGTCCACAATGCAGCTTCCAGATGCAGCTGTTCAAAACAAAGCAAAGCGACTGGGACGTTTTTCATGATTACTTTGGACCAGCACCCGGTCCCGGAAGCCGGGGGCTGCGAGTGCTTGTTGAACCCAGCTAGAAAGCAAGGTAGTGGATCAGGAAACTGTGGCTTTACTTTTATCTTTTATTTCAGTTGTTTATGGTATTTGCTACAGTAGCGTTGGGCGTCCTTCATGGTGTTGAGGCACTGTACGTACGTATTTCAGCATCGCAATATTGTTTACGCTCACTGATACGTAGCCTGAGACTATGCGCATGAATGATAGAAGAATAAGTGTATAAGATTAATCAAATTATAAGCAGAGTGGAGAGAGTCTGCCATGAGTCTAGGTTCAAACTACTTTGCTCGGGTCCGACGCTGCCTCGTCAAGCATCTGCTGCGCGTTGCGAAATGTCAGGTCGGGGAAAAACTTGGCGCGATGGCGCTCAACCCTGCTCCACGGAAATCGAACTCCCGAACCATGGCTCCAGAGCTCCAGAATGGCTGCGCCGTAGCTTTCCTCGCTCTCTTGGGCCATGTACTGCTTGATGGTCTGCGAGAGTGACTTGCTTCGAAAAGTGTAGGCCGGGTCTCGGCTCTGAATGAACTGTCCGAGCTCTTTCCACGTCATTTGCGCGCCAGAGATATACAGAAACTCCTCCCATTCGCGTCTGTCATGCTCGAGAAGTCGAATCGTGGCACGAGCAGTGTCTCTGGCAGAGGTGAAGTTGACCAGTTGCGAGCCGTCGCCGTACAAGGTAAAGACTTTTTCGGCATAATTCTGCGGCCACATGTCGCCCAGGCTGCTCATATATCGCTGCGTCTCCGGCACAATATAGTCAATGTACCATCCTGGGCTGACGGAGCACCAGCTCACGTCGCTCTGGCTTCGCAGGTCCTCGAGCACCGCTTCAATTTGGTCGGCTAGGTCGAGAGGCTCGTCTGGAAAGTCTGCAATATTGCCGGCCCACGTGGCCGGAATGAAGCGTTTGCAAGTGCTGGACTTTTGGCAAGCGCGGAGGATTGCTCGATGAACCGGGATGTTCTCTGGTATACCAACTTTCAGAGTGCAAATGGCCGCGTCACAAGTTGCTAGTGCCTGCGTGAGGTCAGCTTCGCTGTAGTCGGTGGTGTGCTGCGCGACTCCTAGCTTGTCGAGGTAGGGCTTGCTGCTCCGGGAGACGGCTAGAACTTGGTGTCCGCGTTGGAGAAGCTCTTCGACAAAGTATCTGGCGAGATCGCCGACGGCAATGATGGCGACTTTCATGATGGACTGGGTAAAAGGTGATGTTTGTTTTTCTGTTGCTCTGTAATGGATGGACATGCTTCAGCACTTACTTGACGACACGAGTCGCAAGAGGTGTTTTTATAGTATTTGGGATGCCAGAGTGTGACTTGTGCCAGATACTGGTAATCAGTTCATTTTCTCCAATGTCCACCGCGCGGATGACCAAGCTGACAACGAACAAATGAGTCAATTCCACTTATACCATGTGCACACTCCACACGAACTCCGTCGAACACTCGAACAAATTAATGCGGCAATTACGCAATGTAACAAGTCTCGGTTCGTGGATTAATATCAGTTACTAATAGCCAATGTAGGGCCAAGAAAATGTGTAAAGGGCGCGCCCTGTAGTATTGATGAATGCTCCATGTGAACTCCGCCGCGAGTCCGCCAACTGAGCCACCAAGCAAATTGAACATGTTGCTACAAGCACGCATCATGGCGCCAAGATCAGTGTAGAGAAAGTCCGCGCTGTGGAGGAGAATAATGTAACTTGAATAGGAAAAGTGGTCTCGAGGTCGAGACCAATCGAAGATGAGTATTTCATTAGAAACGGAAAGTAACGTGAGGCCAAGTCGGACCAGACGCGCGCCTGCGCCTCGCTCATTGCCGTGACCCGTAAAAAAAGCTAATCTAGTTCACCGCGGTTGCCCGAGGGCCCCGATCCGCTCCTACATTATTCAGCACAAGTGATGAAGTCGAAGATGAATCAGAAATCCGCATCCGGGGCAATCTTCTCCGCAATGGGAAAGCCGAGATGTAACGGATATAAAGAGATCATCTCGAGCCAAATAGCTGAGTAAAAACATTACAATCCCAGTAGAGCAAAGTTCTATCTCTGTCCCGAAAAAAAAAATGCCTTCTCATATCTCTGTCATCCCCGCAAGTACCCGAGCCGGCGAGGCTGCTATTCGTGCGCTTCTTGCATCCGCCCAAAACCCCCACGTGCGGGCCTTTTACCGTGATCCTTCCAAAGCACCAGCCGAGTTCAAGGAAAATTCTCGTTTTACAGCGCTGCAAGCAGACGTCGGCTCGGGCTCGGGCATTGACTTTGAGGGCTCCGATGCCGTCTTCTACATTCCCCCGCCGGCCATGGATGGCACAGACGTCGAGGTGTTTGCCAAAAAGTCGTCTGATGCTATCAAAAGTGCCATCAAGGCGTCGTCGACTGTGAAGCGCCTTTTGGTGCTCTCGGCCATTGCGGCTCAGAATGATCACGGCATAGTAAGAGTTACACGCGGCATGTATGTTTGGGTGTTGCTGACAATGGTGTGCTACAGGGTGTGCTCCGTCTCAACCATTTGACGGACAAATTTCTTGCCTCGGCGGCTGACGAGGTCACCATTGTTCGACCATGCCTTTTCTACCACATGTGGGCCGATGCAGTGAGAACGGCAAAGCAAGACTCGCCAAACTTTGTGTCAACCATCCACCCGGCGGATTGGCGGGTTCCAATGGTATGTCCCAGCATTATGTATTTAGAGTCCAAGTTTTCCCCCGGTCACTGACTGTTTTGTGCAGGTCAGTGTGAGGGACCTCGGAGAATGGAGCGCAAAGCAGTTGCTGGATGACTCGAAGCATCCTCAGCTGCAGACGCTCAAGTTTTACGGTCCTCGCCTTGTCAGTCCCAATGACGTCAAGCGGGACCTCGAGACAATTGTTGGCAAAGAGGTCTCAATGACGACGATTCCGCCTGAGAAGCAAGCCGAGTTCTGGGCCGAGCTTGTTCCGCAGGAGTATGTTCAAGACTTTGTCGAGTATCAGACTTGCCAGCTTCCTGGAGGCGTCGCTGTCCCGGATTTTGTGTACGACGAGCATACCGTGAGAGCTCACACGGAGATCCTGGATGAGTTGCGAGAGTTGGCCGGGTAGGATGGGTGGCTCGCTTTTCACTGCTATTCTTTTGGTTAGCACGTCGAGAAAAGAAGATGAATGACGACATCATTCCTGTCAGCCTTGTTGCAAGCAACGATGGGGCTAACTTGTGGGGTGGATGCATTTCAAGTTGCGAATCTCGATTGACTCATGTAGAATTAATAATAGATCTTGGCTCGTGAAGTAGCGCGAAGAACTCTGTCCTACTCCATCTTAAGCACTAGCTGTCGGATCTTGAGCTGACTGGCCAGCATAGCTACAGCGTGCGAAAATGCAATTAATGGCACTGAAATGGCAAACCATGTGCCAAGTTTCAGGGTACCAGACCCAAATTTGGCAATGTTCAGTTTAAATACCGATGTAGTTAAGGAGAGCGGAATATGTAAAAAGGCAACTTAGGTCAGAAGACCGACTTGCCACGCCTGCGCGATGGCTTGTTGTGATTCGGCGACAGAGGCTTTGCTCATGCACTACTCACACTGAATCCCATGTCGAGGGATTCAGCTCGGAGCGGTGCTTGGTGTTGAGAGTGCTATTGAAATCATGATTTAGGCTTGACGTAGCCACGCTCTGCAGCTCATCCGAGATGACGATAATTGGCTTGAGATTGACGAATCGCACAGCCTGCTGCTCCTTGTACAGCCATACCTGAGCAGCGTTGACGCAGTGAGCGTAAGTCTTCTTGAGAAAGTCCACCATGGCGGAGTGGCCTGTGTCCAGACGGTTGTATTATGTCGAGACGTAACTGGAATTTCTCAAATTTGTTCTTCGTAGTCTTGTACTTTTCTGAGTCCATTTTTTCCTTGAAATTACTCATGTTAGTCTTCAAAGTCTCCTCAACAATACGGATCTTGTCACCACCAGCATCTTCAAGTTTGAGCCTGCCGTCTCGGAGAACCTTGTACTTTTCGACCAAGGCTTTCACATCGCCCTCAACATTGTTCAGCTTTCTCACCAAATACTCTCTCCAAATCGACACCCCAATCGTCCCCTAGTATCTTTTTCCTCTTGCATGACCAGAAGGTTGATTGGCCGCCTCAAGCCCAGCCATGGCCTGGCTTCCATGCGTGAATATGACAGAGTTCATTGCTGATGAAAGCAACGTTTCCTTGTACCAAAAAGAATATCAAATAGTCCAAGCAGGCAAAAAAATTCTACGACACCTGCAGGATTCGAACCTACGCACGCGAACGTAATGCCTTACTAGTGGGGCTGTTAGCGAGAGAGTCTTTGGAAGTCGGTGATTGTGTATACGTACGCAGGGCACCGCCTTAACCACTCGGCCAAAGTGTCAGTTGTTGTGCAAAGGCCGCCAATTCAATATTATATACCTAGCCTCTGTCATTTCTCATCCCGCTGACCAACCAACTCACCCTTGATCACGTTTACGAATCTACAATTTTTTCTGTGGTCTACTTGAGGTTATCATTGGCCACGGTAACGAGTCCTTCGCTTGTGCTCATACGCGCCAAGTTGACTTTATTGGTGCGTCGAACACGCCCTGCGGCGGACAAGTGAGCACTACTGCGCGCCCTGTAGCACTTGGAATTGCTCTAGTTAGCAGAGCATTCATGGGCCTAGCAGCACCTGGTAATTTGATCATGTCGAGTTTCTCATCGATTTGAGAAATCAGGCTGCGATGACTCAAAATCAACCAGCCAATTTGGCTTCAGGCGGTTGTATATAAACAATCGTTTTGTTCAATCGAGTAGCCTGGTCAAAAACACCTCTTACACCTTCATCGCCAATCAAAACGCCCACATCATGGTTGCCCTCACCTTCCGCCGCGCCACAGCGGACGACGCGCCTCGTCTGCGCGATCTCATGGAACATGCCTTTTCAACTAATGACTCGCGACCCAACTGGACAGGCGACGCAGAACTCGCCTCAAACTACACGCTGAAGCTCGAAAGCATGCAAGCGGCCCTCGCCATGGACGGCCTGGTGACGTTTGCGGTCCTAAACGAGGCCGGCGACATTATCGCCTCGGCCAATGTGGCCAGGAAAGGAGACGACACTGGCCGGATTTCCGGTCTCATTGTGCAAGACGAGTACCAGCGCGGCGGCGTCGGCGGCCGAGTCCTGACTTATGCCGAGGAGTACTGCAAAAGAGAATGGGGGGTGAGCAAGCTGTCGCTCAATGCGCTGTCGACACGCACCGCGCTGCTGGCGTGGTATAAGAGCCGGGGATACCGAGAGACTGGCGAGATGAGCGAATTTCCGCGCGCCGATGATTCTTTTGCCTCGTGCACGATTCCGGAGGACCTCTGCTTTGTTGAAATGTCAAAGAACCCCTATGCGGGGGAAAGCGCCGAAAAGCTGCAGACAAATTAGCTCGCAGCGTTGAGGCTGGAAGGAAGTCGGCCATTTATATATTTATAAAACGAGAAGCACTAGTAGTGGCCCATTGCCTGTTTTGCCCATGACTGACAAGTTTGGTCATGGCTGTTACGTGTGTGGAATAGGGGATAAAGTAAACAAAAGGCATCGCTTGCAATTGTCGGTTAGCACAGCGCCCTCTATTTATACTATGAAATCACCACTACAATCAGTGGTGTTATAACTTCAATCATCTCTCCGCCAGGGGTATCATAATGGGGATCAACAGACAGCACAATACGTCCACGCTACCCAAGTATTTTCGCAATTTACGTGCGGATGTCGCTTTTAAAAGTCCTATCTTAACAGGGATATTAGTAAGAGTCTAAGTAAAGATATTCTGAATAGTCTATAAAGGGACAGATAATATAGATTCAATAATTATTATCTTCATTCTTCTTAACATTTATTACCTTTGCCTAATGGAATAAGTATTTAGATATCTTATAATGATTGTTTTATTTAAACTTCTATTCTAAGTTCGAGAATTTTATCAGAGAACAACGGTTGAGTAGTCAATTTTGCTTCTGCAATATGGTGCATCACTCCTCTATAGTCTCCCAGCTTCTTCTCAATTTTGCCCAATGCCTCCACTTTGCATCCCACCAATCGTCCATCACGGAGTCGTCCTTATATTCAAAGTCTCTGTCGATATCGCATATATCTTTAGCATGTCTTGCTCCATGTACTCGCAAATAATTAGCAATTTCATCCCGGTTCTCGGCCTCGACCGCGGGACTTCGCTCTTTGGTGGCGATTACCTGAGCAGCATACTGGCCCCAACCAGTCAGGATACGGTCGTAGTGCTTCCGTCCCTCGGTGACAAAGTCCAGAGGAGTTTTAAATGTATCTGAGAGCGGTGAAGGCTCAGCTCCCTGCTGGACAAGATGCTTAACAATTTCGTAGTGTCCATTAGCCGCAGCGCCGTGAAGAGGTGTCCACCCATAATAGTTGGCGATCGATGGGTCAACATTCTGATTAAGGAAAAAGTCAACAGCGGCTTGAGCACCGAAGACGGCCGCTTCATAAAGTTCATGGATGTCACTTTTTTGCCTCAAGTTTATGTCTGCTCCTTTTTCAAGTAGAAGTTCAAGAACTGTACGCTGTTAATACACTGGTTCCAGCAAACTCAAAGCCACACATCTGGTATGCATCTCACCTTGCCGCCTTTTGGGGTCAGCATAAGCTGTAAGAGCTGATCTTCCATTCTCATCTCTCTGGTCAACAATTACATCTCGCTGAAGGAGACTTTTGACAAGCTCTTCGTTATTTCTGAAGGTCGCCCGATGGAGAAGCGATTGCCCCGAAAGATTTGTCAAATTCTCTGACACGCCAGAATTCAAAAACACACTGACGGCTGAGCAGTTATCTCTCTCAACTGCGAGGAAGCAAGCTGACTTGAGGAATGCTCTCCTAAGTTCATTGAGCTCGCGCGAGTCATTTGCATGACGAAGGTCGCTTTCTTTCGTGCTGCCACCTTTGTCAGTCTCAGAGTCGCCGGCCTCAGAGTCGCCAGTCTCAGAGTCGCCAGTCTCAGAGTCGCCAGTCTCAGAGTCGCCAGTCTCAGAGTCGCCAGTCTCAGAGTCGTCAAAGTAGCCTGCATCAAAGTCGTCAGAGTCGCCTGTCTCAGAGTCGCTATCGTCATAGCTGGACGATACTAATTCAACTGCTATGGGATCGGCGGCCTTGCGGTCCAAAAGATGTCTCAGACCATCAGCATTTCCCTCGTAGGAGTGTTGAAGCAACGCTCGATATTTCTGTAGCGGATCAAATTCAGGGTGCGAACCTTCATGAACTTTCGGTGTTGAATGCGAGGTTGTGAAACTTCCCGTAGCAAAAAGACTCATCAGGAATTGAAGCTGTGCAAAAATGACCATGATAACCAAGCCAATGATCTGGAGAAAATTGCCATCTGGCAGGGCAGGCCCTGAGTGGCCAATAATTTGGCGAACGACAGTCCAGTAACTCCTCTCCATGGCGTGTTGAAGTATGAAATGTCCCTTTTGAGTTTTTAAATCGACCCTAGCGCCGTGTTGTAGAAGAACGCCCGCAACTGAATCGAGTCCACAATCAATAGCGACTTCCAAGGGTGTTCTTCCATAAGGATCGGTGACATCAATCTTAGCTTCCCGGCCAATCATGATTTGCACAATCTCGACATTCCCCAGATACACCGCAACTTGCAGTGGAGAGAATGAACCCCAGTCACTGTACTTCGAATCAAGTTTCTTACCCCTGTTGGTGAATATAGACTTGCTATCATACCCCTTATACCTGCAAAGCAGGCGGCCGTATAGAGCTCTGGTCCTTTTGCAAGTGACGAATTTTTCAATGGCGTCCAAAAGCTTCTCATCCCTCTCACCATCACGAATTTTGCGATGATGCTTATGAAGGAATGCACCGGCATATTTGATGAGCCAGTAATCTTTCTCGATACCGTCTAGAACTGAACATTCCTTCGCATACACATGCACGCCGGAAGCTTCTCGCTTTTGGGGGGCAGTAGCCACAACAGATAGGTATTTGACGCAGTCGATTGTGATTTGTTTGTCCGAATCAGGTAGTTCAGATTTTTTGTGGTTGTCAAAGTATTCCCGCGCAGATCTGTGAACAAAGCGGACCAAATGCTCCGAGTCCACAATGACAAGACCTTGGCATTCGGATATAACATCTGTGCGTCTGTAGGACTTGAGAGGCTCTCGGCTGCCCGCTTCGTTCTTCTCTCTGATAGCAAGTGCGTCGTAGAGCTCCTTCTCGGTGAGTTGGCGCTGGGCGAAAGCTATCCAGGCTAGAACCGACTCAGCGCGGGATTTCACGTCATTTGCTTGCTTGCGTATCCTTTCCATAGCTTTCTTGTAGTTGCCATTAAGATCTGCTGGCAGGGAAGTCAAAATATCTTCCAATTCTGCTGGATTACCAGCTGAAAGAACAGCTTTGACGTGGAGCCTGACAATAATGAACCTGGTAAAGATTAGAGCCAATCGCCGCGAGGGAAAAAAGTGGAAATCTCACATTCTCCCGGACTTTTGCTTGATCATATCCTGAATTCTCTCACATTTGTCTCGAAACATGCTCTCGGAGACTTTGGAGTCAAGCTGGCAGCGAATGTACTCATCCATGTCCAAATCATTCGCTTCGATCTTGGCAGTGGAAAACCCGGTCTGAAGGGCCTCCAAATGTCGTAGAACTCGTGAAGTTACCAATATCTTCACACAGGGACCAAGATTTGTGAGATGTTTAAGCAGTTTCCCACGGTAGTCGAAATCAAACTCATCCAGAGCATCAACAATGATGAATATGGCCTTGCCTTGACAAATTGCAGTGAGCAGACGACTGATTCCATTTTCAGTCAAGGACTGAATCTCGCCCGCGAATTTCCCATTTTTTCTAGCTCTTTCAAACTCTGCGACGATGTCTGGATGAATGCCATCCTCTGGTTGAAGCTGGCGCACTATGCTCCCTAGAAGGTCTTTGACCTGAGGTGTCGATGTGTAAGAAAGATATAGGTAAGCTACTGATCTTTTCAGTGTCTGTAGATGGTTGATGATAATCGATCTGAGATTATTGATCAGTAAAAAGTCGCTTCGGAATGTATGAAACGTACGCCAGGACACTCTTCCCAGCACCAGCTGTAACATAATTAGTCCGTGTCCCTGCTGTGGAGGAAGAGGACTCACGATTTCCAGTATACCAAATCTTATCAACGTCACCTTCTTCCCAATCCTTGAAAAAGTGAGAATTCAATAACCACTTGCCAAATCTACTAGGGTCATCCGTCTCTTCAATCCCTTTCCGATTCCAATCGTGCAATTCTTGGTAAGGGAGTTTGCTGAGCCAATCGAGTATCTCGTCACGGTTCGCACGGAGGCTCAGTTCCTCGTGGTTTCTAATCAAGGTCTCGACGCTGCCGAAAGTCGCAATGGGAAAGAAGTTTTTAAGTGCCTCTGAGGCATCCTCGAAGGCCAACATCGCGGGTTTCATGCCGTCTTTGCCTTTTATTTGCGAGAGCCAACAACCTTCTAAAAACTCTTCTTAGCATGGAACCAAACCTTAGGCCCAGATGGAATTGATTATTACTCGACCCTTTTTTCAATTCCTCGCTGGCGACACGGTAAATGTTCAAACAACTGATGAAGAGATCAACTATGCGTTTTTGGAGGTCAGTTCGAATGTCCTTTTTTAGATGTTCTTTGATAATCGATAGATCGTCGAACTTCTGGCCAATCCTTTTGAATAAGCCTGCGATCTCATCGAACCTCTCTGAAACCGCTGCTAAAGAGCCAAACAGCCATGCAAATACGTTAACGACCAACGTTGCAGGTGAAATGAGTGGGAAGGCCTAGGATAAGGTCAGAGGGCTAGACTTTGGTAATTTTTTGGTTGAAATCAGTCAACTTACTATGGCAGTCATGTCAACAGCAAAGCCAATAGCTTGAAGAACAGACTGGATCGTCTCTATGTTGCGCCCGACAATGCCACATACTGTAGCGAAGTTTTCGTCGCTTTTCTTTGAGTCAAAACTTTTTAGCCATGCTTCAAGGTCCAGCATGACCTCAGTATCTTTTTTGAGCGTATAGCCGGACTGAGACCCAATTCTCGGGATGTCCTTGCAAGCCTCGATCCATTGGGCTTTAAGATCACCCTCAATCTTGAATGCCGCCATACTCAAATAATGTAGCGTGAGTGTTGTTAAAACTAAGTTCAATCTTAAATCTGAAGTAGAGAGAGTTAGGTATATATACTGTAATTTTCTCATGTGACCTTCATGCAAACCCCGCGCGGCCTGGTTGGGAGCAGTGTCTCATCGCTACCCAACTCCTCTTACCTCAGCCTTCCGCACTAATGTAAAAGAATCGATGCTGTCGGCTATGAAAAATTGAGAGCACAGATTCCGGGTCAATTCTGCTGACACAAAAGTCGAATCGTACCGAGATATAGAACCTCTCAAATGTGTGAGCAATAATACAGGGGAGAAGGCGATCCCAGCAGAATGGATAAGGACTAGGTTCGTACTCGCTGCGAGATATTTGTATTCTCATAAAAAATATCGCTACATACAGGTGAAGCCAGATTACCAGCCTAACAATCATATCAAAAGCTCCGCACCTCTCAGGTCTTGCAGGGCATGGCTGAACACAAGCTTGTACGATTGGCTAGAGAGATGCAATGTGACAGCACCTGTGAGACTACTTACCCCGCGCCGTCGAATCTACGAAGTACAAGATACAGGCAGTAACATGGTCAGGCTATATGTGGCCAGCAGGGCACAGGTGCCGCTCAAAGGCATTATGCATCCTTTCCAAACAAGGAAAGCAAATAGAAGAAATTCCACGTGAAAGTTTTTAGAGGCTGACTGGCCTGCCTCACAATGCTCGTCAAGATTTTGCTCCAACACGTTTTCTTCGCAAGTCAATAGTGCACCATGTCAACAGACCAGACCCCCCCCGGCCTCGATATCGCCATTGTGGGCGCAGGTATAGCTGGCCTGTCCACTGCAATCGCGCTTCTCCTTCAAGACAACGCAAACCATCGCGTCACAGTGTTGGAAAAGTATGCAAATTGCCAGCCAACGTTTAGTGGCTCTCTTCAAATTCACACAAACGGTACCCGGGTTTTGAAAGGCTATGGCGTCTCGGAAGCGATTGAAGCGTGCTTGCCTGAGCTTCGGTCGGTGCACAATATTCACAGATTGTCTGATGGCTATTTGCTATACAATTTGCCTGCTGCCGTGTCGCAAAAGAATTACAAGTTGCCGTACGTAACTGACAAGTTGGCCTCTTGGAGTACAATGGATGCACATTGACCGGGGACCAGAGTTTGGAATATCAACCGCAGCGACTTGCTGGGCATTCTCTTGGCTCGCGCAAAAGAACTGGGAGCATTGTGCCAATTCAGCGCCGGAGTTGCGGACATTGACGCTGAGGCGGCTCGACCACTTCTTACAATGGAAGATGGAAGAACGCTTTCCTTTGATCTAGTGATTGCTTGCGATGGTAAGCTTTGATACCATTCGTGGCAGAATTCCAGCTCTGACAAAACTTAGGAGTCCGTTCAAAGATTCGGACCAAGATTATGGGCAACGTGGATGTCGTCCACCCATTGACCGCATACAGCATTAGTGTTGACCGGGAGAAGCTCAAGGAGCACGACGATCTTCATTTCTTTTTCAACAGGAGCGGATTTTGGATGGGCCCAAAACAGACAGTTGTGGGCATGGATCTTCGGTCGACGTGCAATCTTGTCTTTTGCACTGAAAGGGACGACGGAGAGGAAGGCGTCTGGGACAAGCCACACGATGTGGAGGACGTCAAGAAGCAATTTTCCAATGCTGAGCCACGATTACACAAGTTGATGAGCCTGGCCAGTGGCGCATGCTTCATATGGCGATTTTCGGACCTTCCAGAGCTCGACACATGGACGAGCCGCAATGGCAGAGTTGTCCTGCTTGGCGATGCGGCGCACGCTATGCTCCCTTTCGCAGCACAGGTAAGTTTATGAATGAGCAAAAAGAAACATTTTCAAAAAGTAAATATTTTACTAAATCAGTTTGAAATACAGGGAGCTGCTTCTTCCATCGAGGACAGCGCATGCTTGGCAGAATGCATCACGCGGATCAGCAGCATTTCCAAGGCAACCGCAGCATTTGAAGCGATTCGCAAGCCACGCACCACGTACATTTCCAAAGCCGGTCGTCTGAACATGAAGTTCAGTCATCTGTCTCAAGGTCCTGAGCAAGAAGCCCGAGACGCTGCTCTGATTAAGATGCGCGAAGAAGAAGCGAAGAGGATAGTGCCTGCGCCCGTGCCCGCCGCGTCCGCGCCAGAGGCAGCGCCCACACCGCAAATGTTGCAAAGCTTTGATCCTCCAGAAGTGGTAGCAAACCTGTTTACTCCTATTGCACGAAGTTATGTCAGTAGCTATGACATTCTTGCTCATGTGCGTGATCCAGTCTTTGAGGAATGCGACATCTACTAACACATGCATAGACAAAAGCGTACTTGAAGACCCTCAACACAGACGATCATGCCAAGCATGCAATGTAAGTTTATAGCTGGGTTGAAGAAGCATGATAGATCGAATATATACTGCACAGTACTGGTTTCACTCTATGTACATTTTGTCGTGATCCCCATTGCCACCTCTCATACCCCTCGTCTTGACCAGTCTTCTCCATCTCGCAACTCACTGGCCATCGCCCCCCCAGTTGCTGCAGCTGCCACGACCTGGAGCATGAGGGCGGCGCGAGTTTCGGGTCACATTGGGGCCAGGCTCGGGAAACTCAACATCAGTGCCCTCGTAGGTGCAGACGCCGTTGCCGACATTGGCGACAAACATGTTGGGGCGGCTGTTGAGAGAGATGGAGGCGTCGCGGCGGGACTTTCCAGAGACTGTAATGACGGCGCAGTTCATGTACATTTCGCGGTTGCCCTCGTTGTTGAACCAGCTCCAGGCGAAAATCATCTGCCCAGAGGGCGTGTCGTTGGGCAGCGTGAACTGGTAGCTCGAGTCGCCATTGACGGGGCAGTTGCCAATGTAGGAGTGCACGACCTTGTAGGTACGGCCGTTGTCAAAGGAAACCGAGGCCTGGCAGCTGCCACCCTTGTGCGGTGTGTTGCCGGTAATCACAAAGGAGTAGGTGCCGCCGGGAGCCCAGGTGGCGACGGGCGCGCCCTTTTTGGTACCAATGAGGCCGAGATCGCCTTTGCATGGAAAGTCGCTGCCGTCTGAGTTGAGAGGCGAGCGAATGTCATAGTCAATGTCGTAGCCCGTGTTGGGGTTGAAGCTGGAGCGGAAGGGGGGAGGACTCTTCATCTCCATGTGGGCAGCGGCCAAGGAAGCCAGACCAAGACTGGCAAAGAGAGAGCTAAAGACTTTCATTTTCAAGTTGCAAAAAAAAAAAAAAGATTCTTGTCTCGAGATTTTGTGTTGGGGGCTTTGGATTGGGAAAGTTAAGTTGGAGACGATGGCGTTTAGTCTCTAGGGGCAACATTAATGTTTATATAATAGCCGAAAAGAATTTTGTCAACGGTTCTCTATCGATAATTTCATGTTCATACCATGGCCAAAATGTAAAGCCATGGTAATGTAACATGAAAGGACCAATGCTCACACAGTGCTGCAGCAGTGAGCACCATGAGTATGAAACCATCGCCTATCAAACCAAGACTAAAAGCCACCTTCCCATTTCGGACAAACTGGTGCACAACTTTCTGTAAAGACATTGAATTTGGGTGTCATTTGCCATAATCATGTAGGTGCGAGTTGCTAGGGCTTCGTTGTTACTCGCTAATTAGTTTAGCACGCGTCCATTTCCAATCTATTCCCCGTTACAACTCTGCCACTGCTCAGTCATGCACCACCTAGTGAGGGGAGACAGGGTCACGCAGCCTGTCATTTCAAAATCTGTCACAGTTGCCACATGAAGCCACGCCACTAACATAGTCTACTTTCCTAATGGGGGCCGGCGCTGGTTGGGTGGTGGCATGTCATTGGAAGCCATCGAGACATGGGCTGGCATGTACCCCACGCCACCAGAGCGTGGAGGACAGGGATTTATATTAAAGTTGCGGTAACGTAGCGTATACTACATGTATATATCTGAAGTGAAAAAGAAAAAGAAAAAAAAAAGAAAAAAAAATTCCTAAACCATGAATTTGATCAAGTGGTCTTTCATCACATTCTTCCAATTAGTTTCTGGCTGCGTGTGAAGCAATGCTGGCCGGGCACTATGCGCCGCGACTGAGTATCAATCACGGAAACCCGTGCAGTGTTGCCCGCGTAGATACAACATTATGAAATGCTACCTTGCTCATGCTCAGTTGCTGTACTGTCAAATACTTCATGCTTGGTCTGATGTCGGCGCTTCGCCACAGGAAGGGATGTCTGCAAACCACGTGGCGTGGCGGATGTTGTAGAGCAAGGCTCGTGACAAATGGACTTGAAAAAGGTGTCTGTACTTTACGGAAATGAGTCAAACAGGTTTCTGCCTCAACGCCACTGATTGGCGATCCAGCGCTGCAAAATACGGTAGCTAGCCTCGAGCAGGTAGCCTGGTATCCCATGGCCGGCGCTATTCACCCCGACGAAAATCCAGGCGTCCGTCCTCGTTGCCGTTCGAAAAGCTGGTTGCGTTGGCTTGTTACGGCATGTCGCGCCATTCTCTGACTCGGTATTCTGCGTATGTGTCCAGAGAAGATTGTCTTCTGGTCAATTTTGACCAGGTGTATTCTCACGTAGTCTTCGTTGCAGTTGAGAACGAGTAGACTTGGGCCGTCGAGCTCAGAGCTCCCGTGAGCATCTAGTAGGGATTTTAACACATGTGCACCAGTCTTTGGCATCTCGATTCCGTAGTCTTCGCCGGCAACTCGGTTCATGAGTTGAATGATCGACTCCTCACTCAAATATCGCGTTACAAAGTCTAAACCGGCGATCACGCGCTGCCGTGATGCTCGATGCGTGTAAAGTTTCCAGCCTTTCATGAGCTCTGGCAAATGGCAATGGAGAGTGGTGCTTTTCCGAACGAGTCTAGCGGTCGTTGTGAGGCTTCTCGGGCGGCCAGGAGAGACTGCATCTATTGGGGCGAGGGCACAATAGAACGGCCTGCGGCCCAGCCCAGCAGTACGGTCGCAAATGTGAGACGGGCTGTCACTAGGGTTGAGACGAGCCTTCATGTCTTGGAATGCTGAAATATTAAGCGAAACGTATCATTAGGCCGTGAATGTCAATTATTTAAGCTTCGTGAAGGGAATTTGGGCCACAGCTACCGCCACGGCCAGAGCCTGATTTGAAGATCTCACTTGACAGTTGTAGCTCCGGGATACAGCCGCATAATGAAGATCAGTTCCAGCTAAATGAACCGACTTCCATCAACGGAGAGATGAAACAGTCTGGTCTGTTGATCAATTTCCTCATCACGGCGCGCAATATTCCACCTCCAAATCCTTGCAAGCGTGCGGCAAGTGTCAAGTGTCAAGTCTTGAAGAACTAGGTATCTGCCACTGTGATTGAAGTAACATGGTCACCATCGGCGGTTTGCATTTAGTGGGCAAAGTAAGGATTCATGCCATGTATTTTTTACCAATTTGAAATGTCAAAAATCGCACTTCCGTCGGGCCTAACCCCAAGGACCCCTAAATCGCTTCGACGTGTCGGCTCTAAACGTCCCCATCAGTGTCACATTTCCAGCTTTGGAAAGCTTTAGCTCTGAATGCTTGGCTTCCCGTCTCGCCCCGTCAACCGCCCTGGCGCCAGTCGTTATCAACGAGCGAACTTGGTAGTCTCTTAGGTGCGCCAGATTTCGCTGATCTCCCTGGCCTAACCGTGAAAGTTGGGTATCCGACGACAGTTGCGCGTCGCTATTACTATGAGCTGGGGAATGAGATCTGGGTGCCGACTTGGAGCTCGACAGTGCTGTCAGCGCCATGCGCCGCCGTCTTGTCGAGGGGCGAGGCGTCCGCGAGAGTAAAGGTCCACAGGCCTTTGTAGGATTTCTGACAAATCTGCCAGACGGTAAAAGCAAAGTCTCGGCGTCGGCTGTGTAATTTTGACAAGGGATATTGTAGAACTCTTCCATGTCGGCGGCAATGTCGAAGCGGCAGTGCCCTTTCGCCGCCATGTGGTGCTGAATGCCTTCCACTGTCCGCCGTCGGCATCCACATTGGATGCATTCACGGTATCCATGAATGACTAAATGCATATATGCGACAACCGTCTCGACGTCGACGGTGAGGTATTTTTGGTTTGGTATTGTGAAGCTGTGCGTCTTTGTCATGTGCTGTAAGCTGTCGCATAAACTGGTGCTTCTTGTGCTGCAAAAGAGACACTGATGAGGGTCGAAATGCACTGCGGCGGAGGTACTGCGACCGAAGTCCCCAGATTCGTAGTCAGAGGCATCGCCTACATCGTCGTCCGACTCGCTCCGGTGGCTCGAGGCTGCGCTTATCTGTCGGCGCGGAGATGATGAGGGAGGCGTAATGATGGTGCCAGGCTCTGCCACCTTGACCCGCAGATTGTACACGCTAACATGGCTGTGAGTTAACATCTCGCTCGCATCCTCATTCGCCGAGAGGGTGCGAAACATACTGCCAATCGCTCTTTGCATGCTGCCGCCAGATGCTTGGGCTAGCTAGGGATATGTCACAAACCCTACATATTGAGGGAGCTTTGCTTTCCATGGTCGCGGTTCGCTGGTCGCCGGTTGCTCCGCTTCCGATTATTTTGATGGTGTTGAAGGTGGTAGCTTCTGTAAGTCTCTGGGCTAGGCGACGGGAGAAGGCCTAACCAATTAAGCGATGAAAGTCAAAATGTGTTGGTAATACTCTGTACACTCGAGGAAGCCACTCCTGAATCTATATATACCTTATTCTGGCACTCTAATTGCGATTTGATTGGATGTGAAAGATAGAAAGTCTAAAATTTAGTCTCATGTCTTTGGTTGACTCATATTGCCTAATTGGGATGCCTCCACAATGAATCATTCTGCGATCTACCTTGTCTCAGCTCAACTAGCGACGCTAAAACATAGTAATTAGTAGGCTATCGGGGCGGCGGGTGGCTGGAAAACACCGAAGAGTACCTTTGCAAAACCTAGGACAGGCGTACAGGCGTACAGGCGCACTGGGCAGCGGAATGCGCTGCGTTGTAGTGCAAAAAGCAAACCGAGAGACTCGTGACACTTTCATGCCATGATGGCCGTGAAAGCTAAGGCTGAAAAAAATTGGGGAAACCTGGCCATGTCAAGTCAGGATTACCGGCAAAAGGGGCCAGGCACAATGGAACTCGACTGCGTAGCTAAGATCTTTTATCCAGCGATAGAGGAAGGAGCAAAACAGAACAAGTGTTGGCGACAACACCCTCTACTGAGCCCCCTCGAACTGGTCTCTGTTCTGGGCAATTATAGTAGCCCACCAGCGTGGCTATAGGTTCACCTCTTCCCTAGCATTCTTAGAGGCCGCCATCTCACGTTGCAAATTGCTGCAGATTTGACGGGTGATTCTCTCATCCGTTAAAATCTTTTTAGGGGCATACGTCGTACATGAGATGCTCGGCGCCGCGCATACATTGCGTTTGCGCATTTCCTCCTTTTGCAGGCCGCGTTTCACTAATCCACAAACATCCGACAAAGGATGTACAATCCAAAGACTAGCATTCATATGTTGCATTTTAGAACCCTTTGTTGATTTATATATAAACTCATCTTTGATGGAAAATTACTTTGACTCACTTTCGGGCTACTGATATTAGCAGGCGAGGGAGAGCCACATGGCTCGCACCACCGTTACAGATCCGGAACTCGCCCCCGACGCAATGGGCATTTCGATATCGAACCTTTTCAGTAAACCTGTAGACTGTGCACCATGAGAGGTATCGATCAAGTCATTTTGCCAATTCTGCTGAAAGACTTTAAGAGAAATATGAAGCATTACTTTGATCGTCGAGGTTGGCTAGAGTTGCTGGCTTAGGCTAATGGCCATCTTTAGTCCACTCGAGACTCAAGGCGTGCTACAACTAAGGAGGGTAGCGGCACTTATTGTGATAGACAGGCAGCTTAGTTCAGTCCAGGCAGGCAGTCAGAGGCGCGACAGGCCCTCGGTGAACACAAGGAATTATGCGATCAACGTCGTCAACAAAAGTTTGAGAGGTGCATTTAGAAACATGATGTGGTCAAAGGAAAAGCGGACTCGACAATGTAATAGAATGCATGGTAGATAATCAATGATGAAGAAAGAAATGAATGGTTTTGCTCGTGCCCAATAAGGTCTAGAAGCCCTCATGTATGGAGCATCGTCTCTGCGCAGAGACAATCATGGCAGTTCGCGGGATGCATATGAGCTCTCTAAACAGTGCAATGTCATCAAAATATACCATATTTGTCAAAATCATATGTACTATAACTCGACAGTAGTCAACTTTTGACTCTGGTTCATCTTCACGAGATACACGAGGAGCACTCGCTCCGCTACAAAGACCACCTTCATAGAGACGTACGTACGTGTGACCATGAACCACGTCTTTGTTGAACATAAAGCTGAGACATCCGTGACTGCAAAGAGCTTCAGTGATCCACTCATTGTAAGCGCATCACGCAGTGTGTCATGAGTCTTACCACACTATATAAAGACAGCCCAATCGCCACCAGAGACTGGAAACAGCAACCCGTCGAGTCTATTTAGCCCTTGTTCAGTCTGGATTTCCCCCCCATGCAGAAGGCAGCATGGATATCGAGCTTGATATGGATCGCGTCTTGGAGCTCTATCCAGAGATTTACATGGACTGGGCCAGAGACCAAATTGCGATTTGCAATACCATGATCCCGCTATATGCTGCCGAGGACGCCTTCGACCGCGTGCTGCGCGAGGCCGACCATGCGATTCGTGTCATAGCAAACTGCAACGGTTTGTTTGATGACCTTGCGCCAGAATTCCATGGCTACCGTGTAGTTTGCCTGACAAACTTGGGTAGACAGGATGAGGCACTAGTCGCAGCCGACAAGTACAAGGGACTCATTGAAGAGAGGAGACAGAGGCGGGCGACCCGGCAGTAACAGTCCGGCCTGTGGTATTTGCTAGGTGAGAGATTCTAGGTAAGAATCAAATAAAGTCCCGAGGGTTTTTTTTTTCTTTTTTTTCTTTTTTTTTTTTTCAAATCTGTTTCTCGCCTTTTTTAGAGCACCGTCGTGCTAACTCAATTATCCAGGTTGATAAGTTGCGATACCTGAACCCACTGATCGAAAACAGCAAGGGAACACCATCGCGAAAAGAGTGCGCATTTCTTTATGTTGGCTTTCCTTTTGAAGTACTCATGAGGGATCCTGCAAATATTGTCGAGCATTTTCTCGGTTCTTTTTCCAGCAAGAGCAGGCGCTAGACGACCCCCCACTGCCATTTAGCATGTTCTGCTGAACCGTTGAACCATGGATCGTCGGTAGTAAAGAAACATGACAATCCAGGCAGTTCGACTTGACCTACTTTGCCATATTGGACAAGAATGTGTGCATCTTGCCACTTGCGTTGAGAAACGATGTAGAAGTGCCGATACTGTAGGGTACTTGGATCGCTCTTCTGCACCTTATCAATTCCACACTCGACGTAGTATGCACTGAGTCGGTTTCTCCGATTGAGTTCTCCGAGTCTATCGCATTCGTCTATATGAGACGAGCGGTCAGGCTGGACTGCGGCTGCATCTCCAGCAGTCCGTAAAAAAGCAGTTTTCGTATTGGGCTGCAAAGTGATGCGCGCTAAAAAAGAAGGGCGGGCAAGCATACGGGACAGGATACGTGGATATTTCCGCCATGTAGCACATGTGTTATCAAGGGCTCACTCGACTTGATTTGGTCCTTGTTACGGCACAGAAGAGCAGTCTGTGTTTCAGTACCAATCGTGTGTAGGTGTGGCGTATACGAGCCGCGCTTGTTTATTAGCTGGAATTGCCATGCAAATAGCAGGAGAAAAAATCTCGGAAACAATGTTTAGTAATATTTCATATCTCTATAACCGAATTTTTGCTTCTTCTTTTCGGCATAATCAATATCCCGTCTTACGGCGTAGGCGACATCTCGTCAGCCGGAGTTAAGCCTGTGCCAGGAACAATGCGCATAAATCCGCTCGGGCGGAGCCCCCCTTACTCCGAGACGGAGATAGCCCTCTGTCAACTTGGCGCTCGCACGACACGCTATCGGGCCCTGCATCACCACAAAAACTCGTGTCCGCCGAGATTGGCTATACATCGAGACATGCAGCAGCCTCTGAGCGAGGTCCGTCGACGGCGGCGACGGGTCTTGTCGTGCATGGCCTGCCGCCGCCGCAAAATCAAGTGCAACCGAGAACACCCGTGCCAGCATTGCAAAGAGACGCAGCAGGCCTGCAACTACCAGGCGCCCCCATCGCCCCAGCTGTGGCAAGCGTCAAAACCAGCTGAAGAGCCGCGTTCAAATAACTGGCGCTCTGTCATTTTCTCGTCCGGGAGTAATACGCCAGATTCCTTTGGCGACGGCCCTGTCCATCACGAGACAACGCCGGTACCCCCTACATTACTACAAAGCCCACCAGCATCACAGCCCGGTCCGGCTGCGACAAACAGCTCGGAAAAGGCACCAGAGACTCGGAAACCCAGCTTCATCTCGCAGCTTCCGCAGCGGGATGATCGCATATTTGCCCGGAAATCTGCTGCTCATGATTCGCAGATTGTCTTGGACAAGACTCGTATACTGCGATGGAGTCACTGGATGGGAGCCGGTCAAGAGGTATGCCGCATTCCCATGCACTATCCCGCCGAGCAATGCCGAAAGCTGACACTACCATGTACAGTTTGGGCCAATCTTCACCTGCTACATGGAAACTCTGGGCCCCCGGCAAGACTCTGATCTACCTTTGGATGCCAAGGCCGTGCTTGTCGACGCGGCTGAGATGCTGCAAAAGTGCAAGCGGCTTGCGCGCTCTTCCAAGATTTGGCGCCCGAGTCGACTGTTTGGCATGCAAGGGTATGACTTGATACCTCCTAGCCGTGAAGTTGCTGATGTTATGGCGACGGAGTACTTTGCGTATTTCGAGACCACCATCAGGATCTTGCACATCCCTTCTTTTTGGAAAATATACGATCAGTACTGGAAGAATCAAGAAAGTGCCACTATGGAGACACGCCTGCTGATATTAATGGTCGTTGCCATCGGATCTAGCCTGCAGGATCGCAGCCAAGCTTCCACGACTGTCCCAAGTATTGCCCAGATTCATCAATGGATATATGCCGCACAGACGTGGCTGGCGGGACCTCTGGAAAAAGACCGCCTGGAGATGGGGGGTCTGCAATTATACTGCCTGCTTGTTGTCGCGAGACAAATTTACTCAGTAGGTGGTGACCTAGTGTGGATGTCGCTTGGGTCGCTTCTGCATCGTGCCATGCAGCTTGGCCTGCACTATGACCCAAAACATTTTCAAAGCATGTCAATCTTTACAGGCGAGCTGCGGCGTAGACTGTGGTACACTATTCTGGAGCTTCTCATACAGGGGTCATTGGACACCGCGATGCCTCCAAGGATCTCGCCAGACGAATTTGACACTGAGCCCCCATCCAACATTGACGACTGCGACTTTGACCAAGACATTCAAGTCCTGCATCCGAAACCCGAGTCTGTATATACGGACACAACTTTACAACGCCATCTCGCTCATGCTTTACCCGTACGCATCAAAATCGTGCGGTATCTAAATGCCATCAAAACAGACCTCTCCTATCCGGAAGCAATGAACCTGAGCACAACCCTCAGCACCGCGCAAAGAAAAGCAACACTGGCACTGCAAGCTTTTCCGGACAAGACAAGCCCCTTTCAGCGCAACATGGTCGATTTTCTCCTCCGCCGCTTCGTCGTGCCGCTGCACAGCCCCTTTGCCTGCGAGGCTCGGACGACGCCCGCGTTCCACTACTCCCTCAAGGCCTGCACCGAGGCCAGCCTCGCGCTCATCAATCCAGAGCCCGACGTGCGCTTCTCCCGTCTACTCGACTTTTCCGGTGGTCTGTTTCGTGAAGGGCTGCGGTCCGCCAACACCGCCATCAGCCTGGACCTCATCATCCAGACCAAGACGCAGCAGGCGGACGGCACGCTCCATCGCACGCGGACTGTACGCGATGCGCTGAAAAGGTCCGTGGTTGATATGCTCGAGATATGTGAGAGGCGCATCGGCAACGGCGAGACCAATGTGAAGAGCTACGTTTTTCTGGCGATGGTCCTGGCAATGACAGAGGCCATGGAAAATGGAGATCCATGCGAAATGAAGATTGCACAAAGTGCAAGAGATGCGCTGACACATTGTTATGGTATTCTGGAGAATAGTCTCGGTTCGTTTGTGACTAATACGCCGACGGAAGCTGGATTTCCGTCTGGCGGGTTTGAGGCGGGGTTTCTGGGTATGGATATTGGCATGGATTGCTTCTTTTCGGACACTGGGTTCTCATAAAACATCATCCTGCGGACAATATTCGTGCTTGGACGGGCTACTGTTTTTTTTCATCACATTTCATAACCATCATCGCGCATAAAGCATCTCAGACGCTATTCTTATCTCCGCCTCCATCGTGCTTGAGTGTCTCCGCCTCTCGGCCGAGAGCGGTCCAGGTACGTGCGACGGACATAACAAACTCCAGAAAACCAGTATAAAATCGACGGGTTTCTCTGTTAAATTGAGTTCAGATAATGACAGCACTCTCTTCTTTTGATCTTCTCTTGCTGTGCTCGCCACTTTGGCTTTTGTTCTACACACCACAACACCCATAGCCATGAAAGTCCTCATCAGCGGCGCAGGCATATCCGGCACTGCCCTAGCCTTTTGGCTCTCCAAGCTTGACTTTGACGTCACTGTCGTAGAGCGCTTCCCCTCTCTCCGAACCAATGGCCTTCAACTTGACCTCCGCGGCCACGGTATCGAGGTCTTGCGCCTGATGGGTCTCGACGCCGCCTTTAAGGAAAAGGCCGCTCCTGAGCAAGGCCTGCAGTTTGTCGACAGTGCGGGCAGACGTCTCGCCTACCTGGCTGCAAATACCTCTGGAACAGGCAAGCAGAATTTTACTAGCGAGTACGAAATCATGCGCGGCGACCTGTGCCAACTCTTTCACGATGCGTCATTGAAACGTGGCAAAGTCAAGTACATGTTTGACATGACTATCAAAGAGTTGCAGGAGAACCAAGACGATGTGATTGTCACGTTCTCCGATGGCCAGGTTGAAACGTTTAATCTCATCGTTGGCGGTGATGGGCAGTGGTCACGCACACGACGCATGATGCTCGGTAGCACCGCCTCGCCTGACCCGGCCTTGCACCTGCTCCCCGGCATGTACGCCGGCTACTTTACCACGCCTATCCCCATGCGCGACAACGAGGGCTTCGACTCGACCGTCTACCTAGCCTCTCGCCGGCGCAGCGTCATGACACGCCGCAGCGACCCGCGCTTCCTGCAGGTGTACATGGCGTGCAGCTCCGACGCCTCCTCTGGTATCCAGACGGCGCGCCGCGGCGACACACAGCAAGAAAAGGCGGCCTTTTACGAGAGCTACCGCGGCGCCGGATGGCGCGTGCCGGAGCTCGTTGACGGCCTCGAGGCGTCTGATGACTTTTACTGCGAGCGCATCGGGCTCGTCAAGCTAGACGCGTGGCACAAGGGTCGCGTCGTGCTCGTCGGCGACGCGGCGTACTGCCCCTCGGTGCTGACGGGCATGGGGACGACGTGCGGCATTGTCGGGGCGTACGTGCTCGCGGGGGAGCTGAGCCGGCTAGGCGGCGGCGGCGGCGGCGACGACGAAGCTCCGACGCATTCTACACTGCAGGATGCGCTGGCGGCGTACGACGCGCGGTTTCGGGCTTTTATGGATCAGGTCCAAGACGGCGTTGGCGAGGAGTCCATGTTCACCAAGTTATTGATGCCTTCATCGGCGTTTGGGATTTCCGTGTTGAACTTTTGCCTGAGAGCAATGACGTTTCTCGGCATTCGTCTGTCGTCCAGCTCGTTGATGAAGGAGTCTGTAAAGAACTGGGACCTACCACAGTACAAATCACTTATTGAGAAGGTTTGAGTACTTGTTTGACAAAGTGTCCGTCGTTGAGTCCTGGATTGTAAAGACATGCAAATTCCCCTCATCCGAGAAAGAAGAAAAAGGGTACTGTATTCTAGCTATGTACAACTAGTCACTCTCCTCATAAACCTTATACGAGATGGGAAAAGTCACACATGATGCATGCGACTGCAGACATTATCTACATCGGTATGTCCACCTCGCCAGTATAATTGAATGATCGGGGGTTTTGGTATGAACCGGACTCTTATGCCTATTATACTCTAACTACTGGGGTCTCATTGACCTGGGCTTCTCATACCATGCATTATAATTATTCTTGCAAAATGCTGCTCGTTTCTGGGGAAGTCGGGGCATTGTCTGCACGCCTATCCCCATGTGCGAGAATGGGGGCTTCGACTCGACCGTCTACCTAGCCTCCACTCGCAAAACAAACACAGCCGTATATGGCAGCGGCGACATGACCGCTATATATATTGTGATTATTTCAAATCTGCAGACCAAATTGCCGCCTCTCGCGACGACGACATGACCTAGTTGCCGCTGCGCATCCTAGCTAGAATCATGGTTTGCATTATAGATACTAATTGTTTTAGATGTGTAAAAGACAATGACGACATGACCTAGTTGCCGCTGCGCATCTTGGTTAGAATCATAACCTGCTGTATAGATACTAATTGATTTGAATTTGTCAAGAACAATGGCGACATGGCCGAGCATCCTAGCTACAAGCCTTGCTTGACACGCGCGTGACAAAAAGATTAGCCTATAATGAGAGTACTGAAGGTTAGCTGCCTGTATTTAAATAATTCTAAATAAACCCTAGAAAATGCCTATCTAGATAAAATGAAGACTAAATTAAATCTTAGTGCTTAAATTATCTCTTATACCTTTCATTATCTAATTTTTATTTTTTAATATTTTCTATTACTTTCTATTCTATGCACCTCTCGTGAAGTATAATGCGGACGCCTGCGATACTGGGCTAGTTTTTTTGTCACCCCTTGCGTACTTTATAGACACTAATTGTTTTAAGATTGTTAAGGACAATGGCGACATGGCCGAGCATCCTAGCTACAATTAATCCTTGCTTGCCACGCTGGTGACAAAAAAAAAGGACTATAATGAGAGTACTGAAGGTTAGCTGCCTGTATTTGAATAATTCGTAATAAACCCTAGAAAAAGCCTATCTAGTGAAAACGAGGACGAAATTAAATTTTAGTGCCTAAATTATCTCTTATACGTTTTATTCAAAACCCCTTTCCTTTTTAAAAACTCATTCTATTATTTTCTATTCTATGCACCTTTCGTTTAAGTAAGATGCGGACGCCTGCGAGAATGGGCCAGCTTTTTTGTCACCCCCCTTGCGTGCTTTATAGACACTAATTGTTTTGAGATTGTTAAGGACAATGGCGACATGGCCGAGTGGTTATGGCGGTCGGTTCAAGATTTTGCATCTTGCCCATTTGATGGGTTTTATTCGACTGACGAGAGTCTCGAGGGTTCGAGTCCCTCTGTCGTCAAAGATATGGCCTTGCGGGTCAAGCTTTTTTTTTTTCTTTTTTCTCCGTCTGGGAGTGGTTCGTCAAGCAGGGTGGGTCGGGCGGACTTGGCCGTAATGAAGGTGAAAATCGCCAGGCGTTCCTTTTTATTATCTTTATCACTTTTTAGTCTACGATTCTAATATAACGTCAATACCTTCCCTACTGCGGCTGCCCCCCCCTTCTGGTGTCAAGTGACCATACTAAGCCTCCGTCTATCTCTTAATGCAGCCATAGATTCCGTGCTGGTTTAAATGCAACTGCCAAGCCAGTCTGGGACTCTGTTTGGTGGTGCCTTGGTGAGTCTGCGTTAATCTTGCGGGTTTCACAAGCTTCTTTTCCCTCGTATGATTGACACTGGGTGGGAGAAAAGAAAGAAAGAAAAGAAAGCGTGTTATAAGTGCTGTATCTTGCGGCTCAGTATACAAGCTTATAAAGTTAAATGGGCAACAAAGTGCATTTTCATTTTTCTTTTGCTAGCCTCGTCCACATGCCAACTCACGAGCAACCTGTTAAAAAGTATATCAAGTAAGTCTTTCCGCAAGACAATCGAAAGCAGGTCAACGAAACGCACTTGGCACGCACATTCCAAATTTAAATTTACACCGTCTCGAAAAGTTCGAAACCGTGTCCAGTATCCGCCAATTTCGCCGCCAGGCCTTCTATTGCGGCCTCGCGCTCTTCCGCGATAGCTCCCCGGGGGCCACCCTCCAAGCCAACCACCGTTGCGCTCTCACCGTGTATGGAAAGTTGTAATTACAAAAATAAGATTCTTGACTCCTTTTGATCGACATTTGGCATTCACTCTCGCCCTTTTCGACTTCCAGCTCGGCCTAGATCATCTTCCTGCTAGTGTTACGCAGTGCCATTTGTTGAGGTGAAGCTAGACAGGTGGTGACGGCTGCGGGCTTGCCAGGCGCAGCCATTGCTCTTGTGACCTGATAATCACTCCGCGTCGACAAAAGGATGGACATAAATTCAGGCTGCATAAGATGAGATAGACACACGTGACTCAATCGACTAACTGGGCTCCTTCCGTCAAGCATTGGGTACGTTTCAACCAACACATACAATTCCTCTATGAGCATTCGCCATCTTATTGCCCCTCCCCCCAGAAAACTGCCCTGAGACTAATCCGTACATGCAGGACATTTGACGTTACACGCCATGATACCAAATATATCCGCTCTTTCCCAGTTCCAAATTGAAAACTTCTTCCTTGCAAACCCTTCTGTAACTCAGGAGGCATGCAACGAAGAAGCTAAACGAAGAGCTGGCTGTGCCGTGACCCCAACTCTTAGCCAGAGCGGAGTCAGCTACACCGTCCGGGGCGGGCCGCTAATTGTGCAGTTTCGCGCCCCAAACTCCAATCTGGACATAAAGCTTCTAAAAAGCATCGAGCAGGCATACATTGGCTTTGTGCCTCGCCATGAGTATCGAGGTAGGCTTGGTGATGTGCTAGTCTACGTAATGAGTGATATTGGTGGCGTCTGCATGTACCTTGCTCGAGCTGAGTTGCAAAACAACAACTACAAACTAGTTACTTCGTGTCAGGCTTGATGACTATGCAAAGTATGCCTCTTGCGTTTAAAAGATGCATAAAGCGCGAATCTGACTTTCTCCAGATTCTTTGCCTCTGTGTACCAAAACATACCAATTGACATGAAAATTCCATGTCCCACACACATGCTGAACAAGTACACCTCGCAGCTCCTGCGTCTCCGCCTGGCAATGCCATCCCATTTCCACGCCCATCTCGACAAACCCATCCCCGAGCTCCCCTCTCTCTTCAACACCAGATGGCCTCTTGTGCCCAACCACATTGACCTGTTCGAGAACAATATCCACGTCGATTCCGGCACGGGCCGGCTCACGGGCATTTGTGACTGGCATGGCGCCGAGGTGAGCCCCTTTGGCACGGCGCTGGGATGGGTCGAGGTTGCGCTCGGCACACTCACCTCCAACGGTGACCTTTGGCGCTACCACTCGGCGCATGAGGAGCTGAGAGCGCATTTCTGGACACTCTTCTACGGCTACTGCGGGGGGCTGCAGGCGGCGGACAGGCGGTGTCTGGAGACTGCGAGGCTCGTGGGTCTCTTTCTGACACATGGATTGCAGGGAAATGAGCCAGCAGCCGCCGGGAGCGAGGAGCTGGGATTCCTATGGGCCGTTCTCCGGCATGGCGACCCATTGTCAGCGCATGCGACAGCACTGCGAGCCTTGAGCTGTAACGACGGTTGAGCTGATGCTTACGTCGTCCACCTCCTTTGCTCATTCTGCTTGAATCATGAAAATGGTATCTGAACTGAATAAACGCCCATCGCTATGCTCTGCGTAAATGACTCGTTATATACAGGCACCCGGCCGCGGACCGCCTAAGTAATGACGTTGATCGGCTCGTGGTAGCATTCCTCCCACTGCGTGCGGCCAAAGTACCAAAAGTCGCGCAGCTTAATAGAAATGTTCGCCGCACCGCTGTCCGCGCCGGGCTTCAGGCGCAGTACCTGCAAATGCTGGAGCAGTCTGTCCTTTTCGTCCTGCGGCGCATCGTGCTTGGCGACGCCGAGCACGGCAATCGGCCAGCTGACACCCTGCGGCATTGGCAGCTCCGCCATCGCCCTGTCGACGAGCGTCATCAGGAGGGCGCCGTAGAAGATGCGGCCCCTTTCCACCGCAAATGTCATGTCTGGGGCGGGGCTCGTGCCGGGGATCGCGGCAAACTCGATAGCCAGTACCGTGGGCAGCGACAAAATCCCATACAAGATAGAGGCGGTCTTGTACAAGTCGCCAGCCAACGGTGAGCAGGGTTCTTCGGGCTTCGCGTATGGTTCTGTCCATCTGTCCGGATCAAACGATTGCAGAAGCCAAGAGACTTCGCGCGCAATAGGCACAAAGGCGGAGGTGACGGTTGGTTCCGCCAAGCACATGGTGCGTAGTCGTGTGATTCGAACAATGTCTTGAAGAACAGAGGTTGGGCAAGGAGCGGGGTGAAAGCCGGTGTGTGAGTAGGCGGCGGATATGTCGTCGGGTGACCAGTTGGCGAGGCCATTGATCTGATTGCTGGCGGGGCTTGCTGTATTGGCCAAAGTAGAGTATCTGAAGTTGGAGTTAGCGCAGAGATACAACACGGGTGTGCTATGGGGTATCTCGTAAAAGTTACATCAAGACGTAGTGTAGGGCCATTGGCGGTATCCTCTGATCACGTTCCAGAGCAGCCCTGACGCTGAGAACTTTTTGAACGCCACCATGAAGCTTGACCAGAGCTGCAAAGCCCTCCACGTGGGATCGCCAAGCAGGATCCATGATCGAGAGCTATAGAATAAAATTAGTACCAGTGTGAACAAGCCAAGTCGTCCAAGGTTGACAAGGCCCTTACATCAATACTGAGCAGGTCGACCAGCCGACGAAGAAGTGTCTCAATCGCGGCACCGCCTGCTATTCGCGAGTTCAGATCCTTAATCACAATATCAATGTGTCGGTAGAGCAAGGACCAGAGGTGGTTGATGCCCGGAAGGTGACCTTGTCGAGGTAAGACGCCGGCCTGGGCAGAGGCGTTGACGATGCGGTCCGTCACCACCAGAGCAACAAAGCTCTCACGGGAGGTGATTTTCTCAATGTGAATATCCGGTTTGAAACTCGTCACAAAAGTACTGTCACCCGGATTGTGAAAGGCTTCCTCCTTCAACATGACAGCCCCAACTAAACGATCCACCCAACGGCATGTTGTTAGCAAATAACCTCCTCTCCGAGCGGAGCACGAAACGGCGGTTAAACGAACAATATTTGATTGCATCCATAATGTCCCAGTCGGGATGATTGGTCCTGGGTGCCAGGACGACCGATTTGGAGGACGACGCCGCGGAATTGGGCGAAGAAGCTGCGGGGGCGGTATACCCGCTGCACTGGCGCCCGGTGAGGACGCATCGCTGGCAGTAAGGCTTTCCCTCGTCGCATTTGATGCGTCGGATCCTACGTGCCGAATAAACGAATAGAAAACAGAGTTAGCACATTGTCCCGGGAGGTTGAGGCGCGGGGACGCGCACACATTGCCACGGGAGGAGAGGGGGGGGGGAGGCTTTGACATGCATACAGCGCAAAAGCGGTCTTGTCGTCGTGTTCTCTACCCCTTACGAGATAGAAGAATGCGACCGCAACACGACGGCAACCAGCTCTTGGCTGCCGCTGCGCCCGCCCTCTTCCCATGGCTAGCTAGCGCAGGCTGGGGGGTTAAACGAACCGGCAAGTAGCGCAGCCAGTTTTGCTCTTTGTGGCCCACCGTTTCTGCCGGGGCGCGCTCGACTTGAGCGGCGCCTCGTGGTCCTTTGCTCGCGCTATGGATTCGTCCTTTAGGTTGCGGACGACTGTCTTGAGATCCATGGGCCAGGTTGAAACTGGTTGATGTGGAAGAAGGAAAAAGCAAGGCGGGGCAGGCGGCAGTGGCGGGCGACGGTCGGCGGGTGAGAGTTGATGACGGGACGCGCAAAGGAAAAGGGTCCTTCTGGCTGAGGACCAGCAAAGTTGGAGGCAGAAAGCGGACAAAGCCTAGTTCGCCTCTCGTTTCTGCGCGACGTGGGGCTGCATTATCCTTTTGCTAATCGGCCATGTTGCCTTTATACCATCTAGGCAACGTCCGAACTGAGTGGTATGTGAGCGGAGAATGCCTTTTCTGTTGAATCACTGGGGCGGGCCGCTGACGGGGTGGCAAATTATGGCAATAATTCTTTGTATCTATTGTAAGCGGCTATGTACAATCAATATATAGTTCGGCTACTATCCGTAATGTCAGCCTTATAATGAACATTCGTACTTATGAGTAGTTGCTGCCCTCCTCCGCTAATCATCTAGCTATCTTGACTCGCCAGACCTGGGTCGCACCTAGTTCTGTACAACAAACTGATCTTTGTGCTCCTTGAACAGCGTCGAACTATCGAGCAGCTCTCCAGTCGCCGAGCGGTAAAAATCAATCGTGAGGTTTTGCGCATCCTGGAAGCGAATGGTCGCATAACTAAAGTCGTCGGCATACGCAAACGCCGTGTAGCTGGGCTTGCTGCCGACCGGACTGAGTCCCTCGATATTGCCCGCGCCGCCCGACACAATGTACATGGGCGCTTTGGGGTTCTTGTTACCAGCCGGATCCTGCGTATTTTTGTAGACGGGATTAAAGCGCTGCGAGTTGTGCACGTGGCCAAAGACGCCCAGATCGACGCCATATTTGTAAAACAGCGGCTCAAACGCCGCCTGGCAAGGCCCGCACTCGTCACCACCCGTTGTGTACCACGGACGGTGGCCGGCGACAACGACCCACGGGGTGACGGTACGGTCAACTGACGCCAGATCAGCCTCGAGAAATTGCAGCTGCTGCTGAGGTCCGCCGAATGGGCCGCTGTTGAGGCCAGCAGAGCCGTCGGGACCATCCGGCGCCGAAGGAAAATCAGTCTCCGTGTTGATCATGACAATGTGCGCCATGCCGTACTCAAAGGAGAACCAAAACGGCGGCTTGGCCAGCTGCTGGGCCTTGTTCGCGCTGACCTTGGCCTTGTCAGTCTTGGAGGTCGAGGCAAACGCGCTGGGCATATTGCCGTCGAATCGTGTCATGAAGTCGGTAAAGTTCTTCTGACCACTCGGGCAGAGCCAGGTGGTATGGGGGACTTCTTCGCACGAGGCTTCGTGGTTGCCAGGGCTAACAATGTACGGCTTGCGCGAGGAGACGGGGGCGAGCTGCCCATAAAACTCTTCGAGAATAGCCTGGAACGCATTCTTGCCATCGAGGAGGTTTTTGGGGCGCAGAACCCAATCATCAGCATAGGCGAGGTCGCCAGGGTGAATGATGAATTCGTAGTCGTCGGCCGTGTCAGCAAGGCGCTTAATTGTTGTGTGATTTAGCGAAGGAGGGATATTTGGGATCAAGTCGCGCTTCGCCTTGTCGTTTTGGATCGTGTAGCCGTCCTCACCGTAGACGCCCAGATCGATAATGGCATTGATAGCAAAAGGAGTCTTGTCACCTGCGGTACGAGGAGAGAGGAATTCCTCCACGGTAGAATTCGTCGACTCAATCTTGTAAAAGTACTTTGTGGCAGGAGTCAAATTGTTTAGGTAGACCGTATGGAACCATGTGCGCGACGAGGGATAGGTATCCGACTTGCTTGAGCAAGACTTTTGTGTAAGCGAGTCTGCAGAGGCGCCATAGCTGACACAGGGGCTACCTAACTGCTGGTATGTGTTCCAGCCCACAGAGATGCCTGGCAGGAAAGTATTAAACAGGGAGTCTCGCATAGATATCATTGAAATCCAAGCACTTACTGTTTGCGCCACTTACAGCGATACGGACCTGCATAGGTGTGGACAGATCCGAAGGCTTGGCTGGCAGGCTGGCGGAAGCCAAAGCCGTTGCCGAGAGAAGCGGGAGAGCCTTGGCCAATAACGAGAGCGAAGGCATGTCGAGGGAGCTTGAGCTTGGGTTGACTATCTACGGAAACTCCTACCGTGCGACGAACCGGCGTGCCTTTATATCGGATGAGCTCAAACTTTTCCCACGGGCCAGCCGCGGATGCACTACGACATGGCAGGTTAGTTTCTCAGACATGGCTTATCAAAAGTCACAACTGCGGCCCCTCCCTCGGCCTTCTAGCGGCTCAAGGAGTGTAGCCATTGTCAGGCGAGATGGTGGCACGGCCTGTGGAAAACAATAGCCCCAGCTTTTCAGCTTGGTCACCTTCTACATCGAGCAAAGCGAGGCTAGGGCGGGGCCGGTATGAATAGTACGCTCGGTGTTCCTCGTGCCGTAGCGGCGCCGCCTCGTTGGTAGGTTGGGCGGCGGAACTCCATTTATAGAATCCCGTTGGCTTGTGAATCTGCGCTGGCAGTCCAGGGTATTGGGAATCGCAGCGGGACGTTTGTAATAATGGCCTCGCTACTGGCTGACTTGTCCGATCCTGGCCGGGCACTATGTCTTTCTCGGCACGAAACTCCGCCTCGGTCCACTGCTTTGCATTGCCAGGAGAAACAGTATCGTATAGACACTGCCTGATTAGGTGACCGACATGAAATCTCGGCATATTTAATGATCAATTTATGGAGAGACACGGGAATATCGCCGATCTGTGCAGGAGAGGTGCAGAGTCCGACGAGAGTGATGAATGCATTTCGAGCGATGAGCTGCTCGCTCGCAGTGCAATGATTTCGAGTTTTCGCAATGAAGTAAAGCTTCAATTGCCTTGACGCTTTGATGGAATATGCTGGGGCAGGTTGCTCAACTGGATACTAAAGTCCAAGCGAATCGTACGTGGTGTGTGAGGTACGTAAACTTTGTTATTGGGTCAAGGCGCGAATATAGCGTGCCTACGGAGTAGTCAGCAGACAATGCCGCAGCATGGAATATTGCTAGTCCTATTGAAACCAGGACCAGGAAAATCGATGAACTAGAGCACGTCGACGCTGACTAGTAATATGCCTACTAACGTAGTTAGAGGACACATGGTGTCAGTATTAGCGCCCCAGTTGTACGACGGTACGAGTACCGAGTCTAAGCTGGTCACCCAAAAATGATTGGACGTGTCTGATGATGCGTCTGATGAATGGCTAGTATAGGGCTGGTGCCTGATCAACGTAGCTTGCAAGACGAGACCAGATCATGGCCGAAGTTGGAGATGCGCAAACACTACATGCAAGACATCTGGGACTGGTGATCCACTGTTGACAGCTGCGAGGTGACGCCTCAGGCACACAGAGTCGCCCCCCTAAAAAATCCAGAAAGTGATGAAGACATTTCGTCGGATTCAGAATCAGTTTGCGATTGTATTGATGCATTCTCGTCAATGAGCACCAGTCCTCGTGCTTTTCCACCCTTGCATTTCCTTCATCGCGCCTCATTTCCTCCACTCACTTGACTTAGCAAACGCTCCTTGACGTCAGCCAGTTAGGCACAGAAAACCACGTTCTGATTCAAAGTACACCTCGATGTGAACAGGGCATTAATCAAACAACTCTGATAGCCAAACAAGTATCAGCAAAAAATCTCACTAAATTATGCTTCCCTTCCGTTGTAATACCTCCTGCGCCGTTTCAAGCGCAATCACCTCTGGCCTTCATAAGTGGGGCCATATTTCCATTTTTGCAACACCTCAGATCGTCCTCACTACACACGGCCGACTACACTTCAACTATACACCTTCAGCATCGCTCCATTACTCGTCTTCCAAGCTCGAGATGCCTGAGAGACAAGGCAAAGATGGGCGTCGGCCAGATCGCCGCCGAGGTGGAGGAGCAGGAGCAGGAGGCCGCGGTCGCGGCAACGGTGGTTCAAGAGGATCCTTTCGAGGCAGCAGACGCGGCGGCCGTGGTGGCGGCAGTGGTAACAGCAGATCAAACCACGACAGCGATTCTCCCATGGCCATGGATATTGACGTCACGTCCACGTATACGCCGCCTCCTGCGCAGTTGGGCGGTGGTGGTGCCGATGGCTCATACAAGCCACCGCTGACAGAAGCTGTGCCCCTCGACACGCCGCGTTTCGCGGACCTCGCGGGCCAGAACCTGGTGCACCCCCAAATCATCCAGACAATCACCGAGGATCTCAAGTTTGACCACATGATGCCGGTGCAGGCCGCGACGCTGTGGGAGCTGCTGCCCCCGAAGCGCAGCGACTGCCTGGTGCAGGCCAAGACGGGCACCGGCAAGACGGTCGCCTTTTTGCTGCCGGCTCTGCAGACTATGCTAAGCAAGACGCGCGGCGCCGGCGCGGACCGCGACTCGGCTATTTCGCTCCTCGTCATCTCGCCGACCCGCGAGTTGGCCATGCAGATTGCGACAGAGGCTAACAACCTGCTGCAACGGCTTCCCAACTACCGCGTGCGCGTCGCTATTGGCGGCACCAACAAGGACCGCGAGGAGCGCCAGATCCTAGACGGCTGTGACGTGCTCATTGCCACGCCAGGCCGCCTCATTGACCACATGTCCAACGAAGACATCATCTATGCTCTGCGGTCTCTCGACACTCTCGTCCTGGACGAGGCGGACAGGCTGCTCGACATGGGCTTCATGCCCGCGCTGCGCGAAATCGTCGGCAAGCTGCCCGACCGCAAGGCGCACCCGCGCCAGGGTATGCTCTTCTCCGCCACGATTGCGCCGCACGTCAAGCAGGTTGCTGGTCTCGTCCTCGTGCCCGGCTACAAGTTCATCTCTACCATCCCCGAGGGCGAGGCCAACACACACGAGCGCGTCCCACAGCACCTCATCAAGGTCCCCAGCTTCGCTTCCGTCTCTGCCGGCATGGTGGGCGCCGTGCGCCAAGAGGCCGCCAGGGAGGCCAACTTTAAAGCCATCGTCTTTGCCCCGACGGCCGCCGCGGCCGGCCTTTACGGCCACGTGCTGTCCCAGATTCCCGGTCTGCCGCCCGTGTCGACGCTGCACAGCCGCATGACACAGAACCGCCGCACAAAGGTCACAAACGAGTTTCGCGATGCCAAGTCGGCCATTCTCACCGCGACCGACGTCATCGCCCGTGGCATGGATTTCCCCGGCGTCACCACCGTCTTCCAGGTCGGCATTCCATCGGAGAAGCAGAGCTACATCCACCGCCTCGGTCGCACTGCGCGCGCCGACGCCGAGGGCAAGGGCATATTCCTCATTGCCGAGGCCGAGGCCTTCTTCCCGCGGTGGACGCTCAAGGAGATTACCTTTGTGCCCCAAGAGGCCGATCTCTCGGCGGCGCCCGAGGTGGACCGCATCCTGGCGCAGATGGACGAGGAGGAAAAGGGCCAGATCTACAAGGCCTGGCTCGGCTACTACAACAACCACATGAAGGGCCTGCACTGGGACAAGGAGGAGCTGGTCCGGCAGGCCAACACTTATGCGCGCGAGGCCCTGGGAGCGCCCGAGACGCCGCCAATCCAGAGAAGCACCGTCAGCAAGATGGGGCTGAGAGGAGTGAGGGGACTCAACATTGTGCCAGACAGACCCAAGCCGCCAAGAGGCCAGGGAGGGCGTGGTGGCAAGTAAAAAGAAAACACGGAGAGAAGTTGGACAAAGTGAAGAGGGAGGAGCGTGTAAAATTTTACATTGGCATAGGAAAATAAAAGGAAAAATAGATTATGGGTTTTACTTTCGGTACAAGGAATATAGAAGGCACTATCAATGTAATTTAAAGAAGAATTTCCATTTCTTACTTAATCGCAAAGGATAGGAAAATTTAAAAGGGAGAATATATTTCAACTTTCGCTTTTGGTCCAAGGGAAAAAGATGACGCTATCAAAGGAAGCCAAAGAAGAATTTGAATCTTGTTATTTTTTTTTCTATTAATAACAAATATCTATGTCAGTATAAGCAGACCGAAAGGAAAGCGGACCTCAAGCCTTGCGCGGTGTAACAAAAAGTAGAGATCGCTATCGAAGTAATTTTTTTGAAATAATGTTCATCTTGTGATGCTTTCCTGTATATACACGTTTCAATGTAAACCACTCTCGCCCGTCTCGACCATGTATTTTTGACAGTTGACAAGAATGCGGACCTGCCCGCCAATCTCGTCGAGTCGACCCAGGACTTTACGGTTGCCATCGGTAAAACACAGAATCGAGTAGGGAATGCCCGTCTCATCGCAAAACTGCCTCACCATGTTCTGCACTTTACGCAGGTTATGCCTAGGCAAGCGCGGAAACAGGTGGTGGACGGCCTGAAACTGCAGGCCGCCGTGGATAAAGTCGAGCCACGCGGGGCAGTCAACGTCCATAGTGGTGCGTAGCTGGCGCTGGGGAAAGGATTCGTCCTCGCATAGGTGGGCGGTGGACATGCCCCAGTGAGACAGGGTAATTTGGACATGCAGCGGCATGGTGATGATGTGAGAGACGAGAACATAGAGGACGCGCGTGCGCCAGTCGGGCAGCGTCCGCAGCAGCAGCAGGTAGCCAAAGATGAACCAGTAGCAGGCCATAAAGGCAATCTCGGTCGGCCGGATCCACCAGGCCTTGCTGCCGCCGAGCTGCGATGACCTGAAGAGAACATGGATCCAGGAAAGCAGGTACAGGTTGAAGCGCGCAATACCCATGATGGGGTAGTATGTGTACTTTTGCCACGGGACGAGAATCTCGGCGGCACGGTCCCAGACAAAGGTGAAGTCGTAGTAGGAGGAGCGGAGTGACTTGAAAAAGGAAGGGCAGGTAGCGAATAAGGGAACGTTTTGGATATCGGGATCGTGTTCCTGAGAAGTGTTAAGAGAGAAGCGAGAGCGATATACGTTTGATGGACGTACTGGTTGGTTGGTAATGAGATGGTGGACATTGTGACTGCTCTTCCACCAGCCGATAGATAATCCGCAGCAAAAGTCGGCAATGAACATGCCAATCAGAGTATCAACCTCGAAAATCTGCGTGATTGCGCGATGTCCAGCGTCGTGGGCTGTGAACATGATTTGATGCTGCAAGCAAGCGTGTAAGCCAAAGGTGTGTTAATACAGCATAATCAGGAGACGTACCCAGAAAAATCCAAGAAACAGCGCCGAAACGAGGTAGTAGCCCTTGTGCAAGGCAAACATGGAAATGGCAAAGAGCGTCAGATAGCGTGCCATTTCTTTGCCATACTCTAGATAAGGGCACTCGTACAGTCCCTGGGCATCAATCTGCTCATGAAGCTTCATGTATTTTGCTGTAATGGCCAGCTGGACATCCTGCTCGAGCGATGGATACTCGTCCATGTCGGTCTCGCGCTGCTGCTGCATGGCCCATTCTGTGTACTGCTCGGGCGACATGTACTTGCGGCCGCGCGGCAGCAGACTGGCCGCTTCAAGCGCCTTTTCATCGACAACGACAGGAGGCGGTATCGTGGTCACAGGGGTGCCACTGGGGGACGGTCGGCGTGAGCACGAGGTCGGCTGCAGCTGGCTGCTTGTCTGTAGACAGCCGGCTCTCGGGGACTTTTCGGATAGGGCGGCCGCGCTCGGGATGCTATTATCAACGCCGACGCTATCAACGACACCCTGGTCCGAGGCATGCTTCTCTGCTAAAGCCGTATTCGCGGATGGCGCGGACTTGATCAATTGATCGCTCGATGAAGCGGCCCTGATTGGTGGTGTCATGTTAGCCCAGGGACCCGTAGGCTTCCGGCCGATCCGAAAGGCCTTCATAGTCTTAAGGGTATGAGCCGCATGATATCTAATTAGGAAAAAAGGAGGAGTCAGCCGCAGGGCACTTGTAAACTGTCATCTGCAAGTCATCGGGCTGAGATCTGGGAGGGGGGGGCTGTTGTAGATTTCCCCAATGAGATTGAGCTTAAATGCATGGTGAGTCCCTTGCTGAGACTAGAGGCTATTCCGCACTCAGAGGGCTAACACCACACAACAGAACACATCGAGGAGCAAGAGCCAATGGAATATAGAGCAGCACCAGGGACGAGAGCGGGATTATTTACAGAGTAATTTCGCTCGTCGCATCTCTGCCAATCATGTGTCGAATGGCGAGGTCGCCGCCGGGATGGATGGGCAGCCACGAGTTGAGCCGCAGCACATAGTCCTCGAAGATGACAACGGCATCGCCACTGGCGACCATGGTCTCAATGGCCGCGCGGGACAATACAGTGTCGCGTCCCATGGTGAAGGGCGTCTTTGTTTCCGAGTCGCAAACGAACGAGGTATATTCTGGCGCGGGCCAATATGGTGCTGCAATTGTCGTCGAGTCGGTTCGGGGCAGTGGAGATGGTGTTTTGGTAAAGGATTGTCGGATCGGAAAAGAAAGTAACAGAATGAAAGAAGAACGAACGACTTTCTACCATGATGAAGAAGAAGAAGAAGAGAGTGCCGGGCCAAGGCGAGAGAAACGAATGCTGTGACGGGACGGGACAGGCCAAGGCGACAGGCAACGACCCCTTGCTACGAGTGCGACTTGCCTGGGCAGGCAGGCAGACAGGCAGGCAGCATGGGCAAGCCGACACCCAGAACCGAAACTTGTTACTGTGGCTGACGAGCCACGTTCTACCAAAGATTAAATTCTATCCAATATAGTACGGAGTATGGAGTCCTTCGTACCAATCAGTCAGTCAACACCCCACGAAGTAGCCAATCTCTGCCGCCAACGACGCCTCGCAGTCCAGAAAATAGGACCGACCCAGCCATGAACCGACAAGGATGGAGTCCAAGGGTCCTGGGCCACGCAACCAGGGCACGCCGCACGCACGCCGCAGTGGACAAGATAAAAGATTGGGGCACTGCGACGGCTGAGTTGCTATCCGGGAACCAATCAAACATGACCAAAAGAAAGGGTCTTTTTGTATCTAAATAAACGCGCGTTCTTGGCTTTGAAATGTAGCTCGGCTTTGAAACGAGCAACTATTTACTGGTAAGCCGAGCTGGGACATTTTGGGACAGCTCGAAAGGTTCTTGAGAGGGACAAACAATGAATCTTGAAATGGCGCACAGAAACACTAGGGCACCACGTGGCCAGGCACTGCGATGATTGTTCTTTGATCGGCGAATTGCTTGCTTCTCCCAGATCCTCCATGACGAATAGTGACGAATATTACTCGCGTACCTGAGCTAGCCAAGTCTTTACTATGGGGGAGATCAGCATCAGCGTCGAACCTTGATTGAGATGGACAAAAGTCGGCGCGTTTTCTTATCAACTTTTTTTTTTCTCCTAGATCAAAGGATGAAAAAGTACAATCACAACATATCAGTAGTTGAAAGAGTCGAATGGAGCCCGGAAGTGGATGCGCTCTGCTTGGCTCATACACGGCTTGAAATGATGTACTACAGTGTCCCTTTCTTCTCCTGGTTGATAAAAAGGAGTTGCTAATGTTATATGTGACATGGCGAATGGGGTAGCTTGCGCTGTAGCATGGGCGTAGTGTGATTGTGTCACTTAACCGCTGCGCCTCATGGCACCAGAAAAGTAAAAAAAAAAAAAAAAGTAAAAGAGAAAAGTAGAAGAAAATCTCTCGATGCAGCGGAAAGATAAAAAGTGGCCACATCGAGACTGGCGGCTCTTGCTTGCACTGCCTTGATGTATATTTGGGTTGTTATTATTAGTGATGCTTTTCAACCGTTGAACTAAAAATGCAGCCTACCCAACTAGTTTGATCCTCTCTGTCCCGGCCCCCGCCCTCCAATTGTTTGCTTCAATAATAATAATCCCTTGACTGAACGCCTTCTCCGTGGGGCTCAAGGTCCCCTAATTTGGAGAGGGACAAAAAATATCGCCTCCAAGAGCAGGGATCTCTGCTCCCCTGACAGATTTTCCACAAGGACACAGTGCGACGTGCCACAGCTACAGTGGGCCCTGGATATTCGAAATTCAGAGCGAATCGCCACCAAAAACCCCCAGACATTACCAAGAAAATTACGCTTCAATAAATTACAATAGAGGCGCTGCTTTTGCGCCGCGCGCGCGCCTCGTTTCCAATCCTGCGAATCATTAACTACAATCACCTTCCCATTCAGTAACGCGCGTCCGAAACTGCGCCACTGCGAGCGCCGGCTTTTTTTTTTTTTTAGCTGCATACGTACTTGAACGGACTGGTCTAAATTTACTTACTGGTAGTCTTGCATCATGGCCCCGGCCTGCACGACCGCTTGTACAAATTGACTGAGCAATATAAAAGGTTGCATTCCTGCATGTTGTCAAGTCCAATACTCCGCTCGAACGCACACCTGCATATGGTGGCTCCGCATGATGCACCCGTGTCGTGGTGAGGTACCCGGACTGCAGGTACGCCATGATCCCAAGGAGATTGGCCATCTCTGTCCCGTACCAAAACTACAGCGCGGGTCTCATTACACCGGTACAGACATTTCGAATCCTGATGGATTTTGATAGCTTCGTCAAATGTGGTATTTCATTCATGGTATGCGTATGTAGTTTCTTCACTATGCCAAACAAAGCAAGCGGCCGCGACAAAGGAAAAAGAAGAAAACCCAAGATAACCCAAGTCTTTCCAGAAGATCATATAGAATCAAATGTCCGTAAATGCATGCCAATCCGTGACAATCGGCCTTGTTATTCGTTTCAAACCATCATGGTCGCTTAAGCAGCAACCGCGTTGGCAGTCGTCGCCAAGGGAGTCTTCTCGTTGATGTTGAGGCCCTCCACAGCCTTGGCCGTAGCCGCCAGCTCACCGTCGTTGCCCGCGTCAACAAACGTGTCTTCCGACTTGACCGTAGCATTGTCGCCGGCCTTGTCCTCGGCGGCAGCGGCGGCCTTCTCGTCGTCGTACCACGCAACCTTCTTGCCGCCGCGGAGGTTGCCGTTGCGGTCGTACATGCTGCGCGCGCGGATGTAGGGGTCCAGCTTCCAGTAGTTGACCGTCAGCTCCTTTGCCAGGCTGGTGCGCTCGGCGTTGCTCTCGGGGGTCGACGCCTGAACCCACTTTCTCGTGGCAGCCTCGAATCTTTTACCAATCTCCTTGCGCTCCGCCAGGAGGCGGTCGCGGGTGGCAGTGTCCTTCATAAGGTCGTTCTCGCCCTCGACTGGCTCCACATACTCGTACTCCCAGTCTAGGTCACCACCGAGCTCCTTGATCAGCCTGTCAGGGGCAATGTGGTTGGTGATGCCGTCGACACCGTCGCGGCCATTGGTGAATTTCACCTTGCTAGCGACGACGGGGTCCAGCCAGCCGTGAATAATCTTCCAGATGCTCTTGAAGACCCAGGGAGCATTGTGGACAAGGATAACACCCAGCGACTCGGGGTAATTGGCCTCAAACGACTGAATAATGTACTTGACAGGGACATAGTCCATGTTGGCCAGAGTGAAGCCACTCAAGTCAAACACCAGGCAGGCAGTCTCGATGGGAGGGTTCAGCACCATGCGACCCGTCTCGATGTTGTACACAATGAAGCGCTCAAGAGACTCATTCTTGCAATCGAATGGCTTGTGTAGACGGACGCGGACATAGCTGATGGGACGGCCCAACTTATCGGTGCCGTGGAGGAAACCCTTGCCCATTCGAAGCTGGCGCATAAAGTCATGGGCAAGGACTTTGGTGTTGGGGTCGGAGCTCTTCTCGTCACGGGCACCGCCGCCGTCACCGTGGTACATGATGTCGGAGTCGACCTTGGACTTGGACGTGCGCCAGTCCATAGCGGAAAACATCATGATGATGCCCTTGTCAACCTGCCACTTCCGGGCACGCAGGAAACGCAGGGCAAGGGCATCGGGGTGGTCGTGCTTGGAGGCCTCAAGAATCATGGCACGGGAAGAATCGGCTGAGTGCTTGCTAAGCATCTCCATGAATTGCTTGCGAAGGCCAAACTTGTCATTCTCATCGGCAGCACCAAGATCGAGGTGCTTCTCAATGAGGGCAGTGGCATTGTTGTCCTCAGTGCTGGCTTTCTTGCCGCCGCCAAAGAGGCCGAAGCGAGACTTTTGAACGGGGGCAGCAGCCTGATTGGCGCAGTTCTTGAGTGCAGCCTGAATCTCGGGGTCCTTGGACTCGTACAGATCATAGAGCTTGAAAATTGTGCCCCAGAACTTGCGAAGCGTCGTCTCCTGCTCGGTCGTCAGGTTACCGACGTTGCCCTCGGGAATGGCATTGGTAGACATGATGGTAAATTCGGTTGGTGTGATGAGTGGATATGGGTATATAATGCAAAAGTGCGCTGTCGAGAGAAGCAAAGAGCCACGATGTTGATAATTCGACAATTGGCGAAGCACCCAGTGCTACGAGTTGAAGCGTCAAGGGATGAAAAAAAAGAGACGATGAAGAAAAAGAACCCGGTGTAAGCCAAAGACAAACACAGCACAAAAGACAGGAAGTCAGTGTGCGGGGTCAAGACTAGGTAGCTTTGTGACGGTGGTAGCGTGCAAGTTGGGCCTCGTCAACCTGTTTGCGGAAGAAATTGTGCGGCAAGATGAATGGAAGAGAGAAGCAAAGAAGATAAAAACCTTGCGCTGGAGGACCAAAGAAACTTTCCGGAGAACCATTAACGGCGTCTTGGACTAGATATACCCCAAGACGGCTCACAAGGTGGGTAGACGGCGCACGGAATCGGGGGGACTGTAACGGGTTGGCTGCCGAGGCTCCAACTACAGCGAGTAGCATATGATGGGATCGTAATGGTATGGACAGGCTCCCCCAATGGCATTATTGGATTGCTGGATGCGGTCCACCGGCCGGATTGACGCCACCCAATGGGTAGAGCCTGGTTTAGCCTATATTACCAGCAACTTTTGTCTGCCTGGGAGTCGCTTGGTAATAATGCGCGGGGGAGGTCGGGGGAGTGCGGGTGCATTGTCCCTGGGTTGGGGAAGCCCCGGAGCCCCAGGAAATCCAGAACTTGCCCCAGAGCGCTGAGCACCCGCAGAGTGCCTGAGTTAACTCTGACAAGCCCAAGCAGGTCCTATGGCAAGTCCGGGATTGGCGCATCATATGAGGCTCCAGACTTGGTGGGACTTGCCTGCGGATCCCCCCATTCGCTGCTGTCACAGCGTCGAGTCCTGAGTTCCACCTGGACACTTTGGGGTAATTTGGCGCCGCACATGTAGTCGTCCATTTAAGTAACTATTCATTTGTCGACACAGCTTGACACTGCGCTGCGAGCCGTCGATCATCGCTAGGGAGGTGCGTTGACCGAGGCTCCCTGTGGAGGTCTTGTCTTGCACCCTATCGCTTAGTGGTTAGCCTCTTGTGGCGCCCCAACAAAGACCATGAAGCTGAGGTGCGCGCCGAACCTGTACGCCAACTTCGACACGCACAGGGCTGCCGCAGCGCCACAGGGGCAACGGTCTGCATATCTCAAAGATCGAAAAGCATGTGCAAGCGAGGCTCTTTCCGGCGAGTGAAATACTAGCGTTACGATTGGAAACATGAGAAGAAACATTGCGAGGTGCAAGAAGGAAGTCATACAAGATGTCGCAAACGCTTGAACAGACTTGCCAACCTACACGAGACGAGTTCTGTCCCGAGCTAAGATGTACCGATGAGATGCATGGGCACACGCAGAGTAATAGAAGTAGCCATTAACTCTATACCCACCACTACCAACACTCGACCGTTTGCTGACAGCTGGCAGCACAATGGTCAACGACGCCAACGTAAAACCTACATCGCACAATACATTCTTGTGTTGCCGCATCAAACCATCCAACTTATCGAAACACTTTGATGCTGTATTCGTCTCTGCCTGGTGCGAGAGGAGCAACTTCGGAAAATTATCTTCGTCGAGGACAAGCGCAACTAGAGGCCAGTTCGATAGCAGCATCAAGACATTCGAAAACAATCATTTCAAGCACAGCGCAACTAGTCCCGCGTCCCTTCCGATGAGTCGCTACCCCGCGTCAAGAGTACCGAGACAGTGCTGTGGGTACTCAGTAGATAAGATGGGATACATGTTACAATTCGGATGCTCCGGGGGTACAGTTGGGGGTCTTACCGCTAGGTTTCTCACCAATGCCCCTACCCACAGGGCCTGTGGACTTGAGGTAGACGTGCCAGCTGTCTGTCACCCCGGATTTTCCCTTTGTGGCAAAGGCAAAGATGCCATTGACCTTTTTTCATGGTGTCCTTTACCTCGTCCAGATTCCCTGACAGTTGCTCCTTGTTCACATCAGAGATCAGAGAGCAGCGATGCCGGAATTGTTTCTGTTGGGCATCATTCCTCCTAGCCTGTCTTCACATGCTGCATCACCAGTGTTGGCCTGCAAAGCAACAAAGTTGTAACTAAGCCGAGCCGTCCTTGCAGACACAAAGCTGAATTTATTCGCGCCACTTAAGTCAGTGGGTTCGCCCATCATTATGATGTCGTAGGAAGCTAGCCGCGGCGGGCTTGTCCATCCACAGCAGGTTTGGTTAAGACTTGCCATTGGAGACGTTTATTACTGTACCGTCTGGATGGACCGGGCTGCTGAAAACGGAGCGAGTTATGCTAAGAAACGCAAAAGAGGTATGTTCTGTGGCACCCCGTGATTGATCATGCCTGGTCAAGTCTTCTACTAATTATTAAATCACCTAGAATTTGGCTCGCAACATATACACCCTGCTGGCCATCTAATGAGCCAACTTGGAACGGTGAACATCTATAGAACCCTCATGGCAATTCAATGAGCCGAGCGAAACACCCCTCGTGCCCTCTCAACAACCCAAATCGCGCTCATAACCTCGGCAGACTGTCAAGCCATTAGGCGGCCCACGCTTGTACGGGGTTCCCCGCAAAAGCGTCTTTGGTCAACATGGATTCCCCGCAACCCAGAGTTAGCGGGCATGGCTGAACAGGATGAACAGGATTTGCTCAGGTCGCCAGCGTTCACTTTGACTGGTTCGTTTCACCGGGCCCAGCGCATCCCTGCTGTCTCCTGCAGCTCCGCCGCCTCAACATTCCCGCGTACTAGTTTTGCTAGTGCAATTTGTGCCCGTAAATATCGGCGAGTCCTGACCCCTCCATGTCCCCTTCGTCGTATGTCGTATCGCCTCCACTTGCGCCGTTTTCTTGACACGCAGGCATAATTACTGCCACTTCTTTCTTATTTATCATATCTGCGAATTGGAGGCAACCATGCAACCGAGCAAGAGGACCCCCTCCTTCCGGGGGGGGCTGAGGGGCAGATCTCTTGCCACGTTGCCACCACATCTGCCAGTGACTCGCATTTTCGAATTTCGCCATCCATTGTCGAATTGTGAGGGGCGTTCTCTTCTTGTCGTAGTCTAAAAAGGGCTAGAGATTCCCACCAGCCGCTTGCGCAGGTGCTGGCTTCTACTTGCCTTGGTCGGTTGTGCTCACTTCCTGGCTTTGCTTTACAGTTGACGGCAACAGATCGATGCTTCTTGTGTGGACACCTTGAGTCCGCAGAACACATACGGTTGTGGCGACACCAAATCAAGAAGCAAACTTATAGAAATACCTCTAGCGAGTGCCGGTGCACGAATTGAGATCACATACATGGTATGGCAACGTTCTCACGACTCGAATGCGCCTGGTTCCCGTATCCCGTTCTAGTTGACCACTGTGCGAGTTAGCACCAACAACACTGTATGCTGCGTGTTCCTATTCCCACTATGTGGTTCGCTTTTCAGTCGGCCCACGAACGTGAGCACCATCTACCACGTTCAGATCTGATCAAATTATCTCGCAATACCTTAGGCGTTCGAATGGTTCAACAACCGGTCTCGTATGGTAGCCGCATGCTGCTGTCGCGCCTCTGGAATTCCTTGAAAGTCTTTGCACATTTGACACCACTATACATTTCAATACAGCACAACCTCATTGCTAGCAATTAATTGCATACCTTGCATGCAACTCATGCTTCGCTCCAATTACTGGCTAGCCTATTCATGGCCGCTCGGCGAGCAGCTGAGATCCAGCCGCATGACTGCTTGCAGCCTTTGTCATCATCTCACGCAACGGTAAATGTGCATGCAGAAATATTGGCATTACAAAAGGCACCACATCGATACTCAGCCCATGTGGCGTTGTTGCTAGCGAGGTGCCGGTCGACGACCCGGTTCATAAAGCTGTCAACACCATACGTAGGTATCTCTTGTTCGCGGCAATCTACACCTCATGCAAGTCGTAGCTCAACGACAGAATCATGGCCAAACCACACCCACGTTTAGTTCCTATGAAGGTGCTCTGTCTTGGCTACAGCCGCACCGGAACAAGATGCAAGTCTGACTATCAAATCTCACGCTCAAACGCGGTGTTAACAACATGCAAATTGCAGCACTCACAGAGGCGCTTTCGAAACTTGGCTATATTCACACGTATCACACAATGGATGCGGCGTTTATCCGTACGCGCGATTGCCAGACCTGGCTGAAATGGCTGAAAGCGAAATACGACGGCGTTGGCCGAATACCAGGCCGCGAGGATTTTGATGTCTTGCTGGGACACTGTCAGGTGGATTTCGATTTCGTCCTCCGCTGTAGATGCTCATGCTCATGATGTCGTGTTTCAGGCCGTGTGCGATATGCCAGCTGCGTACTTTGCGGAGGAGCTTATCCAAGCGTACCCGGATGTAAAAGTGATCCTCACTATTCGAGACGTGGACAAGTGGCATCAGTGAGGAGTTGGCAGGTCCTGCTTCACATCAGGCATCAGCTTACAATGAGCACTCAGATCCGTTACCAGAACCCTTGAAGTCGTCGACAATAGCATCGTCTGGGCCGCCATTGGCCTCTTTGCCCGGCTTCTCCGCATGCCTAACCGATGGAACTGGTCAATGTTCCAGAAGCTCCACCAGGTACTCTATGATCATGACTTTCCACGCAATGGCAAAGCGAGCTTCGAAGCGCACTACGCGCGCGTGCGAGCCCTTGTGCCTGCAGAGAGGCTGCTCGAGTATCACGTCAGCGAGGGGTGGGCGCCGCTGTGTGCCTTCCTGGGCCGACCAGTACCAGAGGACAACGATACACCATTCATCAACAAGACGTCCGAGATCAACGGTAAGCTTGCAATTATGCATATGGTGAATTTGAAGTCTCAGGGCAAGAGAGTTCTCAACATCTGTGTGTTTGCAGCTCTGACGTGGACGGTAGCCCGTACATTGCTCCTTGTCATGGAACGTCATGACTTGAGCTTTCTATGATCATTTCATCACATTGGTTGTATAAATGCACATATATTTCAATTTTATCTACTTGATATATCTATGCGACAAGCACTCATTTGTTGCGTGCTGCAAGCGCCTCCTGTCGCGACGAGCTCTGGGGATCGAAAAATGGGCGCTCGCCAACGCCGACGGCGCGAATACCAAGCCGATCGCCTTGGTCCTCGTAATCAAAGGTTGCAGTGTGGAACGTGCTACGGTTGTCCCAAATAGCTATTTTTTTTTCTCCCATGTTAGCCGGTGGTCATCCACGCTCTTGTTTCTGTGCGAGTCTTTGTTCAACGTTCACGTACCGATATCGTTGGGATTCTTCCACTGCAATCGGACCTGCAAGTCGTAATTCTTGTACACGATGTCCAAAAACCAGTTCAACAGGTGAGTGCTTTCCTCTTCCGTGACGCCGTTGATGTGCTTGACGTGGCCGCCGACGGGGAAGATGCTCTTCCATCCCGTCACAGGGTTCGTGCGGACGACGGGATGAATGGCCTTGAGCTGCGTGCCAACGTTGGCAGGGTTGCCGCGCGGCTTGTCCCAGAGCTCGAAGCCGTGGGCGGCAGCCGACTTGCCGAAGCCAGGCTGCTCAAAGGTCACGCTGAGACCCTCGAGGAACTTTTGGTACGGCTCGCTGAGCTTGTCGTAGATTTCATATCCAGATGCAAACAGAGTATCTATCGCCAGTACCTTGTCAGCTTGTCTGTCTTTGAGAAGCTTCGAGATTGATAATGGGGGCGGGGGTTGCAGCACTTACCGCCGCCGGTTTTGGGAAGCTGGGCAAGGCGCAGCGAGGAGTAGTCGGCTGGGAACGGCTCGAAAGCAATGTCGCTGTGCCACTGCGCAGTGATCTGCTTCTTGCCGCTTAGCCCATCGATTGTGGGTGTCGTGTAGTACTTTTCCCTCTGCACGGAGCTGATGACGCTGATCTCGGGGTCGTCGCCCCCGAGCTCCCGGCCCGGGTTCAGCAGCGGGTGGACGTGCAAGCCCGACTCGGCCGGCCGGCCGGTTAGCCGGCCGAGCCGCTCAATAAGCTCCTTTTGCAAATCATTGGTCAAGTTGTCTTGGGCACGAAAGAAAACAACACCGCGCTCAGAGACTTTTTTTTGTTGAAAAATAGTCAGTATCAAGGAAACGACCCTTTGTGGTAGAGAGACGGTAGCGGTTTGGCTGCATCATGAATGTGGTACTTACTGGTCACTGCCAAGTCTCGAATGAGCTCGTCAGAGTTGGGAGCCTTGAGAATTTCTGCAAGATCTGCTGTGGGATACTCGCGCCCGATGCTTGGGCTGATCTCAACTGACTCAAAGTCTTTCAGTGCCCCGGTGACTTGCAGAGGCGCCGCTACTTTGCCCTTGGTCGGGACGGGTACGGCCGAGGTTGACTCAACAGCGGTAGGCGACATTGTAATTAACTGAATTGTTTGAAATTATGACTTATATCAATGGTCAAAATATTGTTTCAGAGGTCTCTATTCTTGGTGAGGGCATGGATTGTTATATAGCCAGCCTTGTGAGCATGATGGATCAGACAGTTGCCGCTTCGGCGCCGTCTGTAATTGCCAAATCCATCAACATGCTAATCAATCATGCCATATGGATCAATCATTGCACAGAATGCACAGAAGCTAGAATAGTGCAGTCTCCCCGCTCGTTGCGTGTGCATGCTTGAGCCATTGTGTGACGGGTCGCAGTGATGACGCCATACAGCTGTAGCATGTTAATGCCATATCCGCGCCGTCGGATTGGTGCGCCAATACAGTAGTATATATCGAAATCCAAATATATTGAAGATATGTCTGGGGTGAATGTCTGGGATAACCCTTGGCCATGCATGTGGTGTAGATCTTTCGATGGCTGGTCAAGGCGCAAGCTGGAGGCTTCTCGACGACATCCTCAACAGCTCCCCAAATGCAAGTCTCATTGCAAATTTTGCGTTAGCGTGAATCTATCAAGCTGGATCAATTAGCTAACATATCTATACGACGGGCCGCTCGGGTTCCGGAATGACCTCTACGGATGTTGTGATGTGCTTTAGCCAAGAATGTCGAAAAAGATGCGGGCTATCGCGGGCCTGATATCGGACGTTCCGTACTTTCTCTCGGAGTGTGTCCGATTCGCACATATCAGCTGCCTTTAAATATAATGAATTGGATAGAATTTCGGAGATATTTTGAAAGAGCCTAGGATTATCTCTTCTTGCGAGCGACTTACAACAATGGCCACTGTTCTCTTCAATAAGAGTCCTGACAAGAGCTCTACAATCTCATCAGCCGTGTCCCTCAATGACATACCAGAGTTGGGAGCCCCAGTCAATAAAAGACAGTCCATCTTTCAGCGGAGCACGCGATTTGACAAAGAGGCCATTGCGACGCAGCCGAGTGTATTCGATGACCCCTCAACTCTGGAGAAATACTACCCCAAGCAAACATGGTGAGGGCTGCCCGTGCGAATCGTAAAGAGCATTCAATGTTAATATGCAAATAGGGAAAACTATCATAGGTTTGATCCATTGTATCGTTGGACATGGAACGAGGAGTCCAAGCTCGTCTGGAAGCTGGACTTCCGCATCATGACCTGGGCATGCATCATGTTCATGGCACTCGAGCTTGATCGCGCGAACATTCTGCAAGCCCTGACGGACAATTTCTTGAACGACTTGCATCTGACCACAAATGGTACCATCGTTGAGCCCGTTGCACCCCTTCTGAGTGACTCGCAGCTAACTTGCCCTAGACTACAATCTCGGTAACACTGTTTTCCGCCTCAGCTTCCTCTGCGCCGAGCTGCCTTCGCAGCTCGTGTCCAAGTGGATGGGCCCTGATCGTTGGATCCCGCTCCAAATATGTCTTTGGAGCATCGTTGCTGGCGCACAGTTCTTTCTGTCCGGACGAACTTCCTTTCTGGCAACCCGCGCGCTGCTCGGCATTCTGCAGGGAGGCTTCATACCCGACGTGAGTAACGGAACCTTTGACCCCCCTCACAAAAAAAACGCGGTAACATGGTCAACTAATACGATTACAGATCATCATCTATCTGTCTTACTTCTACAAGCATGCTGAGCTTACCATTCGGCTCGGTTTCTTTTGGACTGCATTAAACACGGCCGACGTCTTGTCCGCCGTCATTGCCATGGGGCTGCTGAACATGCGCGGCGTTGCAGGCAAAGCAGGCTGGCGATGGCTGTTCCTGCTGGAGGTGCGCCGCAATCAAACAAGATTCTGCAGATTACACACTAAAACAAAGTTTTTTCAAAATTAGGCGCTGCTCACTTTCTTGATTGGCGTCCTGTCCTGGCTGTTGATGCCGCCTGGGCCATGCCAAACCGCTAGTTGGTTCCGTGGCAAGTCGGGCTGGTTCACAGAAAGGTACGTCGACAGAAAAGATATCAAACACTCTAGAACAATTAGCTAATCTCTAATCGAATGTAGAGAGGAGAAAATCATTGTCAACAGAGTGCTACGAGACGACCCTAGCAAAAGCGACATGCACAACCGTGAGCCAGTGACACCACGGTTGCTGTGGAAGAGCTTGAGGGATTACGATCTCTGGTATGTAGTAGAGCAAAGTTTACTCGTCCGGCAGTTAACCATAATGCAGGCCAATTTATGCTTTAGGGCTTACCTTTATGATTCCTGTGCAACCACAAGGGTTGTACCTCACGCTCTCACTGACGGGCCTCGGCTTCAGCCGATTCCAGTCAAATTTGCTCACCATACCCGCTACTGTATTACAAGGTAGGTTCATGAGACCATCATTGTATTCCTGTTTCACTGACGACAAGATTCTAGTTTTCACCATGCTGGGCTTGACTTTTTTGGCGGAGCATTTGCGCAATCTCTCCATCGTTGCAATGTTGGCGCAGATCTGGGCGCTGCCCTTCATCATCTATCTCAACGTCGTGAACACCGCTGCAGTCAACAAATGGGTCATGTTTGGCGTCATCACCCTCCTTTTAGGCGTCCCAAGCTGTAAGGAATCCAGACATTGCTTCCCCCGCGAATGGGTGGCGCGATACTAACAGACGATTTAGCCCATCCGATCCAAGTCGCGTGGACGTCTCGCAATTCCAACACTGTGCGGTCCCGAACCGTCTCGGCCGCCACATACAACATGTTTGTGCAGGGCTGCAGCATCATTTCATCAAACGTGTATCGCGCCGGTAAGCGTAGCTCGTCCGCCATGAAGGCGAGCAGGTATACTGATATACTGACCCAATTTCACAGATGACGCCCCCCAATACAATCGGGGCAATAGGGCACTTCTTGGCGTAGTATGCATGAACATTGCGTTGTATGTGCTCACCAAGTTCTACTACATCTGGCGCAACAAGACCCGAGATGAGAAGTGGAACGCCATGACCGAGGAAGAAAGGCTGGCGTATCTTTCTAATCCTCCGAAAGAGGGCAACAAGAGACTGGATTTCCGTTTCGCTCATTAGAAGGCCGTACGTAGATTAAACGTTCACAGCTGTGCTTATTAGTACCAGAACGCAGAACGCGCCGGAAAGGTGGCCAATGAAGTTCATAGAGACTGATACAGTCTTCAAGTAGAATAAAAGAGGTGTTTCAAAACCTTTTTCCTTATTTTCTACATGTAAAGCCACAAGCTCTCTTTTGGGTGAATTTCACCTTGGCATCCATGCTGCGTCAGGAACGGCGCGTAGAGCTAAACTTGGGTTGGAAAAAGGAGCAAGTCCGCCACTAAGACTAAGCTACACCCGAACAAGTGCCATCATGACCTCATGAAATTCAACCAGACATCAAAGTCTTGCGAGATACATACAAGAAGACAAGCAAGGCAGCTTTGAGCAAGAATGGCAGGCAGAGCCCCTATGAATGTACAGTCGTTTCCGCGTCCGCCATTGCTGGAGCAGATATCTAGGCATCTGCAGATCAAATACAAAGGAGAGCTCATTGCGGACACTACGCAGGCGTACTGGGCATTGGAGACTCACCATCCCCCGAGTAAGTCATTCAATCGCCCGCGCTGGCATGCATCGCTAGGCAAAATGGTAGCTGACGCATGCATTCTGTTGCCGGACACAGCTTACTATCTACCACCGTCGTCTGTCAAGGTGCCGCTCACCAAGACTGGGCGAAGGACTTGGTGCGAGTGGAAAGGCATGGCGACGTACTTTTCTCTCCGCCTAGGCGGGCAGGATGTGTGCAACCGTATATGGACATACGAAGAGCCGACGGCCGGCTTTGAACCGATTCGTGGATACCTCTCTTTCTATGCCGGGCCCTGGGACTGCTTCGTGGATGGCGAGCAGGTGGTGCCGCAACCCGGTGACTTTTACGGCGGTTGGGTGACGTCGGAGCTGCAGGGCATCGTCAAGGGACGTACAGGGAACCTCGACCCGATTGTGTGATGCGCCAACTAAGATGGCTATCACACGGGGGTCTCTGTCTCCAGTGCGATCGCTCGTGCGGATAAGTAGTTGGACATGTACAATTCAGCTCCTCGAATTTTTTTTGATGACATTCGAGAGTTAAATAATGTAATTCGTGTTTTTGTGATGCTGATATGAACCTCGAAGCTGATTGATTCTTTCTGTCTGGATTGATTACGGCGCAACGGAGAAAAGACGGACCCGACTGCTGTTCTTGCGCCACACCAGCCACCACGTAGGTACATACATAGCCCCAGTCAGTTAGGCATCTGTGGCTGCTTGCGTAAAGGCCAGCGCAGCAACGCCGCGTCAAAAATTCGCCTTTATTCTCCGCGGTTCCATTTTCGACGCTTTCACGACTTTTCGAGGACTTTTGTTCAAATCCTTCTCGCCATTCCCACAGGTCGCTCGCGTTCACCGATCATCGTTTTCGTTCATCTCATATCGTCCATCTTTCTGCAGTTATTCACAATGGCCGGCCTCAGTCCCCAAATGTAAGCAGCTGTACCTGATTCCACGAACCTGTGTATCCGGCGATATTAAACTGCGACGCACAACAAATCGGCGATACAGTTGCTGCGCAAAGCCCACGCGTGCGCAATCCATGCGACAATCATGGCTAATCAATTGATGCAGTACCAACCTGATCATCATCCTCGGTATGATGCAGGTATCGAAGCGCATCCCCTTCGAAGACCCCCAGGTTCTCAACACGGTCCGCGCCGTCTACATCGGTAGCAATGTTGTCATTGCCCTCATCTACGCCTACATCCTGTCTCAGATCAACAAGAAGAAGGGTACGTTTATTTGCCGCGGTTGTGATGCTGTCTCGGCAGCTTTCGCCTACGTCACGCGACGCTCATTGGCCTACTTGCTAACTTCGCACAGACATGACTACTCTCAAGTACGTCGAGCCTGCGCCCATGGGCTCCTCCGAGGAGGGCAAGCTCGTCACCACCACGATCCACGCCTACGACACCGCCCAGCTCAAGCAAGCCTTCCGCGGCCAACTCATGGCCGTCGCCATGATGGGCTTCATGCACTTGTACATGAAGTACACCAACCCCCTCATGATCCAGTCCATTATCCCCGTCAAGTCCCTGTTTGAGAGCAACCTTGTCAAGATCCACCTCTACGGCCAACCCGCCTCGGGCGACCTCAAGCGCCCTTTCAAGGCTGCGGCCGGTTTCATGAGCGCTATGCAGGGAGGCCAGACTCAGAGCGACAAGAAGGCTGTCGAGGCTGCCGAGAAGGCCGGCCGCGGCGGTGCCAAGGAGGAGTAAAAACACACGCACTGGATATCAATAGACAAATGGGGAAAATGGGAGAGAATTCAACAGCGACTATTAATCATGGAATGCCACAGGTTGTACGGCGTTGCGATGCGAATGTGTAACGATTGCAAGCGTGGCGCACCCGCGCTGGAACACTAATAGACGTGCAATGCCCTTTAGCCACAAGCTGCACAAAATCATGTTTTTTAATGAGAGCTTTTGTGGTTGGTAACATGCTGTGTGATTTGCGACTTTCCTGTAGGCCTTCAGTGACGATCACGTGTAAGCGCGAGCGAGTGGCGATGGCTCCGATCGCTGGTGTGAATCTGTGAAACAGCCCCTCCGAACTAGGCTTAAGCGTCACCACTGCAACCACAGAGGTTTCTCTGTGCTGCGACAATATACACAACTATCAGGAACCGTCAAGTTGGTCAGTCGCGCCTAGCTTATTTGTTACTCTACAATGGAGCGCCCAAAGACGCCGCCGCCGACTTCACGGCCGTCCGCCAAGTCGCCACTCACACCGGACCAGCGCAAGCGCATAGTGAGTGCCGCCGCATCCTCTATAAAACGACCTTTGCTGACAAGGGCGCCCAGGAAGAAAATCGATTAAAAGCCAAGGCGATTCGCGATCAACGAGAAGCTGAGCAACGAGCGGCAGGCACTGCGCCATCGGTCCCCAAGACGGCCTCTGGCTTCGTCCCGACCGATGACGTCTACGTCTCCAAACCAGCCAACGGCAAGCGTCCTCTCGCCACCGCCGCCGCCGCCGCCGACACGGGCACGAACCGCGATGGCCGCGACCGCGGCGACGAGTCGAAGCTGCGGCCCGCCAAGAAATTTGCCAAGTTTGTCGACTACAACATGAGCGCCATGACGGACACCAAGGGCGGCTTCCTGTCCGCCGAGGACGACCCGCACAACCGCGCGCTGGGCGGCGGAGCGCCCAAGCCCGGCGACGACCAGCAGCCGCAGCGGCCCAAGGACATGACGATGCAGGAGTGGGAGAAGCTGCAGCTGCTGCGGACGCTGCGGCGGCAAAAGGCTGGCCCGTTTGAGCCAGGCATCAGCGTCCTCGACGACAAGACGACGAGGAAGAAGTGTCGCGAGTGCGGGAGCCTCGAGGTGGACTGGGTGTGGGAAGAGGTCTTTCATCTTTGCGTGTGCAACAAGTGCAAGAATAACCTGCCAGACAAGTATTCGCTCTTGACCAAGACGGAGTGCAAGCAGGATTACTTGCTCACAGATCGTAAGTTTCCTTTTTCCTTTTTTCCTCTCTCTAGACATTGAGCAGTCCACTGACCGGCGGCACAGCTGAACTGCGAGACCCAGAACTGCTTCCCCATCTATCCAAGCCCAACCCGCACAAGTCGCACTGGCACGACATGATGCTGTTTCTGCGGTGCCAGGTGGAAGAGTACGCGCTCACGACGAAATGGGGCTCGTCCGAGGCCCTGGACGCCGAGTACGAGCGCCGCGAGACGCTGAAAAAGGCCCGCAAGGAGCGCCAGTTTAGGGAGAAGCTGACGGATCTCAAGCGCAAGACGCGGACGGACGCGTTCCGCCGGCAGGCCGGCAACTTGGGCAAGACGGGCGCCAGCAAGTTTGGCGACGCAGTAGGTGGAAACGGCAAGCACGTCCATGAATGGGGGCGGACGATTGAGAATGAGCACGGCATGACGGTCAAGACGTGCACGGCGTGCGGGATGGAAGTGGAGGAGCTGGAGCTGTAAAGGATGCAAGTTTGGGCAAGAAATTTGGCATGCATCTCTGTGTATTGGCGTTGATGGATATATACCTTGGGATGATAAATTACACCTGGACATGTTTTATTTATATACATCATGACGAGTCGGTTATCGCGTGCGTTGTCTTTGTCGATGGACGCATGGCAAGCTTTAGCAACAATAGATGAATACTATCAAGTTTGAACTTTTTAGTAAAAAAAAGGCTACGATACTTGTCACAGTATATCAACCATTTCTGATCAATTCCGCAAAGTTCACGCTATTGGCCTTGGGGAAACCCGCTATTTATGTATAGGCTTCGTGCTATGGTCGCTCAAGGTAGGCGAAATGCTCTTATTCACACAAGCTAGCGAGTAAATGCTGTGGCAGCTGGTCACTCGGGACGGCAGCTCCATGAGATGATGATACACGATGATGAATACAAACAGCCCGGCCCAAGATGATTCTGCTGAAAATGAGGATACATGAGATGATGATACACGTGATGAATACACACGGCACCAACGGCCGACAATGAATCTGCTGGAGATGAGAATGCATCGCTACTAGTGTAAATGCTTATCTTTTTGTGAAGTCCGTGCCGAGGATGCCATTCAACCACTCCCCGATATGTTGGGCTGGCTGGCTCGCAAGGCCAGCGTCAGCAAGCCGCGCGGACCAGTCGTCGATATCGTACAGGGTGGCGCCGACGAGAGAAGAGACGTCTTTTTGTGCACCTTTGCTATTTACAATGTGAAATCGCTCAATGACGCCTTGCTTTGCTTCAAAGTGTATACGCTCCTAGTGAATTTTTTTTGTGTTAATTACTGCGCGGCTGCAAAGAAGGGAGAGAGAGGATGGCGTTTTTTTTTTTTTTTGGCGTTACCTCGAATGGGAGCTTTGGCCGCGGCCGGGGGTCCTGCTCCGTCGGATGGGTGCTAAACACGAACCGTGGCGTCTGACCGTAGAGCCAGCCGCGCGAGCTCATCTCTGCGTAGCCTTGCCGAATCTGCGGCACCGCCAAGGCCGCCGCTGCATCCTCGACCGTGTCGCGCACGTCGGGCCTCCCATACATTTCCTCAAACTCGCGCACCACGGCGTCCTCAAAGGCCGCGACGTCGAGATGGAGGTTCCGCACGGGGCTGCGCACGCTGTCGACGCCGCGCGCCTTGATGAAGCCTTCGGCCGGCGAGCGCAGCAGGCCCGATATCGAGTCCAGGTTGGGGCTCTGCAGGAGACAGGTGCCGTGGTGCAGCGAACGCAGCCGGGTGAGCTTGTACGCGGAGCCCGACACTTTAAAAGTGCCGCCGCCGTCGCCGTCAACGACAATGTCGTGACGCTCGTTGACGCGCGCCGTCGGGCGGCCGAGGCGGCGCAGCGCGCGAACCACCATCTCGGCGTGCTTGTTGCGGTCAAACGCGGCCGAGGGACAGATGACGCTAAAGTTGACGTTGCCCTCGTCGTGAAAGACGGTGCCGCCGCCGGAGCGCCGGCGCACAAGCCGGATCGGGGGTTGCTGGGAGGAGGCGAGGCGCGCGAGGTTGGTCTCGATCCACGGGTTCTGGTTGCGCCCAAATACGACGCAGGGCGCATTGGCGTAGAGCATGAGCACGGTGGCGTCGGTGGGCACTGTCTGTAGCAGGTAGTGCTCGATGGACAGGTTGAGCAGAGGGTCTCGAGAGCGGGAAAGGTAGATTTGCGTCCTGTTGGAGGGGCAGGCGGCGGCGGCGGTCGAGAAGGAGAAGCGAGGGGAGAGGAACGGCGAGGTGAGACGGCGCAGGAGCCGCGGCCTGTGCGCCATCGCGGGCGAGGGATGCCGTTTGGAGGGAGGGTTGAAGATGTTGGGATTTGTGTTATTGGTGATGCATGGCGTGCGATTGGCGTGAAAGCGGCGACTATGTGTCGTGACGGAGTAATGGGAGAAAGCTTGGGAGAGGTTGATGAAGAAAGCTTGAGTTGAAGATTTGCCAGGGCTGAGCTTGTGTCCAAAGGTACGTACCGATCGCTCTAAAGACGCAGGATATACAAGCAGGTGGAAGCCGCCCGTGACGGAACAAAGACGAGAAAAATTATGAGATCAAGGAAATATTTCCATTTTACTTGTTTTCTCTTTTTTCTGTAGAAAAGTTGTCACCATTCATTCATCGTGGTCAGCATAAATGGGATGTATGCCGTCACTGGACCCCTACCCCGCCAAAGAAAGAAGACTTCCAACGTCGGCTCTCTACCAAGTCAATCAGCCAGGTATTTGAAACAAGTCTCCGAACCGGCGTTGAGACTCGAATCGTTCTTCTTATTCTATCTCAAGATGAATAAATGACATTGTACGATGTCGACTTTTGGAGCTCCTTTGCAACCAGAACCAGGGCGCTACGCAATACAAGAAGAAGAAAGTTGGTGTCTTGCGAAGAGGGTATTGCTTTGCTGCATATAGACTTTCATACCAAAAAGAAAAATAGTGAAAAAAAAGAAAAAAGACGAAGCCTTATTCAACATGTCTGGTTCAGTCAAAACAGTAGTGGATTCCGCATCATGCAACCAAAAAGCGCCCTTGCTTATGCAGAGTACATGGTAGAAAAGAAAGGTAGAAAAGAAATATTCAAAACGCCTGATGCGCCAAACGGTGACATGATGCAAAACATTTCTTTACGCTGTCGCTTCCAACACCAGTAAAACACGCAAAGCAAAATGGACCAAAATGCCAAAATATACACTGCTCGCTTCTTTGCAATGCGACATCAGAAAGAAACACACGCACGTGTACAAAAGATGTCATATTTTTCAAGTTCCGTGGTTGTGCATCTCCGGGCTCTCAAACAAGCCCAGCACGTCCGTCGTCAAATCCAGCCACGACCCGCTCATTAGATCCTGTTGGAGCCCCAGCTCTTCGACGTCAATGTCGCGGCTATTAAACGTGATGCCGTCCATCTGGCCCATCATCGGCCCGCCACCCCACGTGCCAAATTGCGGCTGCTGCGTCATGGCCGCGGCGGCTGCGACAGCAGCAGCGGTGTACATGGGCTGACTGCCGTCGCCTTGCTGCGGCGGCGAAAACGCCTCGTACGGGTTCGAGTGCTGGCTTGTCGGCGTGTACGTCGGGTGTGGGGACGCAAAAATCTTGGCTTCGTCGTTGACGCCGCCGTCGAAGCGCAGCCCGGTTGGCGCCAGTCTGTGACCGCTGCTGCCACCACCGCTTTGGTGTGGCGAGTGCCGCAGTGCGGAGAGGTTGGGCTGCGGGACTGCCGGCGGAAACATGGTGCTCGTCTGCGTCGGACGGATGGGGTCGTAAATCATGTTGCCCGGGGGCGTGCCGCCCTCCTCACGGGACGCGGGCGCTGGCACGGGCGGCCTGGATGCCGACGTCGACGTTTGTGTCCTGGGTGGACCGCCGCCGGCGCCGCCACTGGTGTGGAGGGCGCTGGCGCTGTTGAGGGCGGCGGCCTGGTACATGGCGGTAAAGTTGGAGTTTGGCGAGTTGGCCGTGCCCGAGAAGCTCCACGCAAAGGCGCCGGGAGGGATGGGCGAGCCCTGGCTGTGGAGGCGGCTGAGCTGGTCGCCAATACTGGCCTGCACGGGCGGCGGCAGCATCAGCGATTTGGTGCTCTCGTACTCCTCGGTCGTGTATGTCTCAACGTCGCGCATGCCCTTTGATTTTTGGTCCAGTGCCGTCAAAAGGTACTTGATGCCGCCCCAGTAGCCGTGAATTTCCTGTAGAGAGTTGTAGCAGCGCTGGTAATTTTGCGTGGCGGCCGAGGCGAGCAGTGAGTGGCGCGAGGACCGGCCGCGGCTTGTAGTGGTGGTCGCGGCGGTAGCGGCTTTGCGGTCTGTGGCGACGGTGGCGGAGGACGGCGGCGGGGAGGCTTCGCGCGAGGGTCCCTCGGAAGCGTTGGCGCTCGATTCCATGAGAAAGGCGCCAGCGGCGATGTAGATAGGCTGACTGGTAAATGGGTTGCCAATGAAGCTCTTGGGGTCGATGAGGTCGGCAAAGGAGAGGATATCGCAGATGGTCTTGGCGCTGCTCATGCTCAGCTCGCGGCTGTCGGGCAGTAGCTGGAGCTCGCTGCGCAGCTCGCCAAAGGCCATGAGCACCGTGGGTTGGTGCAGATTGATGAAGAGGGCGTGAAACCAGAGGTGCAACAGGATAAAGATGTTGCCCTGGCCGACCTTGAGGTAGTGCTTGAAATTGTTGACGTTGAATTGCAGCCGGTGACCCCAGTTTTTGTACAGTCGCGTGAGCTGGTGCTCAAAAGCGCTGAGCTTGCTCCAGCGCTCCTGCGTCAGATCCTCGACGTTGTGAATGTAGTTGAGCACATCGGACACGCGTCCGTAGAGGTGGATGATTTGCACAAGCACGGGGAAGAGCATCGGCCAGCCCGTGCTGGGATCTGTGCTGGCCTCGGGGAATGGCAGCTCAAAGTCGTCGTCGCGTAGTGTGACGGGACGGCCTGTACCAGAAGAAATGATGCGATCAAGGACAAAGACGGCCCAAAATGTGTCGATTCGCTCCTGTTCCAGCTCTCTCTGCCCTGTCTCGCTAAGATCCCCGTCATCGCGACGCCGGTCCTCGGGGCTCTCCGGGTCATTGGTGCCGCGACTGCGCTGCTGCGTGTTCCAAGGATCCTTTTCACCCTGATACTTGATTCCCACGCGCTTCTGCAGGCCCAGGTCCAGCGCCATGCGAATGGCTAGGCCGAGGTACATCCACAGAGCGCTGTCCTGATTGGCGCCGAAGCCCTCGTAGGCCATCAAGAGGCATGCCTGGACGGCTTCGACGCTGGGACAGGCAAAGGTGTCGACGGTGGCCTGCTTGGCGCGCTGCGCAAAGACCTGGCCACGCTCGGTCCGGGGCATCTTGTTGTTGCCGCCTGTCAACGCGGGCGAGTCGGAGAAGCGGGCGGCCAGCGCGCATATCGAGTCAACAAGTATGGGCTCGACCCTCTTCTCACGGATATGGCGGAGTGCCTTTTCCTTCTTGAGAAACGGAAAGTTGCAGCCGACGTGGGTGAAGAAGATTTCGGCGAGGTGCAGGAGGAGCGGGTGGACGGGGCCAGCGGCGTTGGGATCGTACGAGGGCAGGTCGTCGACAACGACGTCGCTGTTGCCGGTCGAGCTGGAGGCAAAGACGGCGCTGTTGGTGGACAAGGGCGACGTGCCTGGATGGGAGCCGGCGCCCGAGGCGGACAGGCGACGATCTCGCACGGAGACGACCATTTGCTTGAAGCCCGGGACGATCGCGGTGGGGCCAAAGTAGCGAAAGTAGGGGATGCGGCAAGTGTAGTGTTGATTTCGGCGAAGGGCTGTCGGGGATGAGGGCAGGTCATCTGTCGAGGCTGTCCGAGGCGGGTGGCTGGAGGAGAGCGAGGGCGAGGGCTCGAGACCCGTGGGCGTGAGCTGGGCGGCGGTGGGAGGCGTGGTCATGGTGGCTGCGACACGCGGAGGGGCACCCAGAGGTAGTTGAATTGGAGAGCGATGAGGTCTCGAGTCGGTGTGAGTGGCGGGAGCGCGTGTGGCGGTATCGCGGTCTCCGGCATCACCGTCCGTTCTTCGGGAGGGCCGGTCGGGCTCGGCGCCGGTGGGCGGGCCGGGACGAGAGCGCGCAGCAGACGACGAAGCCGTGATGGGGACTGTCTCCGAATCGTTTTCGTCGATGGACTGGTCAGCGACGTCGGGGCCGTCGCGCTTATTCTCGTCGGGATAGCCCAGACACTTGTGGCCGTTTTTAGTGCAGGTCGAGCATGTCGGGCGCTCGCCGTCGCAGCGTGTCTTGCGGCGTCTGCACGTGAGACATCTGCGGGGGAGAAAGGTCCAGGATTAGCAAAACACGTATTCTGGACATTTTGGGGGGGGGGGGAGGGAGAAAAGGGCCGCCAGAAGAGGGGAGGGACGACGTACGCGGCGTTGATCCTGCGGCGCTTGGAGGGCGGCTGGCCTTGGTTGTGGACGAAGCGAATCTGCCTCGGGGCGGCGGCGGAAGAGTCCGACTTGCCAAAGGTCACATTCATGACTTGATCATGGCTATGCGAGCGGAAAGGTGGGCGGCGATCTACTGGTGAATGGATGGAGGGAAGATGAAGGGAGGTGAGCAGACTGGGCCGGTTGGGCTGGTGGTTGTCGCAAGGGAGCGGGCGGGCTCTGGTGCGTCACGATGAGTGGTTGGTGGTGGTGTTGGTAGCTCGTAGCACGTCGAAGGCGGTCGAGAGGCGGCTGAAAATGCAGACGAGTGTAGCTGAAGAGGATATGTCGGATTAGAATGAATGTTTCAGAGCATGGCGACCATGGCTGGGTGTTTGAGGAAAGAATATCGCGAGGCTGATGGGCAGAATAAAAGGCGGGTTGGGCGGCTGTCCGTTTGGCGTCGTGCAGCCCCGTTGTCAGCTGGTGTGGTACAGTGCAGCGTTAGCGATGAAGAAGATGCAGGGCGATGAAAGCAGTTTGAAAAAAATTAGGAAAAAAAAAAGACGTATGGATCTTCTAGGCTAGGACCAAGTTTCAGGGCCGCAGGTTTGTCTCGTCGGCTGCATCGACTGCGATTCCGCGACCTTACATGGTGGTGTCGGTGATGGACGTTTGGGACGGGACAAACGCCGTGCGGGTGGATGGCTAGCTCGTGCTCAACGTGTTGCTGACAGAGAGAGAAGAGATCAAAGGTGGCCAAAAACGAGCATGGTTAGATTTTGCGGTGGTGAGTAGTAAGTCAAAAGTCTGGCTCTCTTTCCTTCAAGTCTAACAAGAAAAACTGCTTCTCGTCGTCGCCTCGTCGGTGGCTTCAGCAGCCAACTTCACGTCCAGGGTGGGAGAGGCACACACACCAGCGCGAGATTGAAAGCGATGCATCATGCACCACAACAGTGCCAAGCAGCACAGAGAGGCACAGCTGCAACAGTCGGGAAATCGCAGAATTCAAGTAAACAAAAAATAAAATAAAAAACCACAGATGGATGTATTGAAATCGATTGAAATATGCGTCGTGCCCAGACTAGGCACCTACGAGCAGCACACCACATTACCACAAACCACCTCACCGTGGTTCTCAACTTGATTTGACATTCAGTCCATCTTCTAGGGTAATTCTACGCTTCCCCCCTTGTTTCAGCCCCGAATCGGCGAGATCTCCAAAATAGTGTATGTACTACAGTCAATCGGACAAAACAGTCAATAGAGTCTACCACGAAATTAGTTATCATGATCTGCGCACTGGTCATGAATGAACAAGACGTCGACTTTGCGGTCTTGCGCTTCTTGCTCATCCCATGTCCGCAGGACCTTGTCTTTGGTCTCTCTCATTTTTCTGTCCACAAACGCCTCCATGGCCATCTTTTCCGCATGATTCAACAGTTCTACCCTTGCTCTCCAATGCGGTTCTCGGCTGTCAGGTGTATGTGGCCGCTCGCCAAAGAATCTTTCATCCAAGTACCTCCAGAAAACGCTGTCAAATGCCCAACTTTTCCGCGCGGCATAGTTGAGCCAGAATCGACCAGTCGTCCAGCTGTCTTGCATGTACTCGGAAAGTAGGTAGTCACTTGGCGTCTCGGCTGAATCCTGCTCTGCCCTTTTCATGGCCCGAAGCCAGATATCCAGACATCGGCCATATTGTTGCGCCCAATCCTCCATTCCCGAGTGCCACATCTCGGGTACATCCAACAATAACCACCAAGGCGGGTCAAGGACGAATTGCGTTGGAGCAACATATGTAAATTCCCAGTCAATGATTGTGCTGCCATTGCCGCGCTCTTTGTGTAACAGCATATTGGCGGGTCGAAAATCATCACACCAGATATGGAACGGTCCTGTATTGCTTGGAGCTCTGCATCGCCCGCGCAGACTGCCCTTTGACTGAGCGGACCATGTATCGTCGCTGAAACCAAAGGTCGATAGCTTACCGGCGCGAGCAAGCTCCAGGAACAGGTGGCGAGCAACATACTTGCTTCGACAGTCGTCTTCATCTTTGACAAGGTCATTGTGCTGAAAGGCGAGCTGCAGCATGTGCATTTCCGCCAAAGCAATATACCAGTCATCCGCCGTGTGATAGACTTTGTCATGAGCCGGCAGCACACTGGGTGGTATATTGGCGAGATATGTCATGTTGTACATGTTTTGAGTGAGTGGCCTGCCGCCCACCTCAAAATCACCTTGCGGACTCTGGGTGAACGACCCGATAGCTGGAAAGCTTGGCTGGAAGAGACGCCGTAGATGGACTGCGACGTCATATAGGTGAGCCTCGAGTTCACAACCAGCCATATCCATGTTCAGGACCGGAGCTTCCTCCTTGTTTTCGTTGGGCTGCGCTAAAGCGCGCGATAGCAGCCCAGTGTTTTCAATAAATTCGAGAATGATGTAGTGGCCAAGGTTGGCATGCTGGCCTGAGGAGAACAGCGTGGGAATGGAAACGTTTGTGTGCTGTGACAGAAACTTGATCGTCGCAGTTTCCAAAGACGTTTTTTCCCCAGCAAAGTGAGCCACATGAGGACTTGGCAGACGAAGCACCACCCTTGAATTTGACGCCGCAAGCTCAAAGACAAACACAATGTTCCATCCGCCAATATTCACAGGGCTTATCCATCTTGCCTCTTGGGCAAAAGTTGCCTGCACGACATCTTGGAGGCTTTTGATCGTGGAGAGACGGAAAAGTTGTTTCTGCAGCTGGTCTCTCTGTTGATCAAATCGGTCCCAGGCGAGTTCGTCGTAATCTGCTCGGTCCTCCATGTCGCAAGTGAAGTTGTCGTAACACGGAGTGGAGGCCCAACGGAGCTCGACAGCTGTCATTGCCGCTACACGTGCAATCTATCAATTAAGAGAGCCTGCACCGTCCACATGTGCAGCAGGCGTACATGTGTCGTTTGCTGTTCAAGTAGATGCGCCAAAATTATCTGGCCATTACAAGAAAAAGAGTGACCTCTTTATATAAATACGGCAAGGTCAGATCTGGCGTGTGTTTCCTGACATAACTAAGTCTCTGTCATGTTTTCTCCCGTTGAGCATGTTTTCGAGGCATGTCGTAGTGAAAACACACTTTTCATCCTAATTTATAATTTTCTGACAATACATCCGATAAGCGTGAATCTCTCAGTAAAATCATCTCCAATTTCCCATACAGTGCTGCTCGGAATTATCCGACTCACCATGGTCGTCAGTGCCGTTATCAGTAAAGTTCCTCTCCCGCTAAAGAACTTGGGCAGAGGGCCCTAATAAGGTACCTACGTAGTGGCCATCACACTTGAAGTGAATGACATCGCATTATCTCAGTTTGTGCAACCAGGCCCACGCATCAGTCGCGTCGCACAATTGATCTCGTGGCCGTTCTGATTTGCTCATCTGCCCTTCGTTGGCGTGTCATCAGTCATTGTCGCGCCCAACTTCGTATGATTGAGCGCCCGACTCCTCTTCAAGCATCGTTTACACACAACACATCAACGACACATGGCATCACATACAATCCTGCAACAACCACCACAAAGCAACCAAGAAGCAAACACATTGAATTTATATTATGAGATATGTACTATGATTTCATTTGTGCAATGTAATGCGTAGACTGTTCACCGCATTAGCACCATCTAGCCATCATCAATGGCCCTCTGACCTGCCTCGTCGTCTCCTCACCCAAACACAACCGCCAGTCCCATATCCTTACAGACCTGCCGCCACAGATCCTCCTCTCCAAACCCTCCCGATATTTTCCCACCCTCCATTATACTCTCTCCTATATCCTCCGCGCCGCCTCCCTCATTCCCCTCCGCTTCCGCTTCCGCCTCCGCCACATCCGCCCGCCGCCACACCTCCCTCACAATCTGCCACGACTGCTCGATATTCGCCATCCCCTGGTGCTTATCGATGCCTGCAAACGCCCTCGTCGCCAGCGCCCGGTCCTCCTCAGTTCGCGCCTCGCACGCCGCCACAAATAGCGGCCACAGCAGCGCTCCCATTGGTCCCGCGCTCTCCACCGCCTCGACACAGCACGCCAGGCTCGCCCGCATGTGCCGTTGCACCGTCGCGTCTTCGCGCCGCAGCCCGCGGATGCTCCGGTAGAGGTGCACCAGCGACGAGTGCCGGTACGCGCGCGCGTTGCTAAAGATTCCGCGGAGAGGACCCGTGGTGGTCGTCGTGGTGAGGGCGGTGGTGTTGTTGGCGTCGTGGTCCGGGGAGGATAGCCGCTCGGGCTCCCACGCGACGAGGGCGGCTTCAATGGCGGCCGCCTCCGCGTCGAGCTCTGCGCGGAGTTGAGCGGCGCGGTCAGAATTGCCAATGGATGCAGCGTCGAGCACGCGGTCTTTGAGTGCGCCGAGGTTGGAAAGCCGGTGTACAATAGGCCATAGCGACGTCGCCATGCCGAGGAGGGTATCGGCGCTGCCGGCGGGCTGCGGGGTGCCTCTGCTGTCAAAGGGCAGCAAGTGGCCCATGCCACCGGGTGCGGGAGCGGGTGAGAGGGTCGGCGTTCGGAAAGAAAGCGCCGCAATAACGTCGTAGAACCGGAACGCCTGTTTGTCATTAGCCCGTGAATCTGTAATCGTGGGCATGCCAAGAGAAACTCACACGCTCGAGAAACGCTCTGGTTGGATCTGATGTTGCGGGACCGCTATTTAGAATAGCCAGAGCACCTTTCAAATGTCCATCAACGATCTGAGACCGTTCACGATGCACCAACTACAAAGAAACAATCAGTCCCCAACCAGAGTTCCATTTCCTACAATTTTGCACACTCACCACTTCGTAGTATATCAGCAGAATAACAGCCGCCAGCAGCTCATTCTGGTTACCCTCTGCGCCCTTTTCAATCAAGCCCGCCAAGTTGCGCGCCGCCTCGGAGTGAAATTCGATGCTCGTCCAGCTGCTGCCGCCGACGTCTGCGGCAGCGCCGCCGGCGCCACGAAACTCGAGGTGTGCGCTCGACAATGCGTAGATGGCGCTCGCCACCGCGGGGCTGCGCCGCGACATGGGTAGCACCAGCCGCTGAAACGGGTTGCCGCCCTCGGCGTCCTCGCGCAGCACAATGAGCCGCGACAGCACGCGCGCAAAGTGGTCCAACAGTCCACGCCGGCCCTTGATGGTGGTGAATTCCGAAAACAGCGGCATATTGAGCTCCAGGTGAGGCGTGGCGTAAAAGGCGCCCGCGTGGCGGCGGGGGCGGTGCGTCGTCGACGGCGACGACCATTTGGTGAGGGCACTGGCGTGGGGGGCGCGCGTGTCGAGTCCGGCCACGTCACGAGTATCAGCGGCCGTGCTCGTTGTCGAGTCATTGTCGGCCAATTCAGCCAATTCGTTGGCGTCGCCGACAATTGCGCCGAGACAGCTATCGTCCAGTATCGGCGTGGGCGGAGACAGCGACGGCTCTGCTACGCTGTTTTGCCGCACAACAAGGTTGGACGATGTAGAGGCGCTCTCTGCGAGGGCAGATTCGGCCTCAATCTGCGCGGCGGTCCTCCGCTGCCGCGGCCTCGGCGGCCCGTAGACGCATTCTTGGTCAGCCTCTTTGCATCGCGCGCAGACGGGACGGCCTTCGTCGCACTTTTTTTTCTAGAAACACATCGGCGTCAGATTGGATATTTATGCAGTTCCGCTGCTGGACGGTAGCCTACTTTCACTCTGCTTTTGGCGAATCGTCAGTAGTGGTCGGGATGAGCTGTCAGAAAAGGCGACGTACCAGAAATCACAACCTGATTCAGCAAAAACAAGACAATGAGATTTTGTAAGAAAAAAAAAAGGAAAGAAACAGGCTGAGACTTACCCGCTCGCGAGCGTTTCTTGGGTATTTTGGGCAGCGCCCGTTTGGTATACAGCAACATGTCGTCGTTGCGATCGCTTCCTAGTTGAGTTTTCGGCCGCAGACGAGGCGTCTGCAAACCCGCTTCACATGCTCCAGTAGATGTCTCGACAATGCCTGGGTGGCCAGTGCGCGTGTCCCTATTCCCACGACGTACGGTTGAGGATGCTATCCCGTGGCGATTTGACAGATGTTTTGTCAGAATCGAATCTTCGAGGGGCGGGGCGCCATCTCATAGGGTTTTGTACAGGCGAGCATGACTCGTGTTATTAAGCGGCGTCGTTTTCTCGGCGCCTCCACACGCACGCGGCATCTGGGTACGGAGCATCCTGATTGGCAAAACGGCGCGGAAGTTGACGGGGCGGTGCGCCATTGACCTATAATCCGTGGCTACTATACATGCAAAACATGGGATGATCTGTCAATAATTGAGTCATGAGAGTCTTGATTCGTAAAGGTCGTTGCAACCATCCTGTAGAGAGTACACAGGTATCAAAAGACACAACTTGCAAAGCATTATTTGTAGCGTGTGGACATTGTCGAAAAGCCTCAACAAATCAGTATACCAACGAGTAACACCAACATGCAACATAATAAGCATTGCACACAAAGAAAACCACCGATATATCAAACCACTGACGCCCCTTCATATCCCACAAATGCCTGGACGACTTGCGGTACCCACGTTGAACGCTATGCCATTGGAGCAAACGGCTCATCCCAGCAGTCTTCCCAGCCACGCTTGCCAGATGCCCAGAATCCGCGCAGCTTTTCAATGTAATGTTTGGGCACGTAAAAACATTCCATCGGCTCCCCTTCGCTGTCCCGAAATGTGGAGAGGACAAGTTCCCTGTCCTCATCGGAGCCGTCGGCAACCGCCACACCCGCAACTGCCACGGGCCAGCACAGCGCGGCTTTGGAACGCAGGACGCCAAGCGCCTCACGCATGAGCTGCATCAATTCTTGGCGTAGCTCAGCCCTGATTATAGCCCATGATTCCAGAACTTCAAATCTCGATACCGACGGCGGCGGCGGCGGCAGGGACAGGATGGCATAGAGCGCAACCGAGCACTTGAAAACGCGCGCCATCAGCACGAATTCGGCCTGATCCGGCACGCCGTAAGGTTCGTCCCAGGTTTCAGGAATAAAAGAAGCGATACAATTTAGCACGTCGCGCACAACAGGAGCAATAGCGCGGTCATAGCCGACCCCAGTCATGGCCAGCCGACGCAGCTCCGTGACGCGAAGCATTTCCAGAAAGAGGGAGCTTGGGCAGGGCATTTCTGCATACATCTGGACGGAGTAATAATCGACTAATTGGGCTAAAGTAAAATTGTCAAGCTCCTCGATTTGGTCACAAGCAGGACTCGTCGTATTGGCAATCGCAGCCGTGCTACGCCCTCGGTTAGTTCAGGTATAGGCCATTTTTTATAATGGCGCAATGCTTGGGAGAGTGAACGTTCTTACATGACGTGGAATTGCGTGGCAGTCTTCAAGACTGGAGACGGGGGCAGAACGATATCAGACTTGATGCAATTGTCGAGAACGGCGAGGAACCCTGAAACATGAGCACGCCAAGCTGTACCGAGCAGGGTGAGCTCGACGCTAAGCAGGTCCGTAATGCGGAGGAGAGCCAGCACCTTGCAATAGGGAGCGCCGCCTTCAAGGTTTGCATTGATTTCCTGGATACTACATACCATGGATGAGTGTAAATGATTCCAGAGGGGCGTAATGGAATTCATGTGCGAAGGGTGTGGTAGTATGTCGAGGGCACGGCTTATCAGACCGATACGATGGGCCGTCATGGCCAGGAGAAATGAAGGACGGTGACGAGTAGCAAGATTGAGGACGCCAGCCTGAGGAAAGTCAATGTCGCGCTGACGCACAGGCAATATTGTCTCGATATCTGCAGCACCGAAGATTGATGATTTCAGACTAGGAAACAATCAGAATGAACAGGGGACGGTGCGTACAGTAACGACATGACTCCATGAAATCCCAGTCGGGAGGCACGATCCGACTTTCTACGACAAGTTGGAGAGACTCAAGAGCGGCAGTGGTTCTGCGGACATGATAGGATTTCTGAACCGCAGAGGCGGCATAGGTGGCAGAGGTTGTGGCTGTCAGGTAGCCGTCGCAGACGTAGCCATAAGCTGTGCAGCGCTTGCAATGCGGCTTTGTTTCGTCGCACTTGACGCGGCGAACACTGTAAATTCGGAGTTAGAACGCTAACAGCTGGGGGTGGCGATATCAGGTGCTCTGGAATTTATCTATAACAGACTGACCGGCAAGTGACGCAGCCCGTCTTGACCTTGGGAGCCCATCGCTTTCGTCGAAGGCGCGGCTGGTCGTCATTGGGGCTCGAGTCGAGGCTGTTATCGCTGGAAGGACTCAGTTTCCGATTCTCTCGCTTCTTGGGCATTTTGAGTTGCATCAAAGGTTGCGTGGACAAGCGGCCATGCTCTTTGTTAAATGGGTGCTTCGGTCAGGGCAGGTGTAGACTGGCGGGCGTGCAAGCGGGCGCATGGTTTTGATCAGTAATATTGCGATTCCCCGCCAATTGCAAACAAGCAGTCCTCATGCGAGTTCAATGAGCGAAAGGGACCTAAATGTAGGAAGTTTGAAGGCCATGACTGCGGGCGCACATGGGAACCGACTATGTATTCGTGGCAAGTGCAAGGCCAAGAGCTGGGACAGGCGCATGAGGCGTCAGCGGTAAGCAAAGGAATAGATGACGTTGTGCGAGGTCTGAGTGTCTGGGATGAACGACACGATCGTACATTATGGCCACGATCGTACATTGTGACATGTCATGTAGGGGTGCCTGTAGGTGGAGGATGCTTGTGGCTGAGAGGAGAAGCCAGGGTCGATTCCACACCTGGAAGTTGTCCGCTTGCTCTCACGATGCTGAGAGGCCACCAGGTTGCCGTAATTTGCGTGTGGTGTGATTCTTGTTGATGGATCAAAGTGATGCGTAGTGCGTAGGCAAGACAAGTAGTAGTTAAAAAGTGCATGAATGATATCGAGGTAAAAGGGGACCTTGGTGGGGGGCTAATGCAGTGGGCAAGACCCTGAAATGTTGTTTTGTAGCTCAGTTTAGCGCACTTTAGCGCACTTTAGCGGGCTGTCAGGCAATCAGGGTACCTGAACATAGGTACCTTCCTAGGTAGCTACGTAGGTAGGTAGTTTAGGTAGCGACTACTTCTCCCTCGGTGTGTGCCCAGCTGTCAGCTGAGCAGTCAGCACCAAAAAGGTCTGGGTATGTGGGTACCTACCTAGGTAGGTACGGAGTAGTAAATAGGGTAGGGTCCAAGGTAATTCGGTAAAATCAGAGCAACCGCCATCAAATCCCCATACAACCAACGGCCTGAACGGCTGCTCGGAATCACCCAGACGCTTTTACGGAGTACAGTGGGGTGGGGGTACCGGGAGGCTGGCAGCGGGCGTCGTCTTTTGCCTAGGTAATTACTACCTGTAAAAAATACTCCTGGCAAGCCTTTTTGCCCGATCTTCATATACGACACCGATCCTCGCCATCGTGATTTTCTTTCTTCACTTGCCTCTCCTCAATTGGCTGTCCTCCTTTGACTCCGCAGCGCCCCAACGCGCGTTGCCGCCCGTTCAACTCGGTCCTGCTGCAACCATGTGCATGTTGGAGCCTCGATGCCTCGCCTTTTCGTGCCTAATACATTGCCTATAACTAGAATGGTCGGAAAACCGTCCTATTTTTTGTATGCTCCGAGTGCCTGGTTTATTAACCCTAAAATAGCGACAAGAAGCAGGCAAAATCTGACCGCCAGTCACTGATCCGATACCTTGGCGTTTTTCTGCGGAGTTGATTATAGCTGTGCCAGAAAGTCTGTTTTCTCCAATAGATCCGATTGGTTCATTCAAGTTCATTTACCGGCCGAGTCTCTTCGCATACAGAAAGCACAGACACAGTTGACTGTCCAATCCCGACAATTCAAAAGCCATACATGTCCACCCAAGAGTCCACAAATCTTCAAGCAATGAAATCACCTTTGAACAACCTAACTTTGATCAACGTTGAACCAAGTAACCGAGCAAGAGCTACGGATTAGTTACCACGAAGCTTCACGCTAGCGTCAGATAAGATCCTCAGCTGGCAATCTTGCCTCGAGTTAGAGTGCAGAAGTGCAGATGGGGCTGTCAACAGTTGCCATGTGCACAAATCATAGGCTCGGCGGCAACTGTTTAGCGCCGGCCAACCTAATGAATACGAACCGCATTAATGCTCTAGTCGTTGATCAGCTGCTGTCTCAGTGCTTACAGCCTGCATGAGGAGCGTACCGTGCGTTTTCCACCTAATTTACCCTCATATTTGTAAATCTATAAAGAAGAGGACCCTAGTCGGCAATTGCTACTCCGTTTCGTAGGTAGTCGTCGTTGTCGTCGTCACCTTCATTACAGCCATGCAGCTTGCAAGTCTCACATTGGCCACGGCCGCAACTCTGGTCCGTTTAACCGTGTGATAACAACGCGCTTGCGCCTCAGCCAGCCACGGCTAACCAATCTTCCGACAGCTCCCTCTCGCCACTGCCGCCCCGGCCGAGGCCAAAGCTACCGATAACATTTCCAGCTGTGGCCCAGCCTGGATGCCCAGGGAAGATGTGACAATTGGCCAGGGCACTGACAAGCGCCGAGGCTTCTCCTCTGCCGTGCAGGCCTTTTGCTCTGCTGCCAACGGAAAGACTGTCAAGCCCAATGGCTATCTTTCATTTTCCACCGAGGTCTTTCTCAACGGTGGCAAAAATCCTTCAGAGTATGGCATCCAGGGTTTCGTGAATTGTACGTCTGCAAAGATTTCAAGTTCCAGTACAAACACGCGCTCCTCGCTGACATGCGCCACCTTCAGTTGAGGTTCACAACAAGATCAACTCCGACCACACAATTGCCAGTATGCAATCATCGTCACCTTTGCGAAAAACTCAAGCATTAACAAGGAATCAGAAAACGACTGCGTCAAATACTTTAACGCTCTCAGCGCAGACGGTGGTCAATGCTCTGGCGCCGACAACAAGGACACCAAGGGCGGAACGTGGCAGGTCGGCCCTAATGGCATCTCCTACCATGCTCTGGGCTATGAGACACCTCCCAAGGAAAATGCCGTGAACAAGATTTTCGAGGGCTCTGCCATTTCTGCCCAGAGCGCCAACAAGGGTGCCGGCCCTCCTTTGAGCCCATGGCCGTTTGATTCTCTCAACAACATCAAGCCAGTTGCTTGCCACAGCCACAACGACTACGACCGAGACGTTCCCGTCTTTTCCGCCTTTAGCGCCGGGTGTATCGCCATTGAAGCCGACGTCTTTCTTTCCGGCGGCGATGTCATCATCGGCCACATTTTTCCGACCCCCGGCCGGACCTTGCGTGTCCAGTACACAGAGCCCCTTCGCGCCATCCTCGACCACAACAACGGCGGCTCTCCCGGCGAGAACGGAATCTACAAGGCCCGTCCGGAACAGAAGATTGTGCTCATGGTGGACTTTAAGACATCCGATACCAAGACACTTGACGCTGTCGTTGCTGCTCTGCAGCCTCTCCGTGACGGCAACTACCTGAGCCACGTCGCTGGGGGCAGATTTGTCCAGCGGGCTGTTACGGTCGTGGCCAGCGGCAACGCCCCCTTTGACCGCATCAACTCGGGCTCCGGTGTACCGAACCGTGATGTGTTTTATGATGCCAGCCTCGGCAATCTCGAGTCCAAGTACAACACGCTCAACTCTTACTATGCGTCGGCCGACTTTGAGGATACCATTGGTAGCCCGGGCAGCGCTGGTGCCTTTTCTGATGCGCAAAAAGCCAAGGTCAAGTCTCAAGTGGACGCTGCACACGCGGCTGGACTCAAGGTCCGCTACTGTAAGTGGCTTGCTGTTCTGTAATGGCCGGAAGCGATGCACTAACATTGCTTGTGACAGGGAATCTGCCCGGCGAATACATGTGGGAGCCCTTGGCGGCCCTCGGTGTTGATTATCTCAATGCAGATGACATGTCCAACACGGCAAGACTTGAGCGCATTCAGTAAAGAGCAGCAGCTGCGATGTACACGGCAACGATTTATTGATGCTACGATACCATACAGCTCAGAGAAAGCAATGACGATTTACGTCCAACGCAAACTTACTATAGTACGAAAAAGCTGCCTCGTTTAATCTCTGAAGTCCTGAGCAACAAATCACTACCTTTGTGACAATCAAATCTGGCCAGTCGTTGCACTGGCACCTGGCATATCAACAGCCACCTCTTTTGCTGCCCTTGTGCTGGTGACACGTAGCATGAGATTCTTCCACCTGTTCAATTTAGATAACACTTTTTTGCAGTCGTCCAACACGGTTGATTTGTTCCCTTTAATCTATTGTGGCAGGGTGTGAGTTTCATCACTGCCCAATCACATTAGAGCATTCCTCCCTCGCGACGACCGGGTTGAGTAACGGGCAATATACTGGTATCCCGCCCCCACGAGACCAGAACCCAGCATTCCCGTTGAGACCTCCTTGTGGCCCCATCAGGAAGCTGCCATGTCCCGAAATGCATCTGAGCGGGCCCGACAGCAAATAAGACGGGATCAGGCAACGTGTGTCAGTCGAAATGCGAGATCCTTGCAAGTGTGCATGAATGCAAAACTTGCGACGCGGGAACCCCCCTCTCCAAGGTGCGGGGGATGCCACGGCCCATGATTCGCCTCATGCAATCTGAGAGAAAGTGTCGCGCATGCATGTAAGTCAAGCCACAGAAACGTGAGTGATGCTTGATGGCATTCCTGTTTCGTCTTGGTGGTGGACAAAAAGGGCGAATCATCAAGGACATCATCACCCTATTGAGTTGAACAATCAAGTCGGGCTGCCCAGTAAGTTAACGTTACGAGCGGAGCAACTCGTCGACTACAAACCAGCCCTCCCAATCTATTGTTCGTCCAGACTAGCGCTACGCAACGCGTGCACCAGACCAAAGGCGGCAAAAATGGCTTTGCCCATGTGGACGGTTGCACATGGGAGCGCCTTGGTTTATTTAGTTAGTCTCGTCAGCTAGTTTAGCTCCATTGGCCAAGCACGCAGCTCCTCCACAACGGCCAAGTCTGGTGTCTCTCCGTATGTCATCCAAAGTCCCTCTTCGCCCTTTTCGGTCATGGGTAGTTGCGGGAGGGGCCAGAAAAAGGGCTTGGCTGTGACATGAGAAGTCATGCCAACCGCCCGCCCTTGGCCCGGGCCTAGCATCGGTTCTTTGGTGGCAATGGAACCTATAAAGTAAAAAAGCAACTTCCCGATTCGGTAGTATCAAGCCGTATGTATCCCCTGTCATGGCATCGAAGCTGACGCATTCGGAAGTTGTGTACACGGGTCACGGTTGGTTATCGTTGCAAGACTGATGGTCTCGCGAGGGTTACATTGCGGACTCGTGGTCTATTGTTCATATGAATGGTGACATTTCAGGATCGTCACTTTTGTATGGATGAGCCAGAGAAAGCTTGAGCAGTCATTTCCACCAGAACTGGTCCGATGCTGCTGCCAAGAGGGCTCTATCACAGGCTATTATGACGTCTCCTCGAAAGCCAGCAGACAAATGATAACTCGAGTGCAACATCTTGAGGATAGATATCAGAAAGTACATAAAGGGGCACCTCGATCCTACAAAATGTTGATGCCATCGATAGCACCAACAAGAAGTTGCAATCCCAATCTCACTCTTACTCTCCTTTTTGACCACTCTCCTTTGACTCCCCCACGCAGTCATGCAGCTTCCTCTTCTTTCCCTGCCCGCCCTCATGGGCTTCGTCTCCCTGACCGCCGCGCACATGCAAATGACGAACCCGGCCCCCTTCCGCTCCAAGCACAACCCCTACACCACCGACGTTGACTGGAGCATGAACGGGCCGCTCGAGGCCAGCGGCGCCAACTTCCCCTGCAAGGGCTACCACCGCCTCCTCAACACGCCGCAGGGCCGCTCCGTCGCGACCTGGAGGGCCGGCGGCAGCTACACTTTCAGCGTCGAGGGCTCCGCGACGCACAACGGCGGCAGCTGCCAGGTCTCGCTCTCGTACGACGGCGGCAAGACGTTTACCGCCATCCGCTCGTACGTCGGCGGCTGCCCGCTCAAGAGCACCTGGCCGTTTACGCTGCCCAACGACACGCCCGCCGGCGAGGCCCTCTTTGCGTGGTCCTGGTTCAACAACCTCGGCAACCGCGAAATGTACATGAATTGCGCGCACGTCACCATTCAGCCCCGTGACAGCGCCGCCGTCGCCGCCGACGCCGACGCCGACGCCGCGGCGATTGATGAGCGCAGTCCCGCTGATCCGTTTGCCTCCCGTCCGGCCATGTTTACTGCCAATGTCAACAATGGCTGCTCGACGGTCGAGACGTTTGACGTGCTCTTCCCTCAGCCAGGTCCGGATGTCGACAACATCTCACGCAGGACGTCGCCTCCTCGTGGCAAGTGCAACTAAGACACTGGGACGATGTGAGCGTTTTGATATTTGGCCGATGGGGTCTGAAGATGAGTTCTGAAGTGGCAACTCTGTGAGAATATGGCCCCGTCACGTTTGGTGGGGTATGGAGAGATTCTTGCCACATGCTGCTGAGCAGCGATTTTTGTAAATAGTGTGGGCAAGATCATTATGGGTTCGTTGTATGTAGACAAGTTCACAGTCGTTTCAATCAGAAGATTCTGCAGTGCGTCCAAGCCGATTCTTTTTCGAACGCTGAAAATGGCCAAGTTTTCCACTCAAGACGTGACCGTCTCCGATCAAGATGATGAGTCGGTGCACCGCCGATCAAGAATCAATGCGACGAACTGATCTATCATGCAGTCTTTTATCTTTCCTTATCATAGCTTGGTCGCTGCCCATGCTCTGCAGGCTTCCGCCATCGTCGGCCAGTGTCAGTAGGCCGTCTCGGTGCGGCATGAGGGGTACTAAAACGCCCTCGACCTCGGTATCAGATTCCTGCTCTGGCGTTGTCGCCTCTGCGCTTGCACCCGCATCATCGCCGCTACCATCCCGCGATCGCAGTACCGACATGGCGAAGCTATCGATGCTGCGGCGGCGGCGGTGGGGGCCGACGGCGGCGTCCTGGCTGCCGTCTCCCGAGCGGGGGTCGTCGCCGGTGCCCATCTTGGTGGTTGCGCCAAAGTCATTGTTAAAGGCCTGCAGAAACTGGCGGAAGCAGGGAAAGGTGGCGGCCATGATGGAAAAGTGCATGACGACCTGCGTCACGATGGTGGTGTCGGCGAGGGTGAACATGACGGAGGAGCTGCCGCCGCCGCCGCCGCCGCCACCGCCGTGGGACTGGTAGTTGCGGAGGGCGTCGCGGAGGAGGACGAGACGGTAGCTGACGGGGATGGCGACGAGGAGCTGTGCGGAAAAGGCGGATACGACGATGAATTTGGTCCGCAGGGCCATGTCGAGCCCGAGGACGAGGGAGAAGGCGAGACCGGAAATGAGGACCTCTATCACTATACTGAATGTTTCGACGGCGAGCCAGCGCGGGAACTACAGGGCAAGTTTTAGACGAAGTCAGTGGCGGCCAAGGGGGTTAAGCTGGCATCAGCGGCACTTTATTGGGTGGGGGAAACGTACCAGCCCTTTGCAGTGTCCAGCTGCGGTCAGATCCCACGGTCGTGTGCTCCCGCATTGTAATGCGACGATGAATACCGAGGCTAAGCCCCAAGCGAAGATGATGCCGGTGACAATACGCGTGCCGAGCAGGTGCTTGTCAGCAGCCTGTCGGCTCACTCTGGTTATGAGCAACGACATGGATGCTTTTGCCGGGCAGATGGCCATAATGTACATGATTGTGCTGGCATAATACGCCTGCGCCGTGTAAGTAAGAAGAGTTTGCCCAATCGAAATGTTTGCGACGGGCTAACCTTTAGTGCAGAATCCATGCTGTCCGCGAAGGCGTCATTGTTCCGGACGCCAACGCCTTCGCGGACAGCGTATAGGACAGTCGCAGTCTGGCAGACGCCAATCAACTATGCACGGCGGCAACGAGTTACGTGTTAGTATTTCCGAGAATGCTGCCAAAACGAAAACTGTGCTTGAGCGGGGATTGTTCATGCGGCGGCGGCGGCACGTACAGTAGCCAGCGAGGCGGCGGCATCATCCGAGCCAAAGGGTCCGGTCAGCCGGACGCGGATAAAGACGCGGATGCACAAGACGAGGACGCTCCAGATGAGACCGACAATGGCGACAATGACAATGTAGGCTCTGTGGTCGTCGGGACCAGCGGGCAGGTGGTTGTTGACGCCCGCGCCGGCCATGTATCTGCCGGAGAGACTTTGATGAGGCGGCGGTGAAGTCGGGAGAGGGCTCTCAATCGACAGAGAGAGCAGAGCTCGGCGGACAGGGGGAAAAGGACAAAGATGGGAAGAAGAAAGGAATTAAAGTGCCTACCGCCCAGCCATGGTGTACCGGAGCACAAGCGAAAAAAAAGAGACCTTGCTGGGTTAAGTCGTCGGGAGAAGGAGAATTTCGTCAAGAGAGGAGTCGGCGGAGAGGAGGAGCCGGAGGAGATGGATGGCGGAGACGGATAGACGGATAGTGAGCCGAGCTCCGAATTATAACTATCCTTGCAGACCGGGAAAGATGGTTGGATTGGAAAAGATGGAGTTGTGCAGATGAGAAGATGAGATTGATGAAATAATACATGGGCGTAGGAGTCCAGCAACAGCTACATAGGCAGATGATTAATAAAATAGCCAAGATTAGCAACCCCACGAAAGGTCACGTACAACAGCTCGTAGTTACAGAAGAAAGAAGAAGAAAAAAAAAGGGCCAAAAGCGAAAAGACGACAGCAACTAACTAGACAGGAAGCGGGTTGCGGCACAGACCAAAATGGGACAAGACCCCCATCGTGTGATTTAATGTAGGAATTTGACCGGATGAAAAGGGCCCCGCCGATGATAAGGACGGGAATTGCCAATATACAAGTTTATTGGCATTCACTGTTGATGCTGTGACGGCAATGGCTTCTATATTACGAACGACGACGAGAGGCAAGCCACAGTTGGCGACAGCCGAGCCGGATCTGGATTCATTCTCCTTTCGTTCTTTTTTTTTTTTTTTTTTTTCGCCTTGGCCGGGAGGCGGGAGGCGGGCCGTCAAGGGCAAGAGATCCAAAACCCCATGAGCCAAGCCTAGACAATCGAGTTGCCAAGGTCTTGTCTTGCTGGGTTGGTCTTGGGAATCCGAACCACTTGGTTCCGGACATTTTAATCTACAATACGGAGTACTTTTCTTTTGTATCATCAACTCGAATACTGATACGATGAGCCGGGTTTTTATCTGGTGAGTAATTCATTTACTATGAGCAATTTCGTGTCAAGTTTTTTAGTAATAACATGCCGACGGAATACGCCGCGCCCCATCTTTGCATTGATGGGCTCTCCGCTGCAAAAATCCACAGGACTGCTGCTGGAAAAACATTGACCGCGGACAACTGTTTTGCGCCGTGGCAAATGGCTAGATATGCGCGGCGAGGTTTTCATGGATGGTTTTTTTTTACGATGATTGTGGACAAGCTCATCTTAATCGTGCACAAATGGCGTCAATGTGTGGACACTAGACACCATGTGCACATCGACAGGGTGACGTGCATTGAGGTCATAATGTACGTTTAATTTTTTATGCACTGGCCGCGGTGTAACCCATCTTCTCGTGACGGAAATGAAAAAAGTAAACAAAAGACCAAAAAAACAAGAAATAATCGAGACTAGTCAACTAACTAAATAATAATACTGGTCACATCTTGTTAGGCTCAACGCACCGATCGGTGGGCGCATAGCGAGGCTCAGGGTAATAAAGGCGGACGATATAATAACGGCGCAATTATCGATTTAATTTCAAGGCTAGATACAGTTATTATTTCCCACCTGAATAGTAGCAGAGATTTCTCGTGCGGCAAAGACTATCGGCAAAAAAAAAAAAAAAAAAAAAAAAAAGGGAGGAACTTGTACTCTCACACAACTCGTACTTGTGGCTCGTAACATAGGCGCATAGTCTGAAGGCGGCCGAGTCGCCACACACAAGATTCAAGATAGATTTAAAAAGTCTCACGCAGTACAATCAATCTAGGCCAAGATTGGGGTATTGTCTGTGTGCTGAAGGGCTGAACATGGAATCGGCACGCCAGCCGCGCGCCACCTGTTTCGGGTGAGCCAAAGGCTGAATATCAGCCGCAGCTGATGTTTCTTCTTCTTCTTCTTCTTTTTCCATACTGATATGACAATGCCTGTTGATTCGATTGAAAACAAACCTGTATTTGAGCTGGGGCTCTCCCGCCAAGAGAAGGGGGATCCTTCTCTCGCCAAGGAGTTTGTTTTTCCCTGCTGTCGCTTCTTACCCATTGCCCGACCTTGTCAACCCTCTCTTCTTCTCCACCACTAACGAGGGGGATAAAAAGAGAGAGAAAGAGAGAGAGAAAAGGACAATTTTGCAACGAACCTCTGTTTTGGCTTTGTCTCTACTAGCATAGTCTTTCTCTTGTTTGTTCTCGCTGCTTAATACCTTTGGAAAATTTGCGTGCTCACGCTTGCAAACGATTGCGTGCGAAACCAGCATCTAGTGGACGGCCGAGCGGTGAACGATTAAACCACCTTGATTTTTTGATTTTTTTTTTTTTCTGATTTGAAAAAAAGAGAAATCTTGACAACTACATGGAGAAGTCACCACGGCCCGCGACGGCCGGCAATGTCGAAGCGCAGCCTGACGACGCTAATGTCAGTGGCAGCGCATCGTGGAATGAAGCCCTCAACAAGGAGCTGCAAGAGGGCTTCACGAGCGCTGACCGCGCGGATATGCAGCGCATGGGCAAAAAGCAACAATTTCGAGTGTGTATATTATATTACATCTCCAGGTTGCAATTGGTCTTCTGTCTTGTCCGACACTAACCAGCCTTTTCGGGCGTTGGATAGAGAAACTTTCGGCTCATGTCCACGATTGGCTTCACCACCTGCGTCATGGGCACCTGGGAGATTCTCCTCACGTAAGTTTTCTCTCCTTATTTCCTCTTTCTTTTTCTTTTTCTTTTTCTTTATTTC